CTCGCAGGGGCTAATGTAGGTAGCTGCAAGGGGAGAATGAAAAAGACTTACCCGATCGTTGATATTGGCGCTTCCACAAATGGCAATTCTGTCATCGACAATGCACACCTTGCCGTGCACATAAAGTTCCTCCTGAACAATGTTGTCTATCTCAGCGTCGGGCTCGCCATCCCAAGGCTCGTCAGACATTCTACCGCCGTTGAGCATCGTTGTGTGCGCCACGGTGTCACAGCCTTTCAGGCCCTCTTTCTCCCTATGACGTTCGACCTGCTCTTCGTATTTGCGCAACTGCTCAATCCGCGCCTCCTTCTCCTGTTGCGCGTTATCATATCCAACTTCATGCCTGTCTCCTTCGTTGTCAATAGCAGGGTGAACACTATCGCTCATGATAGACTCAGCAATTCCACGTTGGATGTCGTTATACGTGACGCCGGCCTCCTTTTCCAAACTTTCGAGAGCGGGAGTCTTGTTGATACGGTCATAGGCCCGTAGATTGAACAAGAAGACGTGTTCTGCTCATGTTAGACATGATTTCCCGCATTAGGTGTGGTTCAACTTACGTCTCGGGTCTACACCCTGAGCAGAGATCTGCCCGAAAATGGAGTGCTCGCCGCGATGAATAGACTTGTACTGGTAATCCATGATCGCGCGTGTGCCGGTTGCGGCGTTTTGTCGGAGATCTCCTGCGAATCCGGGAATGGCGGGGATGACGATGATCACGCGAAACTTCCTTCCTTCCTTGCCCGCTCGGACGACTGCATCGACGATTGACCGCCCGATTGTGTTCAGGATGGGCTTCTGCTGGTCTCCAGTAGCCGTGACTAGAAGCTATCAGTATATGCAAAAATGAGACTAGATCAAGCGAAGTTATCTCACTAAAGAACTGGTTCTCGATGTAGACGAAATGCTGGGCCTGGCTGATAACCTCCTTGTAGGCGTTCTGGATACTGTGCTCGGTTAGGATGCCACTACTCCAATCAGCGCTGCTGCGCACGATCTGTGCCCGCGCAAATCCCTGCTTGCCGAGGGGCTTCGTTTCGAGAGACTTCAGGGGGTGTTGCACGTAGTCGCCGCAAGGGTATTTTGGGCGTTGTACTCCCACCAGATCCTCGTCCTCCCCGGTGCGACCCTCAAGCATAAGCCAATCAACGCCATGGTCCCGTTTATACTTGTCCCGCTTGATGAAGTTCCAGCGAAGAACAAAATGCTCTGCGATGTCGTACACACAGTCACCCATCACACCCATGGCAACGTCATGCCAAGGCATCCGCCCGTACTCCGCTTTGCTGAGCTCATTCTGCTGCCAGTCTTGCACACTCTGGAAATCCATGATTCGATTGTTGTTGAATTCTTGTCCGGGGAAGATTTCGTCTTGCAAATTGGAAGGGTGAACATCGGCTAGAGGGTGCTGATGGGCATCCCATCTTCCGAAGCACAGATCAATACCGCCAATGAACGCCAATGCATAATCAATGACAAGAAACTTCTCATGATGTGCCTGACAGATTGATGGTCAGTCAAAGTGTGGGCGCATGCGCGGGTGCAGACCTACCCAGTACAGAGTCATGTCTGCAGCATTCTCGAAGATGTTATGATCCGGATGTCTGAGGACTTTAATGTTGCCGTAGCCGGGCGAGCCCTCGGGACATAGTGCGCGCAAAGCATGCTTCGTATGAGCCGAGTTACAGGTCAATGCTTGATTCACCTATTTAATTCGCGTCAGCGACTGTGCAACTGTGCAACCGAGGGGACAACCGGACCTCCTTATACACAATGACGTAGATCTTGACCCCGGCCTCTGCACGGCGCTTGAGGACCTGATCCAGTCGCCATTCCTGATGCGCATACGCAGGCCGGCGGAGGAAGAGCTCTGGAGAGAGCCACCAGTCGGCTATGTAGATGACCTCCTTGGCCTCTTCTAGAGCAATGGAGACGGCCCACATATAGTCGAGCGCATCAACATACCACTTGACCCGGTTACCTTCGCGGATGGGGGCGAAGGATTGAAACCGGTTGGATTCGGAAATGGCGGTTCTCTTGCGGTCTGTCTCCTGTTCGTGCGCTTCATCATGGCGATGATTGGGATTAATGATGTTGAAGAATTTGCCGACTTTGTGCTTGAAATGAGAGGCCTTTGCCTCGAAACTCTCGATGTGAGTGTCTGTTTTCCCCACGGCTGATTAGTCGAATTCACCGAGGGAGGGAGAGAGGCTTAACCTTTGAGATGATCCTCCAAGTGATCGATTTTAGACTTCAGCTTCTCCATCGTGAACCTGCGCGATAGAGTTATAGTAGATTTGAAGTGATGAGGAGGGGCGGGGGAAATCTGCAGCCAGGTCTGTCAACTGCAGCTGGTGGGAGGAAAAAGAATGGGGAAAAGGGAGAGGGGAGAGGAGGGGGATGGGATCCACCGACGATCGGAAATCAATCAGAAGATAACGACGGTGGACTGTGGACTGTGTAAAAAGGTTTCTGCCTGGGAACAGTTCCAGATCCGCCAAGGCGATCGGCATGAGGGCAGGGACCAGTGGGAGAGATTAAAAAGTGAGGTAATAATATCAGAATCTAATATGGAGACGCGGAACTGCAATCAAAAGCCAGCCCTGAGTCCAGGGCGCAACAAACCGTGAGTGGGGTGATGTCATTGCTCTCCGCCTCATCCAGCCTTAATGCGGCCTCAGGCTGAATTGGCCCAGTAAGGCAGGCATAGAACTGATCTTCTCCCTTTTTGACTATGGTCCATCAATTTACTTTCCTCTGACTTCTACGGCACTAACCACCTACCTCATATTCAGAACTGGACCAAGCGGATTCAGTGTACATGAGTTATATACTCATAGTTGGGTCCACGCTAGACTAAGTCCTCCCCCTGTCGACTTAAAGCACTCCTCCTGCATGTTCCTGTCGCGTGCCAGTGGATTTGCCTCGGGTAGACTCCACCCACATCCACGGTGTGCTTCCATGGGAGTCCTCCTGCACATTTCATCATCAGCAGCATCATCGTTATTTTCTTTCTTTGATGTCTTACACATGACCTCAACTCCCTAACACCCCTCCTTCGTTGGCAGTGACACCATGAGCGCATCACGCAATATCTACAAGGATGATATCGACTTCACCGCCCTTGCCCTGCAGTCCCCGGAATTCGCACAGTAGTACGTCCCCCCATGCAAGTCACTTGATTCGTCATGACATGACCGGCCAAAAAAGCTCAAACGTCCCAATTTTAGTCTAAAATCCAACGGGCAATTGGACTTTACCGACCCCGATGCCGTGAGGTGGGCCCACAATGATACCGAAGACACCCTAAACACTTTAAGTCCGCGAGCTAACGAAGATAGACAATTGACCCAGAGTCTGTTACAGCGAGATTTTGATCTGAAGGTGAACATTCCGGACAAAAGACTTTGCCCTCCGGTATGCAATTTCCGACCAATTTCAGACTCCCAGTAGCTTTGACCGGTCCACTAATTATGCAGTACAGGTTCCAAACAGGTATAGAAGAGAGACGCCGGATCATTAGCGCATGGGTTTTAACCGTTCATAGGCTGAACTATATCTTCTGGCTGCAGGATCTCCTCGATACCACGGGAGACAAGCACCAGGATAGCTACGACGCCGATCGAAAAGTCGTCGGACTTGACATGTACGTCGCACATTCCCAATCCCACAGACCAAGCATTGATCTTGAAACCACAGCGGGACAGGATGTTGCAGCATCTACCCTTTATTAGGCTGCTCCATGCGGACTGGCTGGAGCTTTTTTGCTACTGGTAGGTCCTTTTGCGGAGCCACAAGCACACGCGCATTTCACTCACACTATATAGATATTGACGAAGGCAATATCGAGTCGTCGCGAGCAAATGTATCCGCCAATGGGCTTGACTCGCGGATCACGGTTGTTAGAACAGATTCAGAGGAGAAACTCATTCCCTTGGACACGAAACTCAAAGTCGACAGGTCTGTTCAACAGCCCCTTTGTGTATCTGCTCTGCCTCACACAACGAAGACTAGACTTCACCATGTGCAATCCTCCCTTCTACGCTTCTCGGGATGAGATGATAGCATCTGCCGAAGCCAAGGACAGGCCACCCTTCTCGGTAGGAGCGTCGACTTCCGCGATTAAGATCATTCATCCACTTATGCAATCTCCCTAGGCATGCACAGGTGCAGAAGTCGAGATGGTAACAGCAGGCGGAGAAGTCGCTTTCATCTCCCGAATGATCGAAGAAAGTCTGCAGCTGCGCAACAAGGTACTTTGGTACACATCGATGTGCGGCAAGCTGAGCAGCATCTCCGTCCTCATCGAGAAGTTGATTGAGCATGGCAACAACAACTACGCCGTGACAGAGTTCGTCCAGGGTAACAAGACCAAACGATGGGCCCTGGCCTGGTCATGGACCGATATCCGTCCGACAGCGGTATGTGCCCATATCTGTGCATAGAGGGAGTCTGTCCCAAACCCTGACGAATAAACCAGGCCGTAGCCCGAGGCATCCCCACGATCCCGAAACACCTTCTCCCATTCCCTTCCGAATATACCTTCACGGCCACGACCGAGTCAATCGATGAGGTGGCTACCACCGTTGACGCAGAGCTAGGCGCGCTCCCCCTCCAGTGGCTCTGGCGCAAGAGCCTCGCCACAGGCGTGGGCTTCGCGATGCAGAACGTTTGGTCCCGTCAGGCCCGCCGCAAGTTGCGCAACCCAGACGCGATGGCTGACCAGCCCCCGGTGGAGGAAAGCAAGGCCGCTCTCGGGTTCAGGGTGCAGTTGAAGAAAGAGGTCAGCGACGACAAAAGGGTGAAGGTGATCATCCGGTGGATCAAGGGAACAGACACTGTTCTCTTCGAGAGTTTCTGCGGCATGTTAAAGCGCAAGATCGACAGCAAGCCATGATTTGAATCCAAAACCCCGATACCCCGAATGTCCAAATCACAATCAGGTAATAGAATCAATATTACCTTTGTCTGGCAAAGAAAAAAACACACAATGTCTGCTTGAAATTTTCAGATTCGGAACATGAATAATCGTGACTTAATAAAAACCTGGTCCAACCTCGGTAACCAGCTTTATAAATGCTTCACACACAACCGCATACACGCAAGCTCTTTCTCTATATATGCATTTGAATCACACAAGTTCAATGATCTATGCACTGCCCACCTCAGACTGCAAGGCCTTCAGGCGCTCCCACCCCTCCGAATCCTCCCAGAACTCCTTGCCCTTACCCAGGATACCACGCACGGCACTGCGGGCCTTGAACCGCCAATCCTTAGCCACCAACTCGGCCTCGCCCTCCGCAGCACCCTCCTGACCTTCCTTATCCATGGGACCGTAGCGGGCGTAGCCATCACGGACCAACCGTTCCGTGGCGCGCACGACCTCCAACCACTTCTTCTCGTCGCCCATCTGGAACGCGCCCTGGGTGGAGGACGCGACCGTGGCGCGCCAAGCCTTCTCATGGGCCTCGAACGCCTTGGAGGGCTGATTGCGCCAGGCCTCGACGCTGGCGACCAGCAGCCACATGGGCGCGGAGTGGGTGATGAGGGGCACGACGGCCTGGTCGACGAGCGAGAGGATCTGACCGGGAACGGTGCCGGAGCGCACGATGCGCTCGGAGGCGGGGTTGCTGTCGTCGATGCGGATGAGCAGGTCCTGGTACTCGTAGGCGCGGACCAGGTGGTCAACCAGCATGCCGAGGATGGGCATGTCGATGCACTTCTCGCCCTTCTTGGAGCCGACGAGCTCGATTAGGCGGCGCTGGGCGGTGACGACGTCCCGGAACGGGGTGAAGGGCGGCGGGATCGAGGCCGCGACCGTCAGCACGTTGTCCCAGATGCGCGCGTCGGTGTGCTTGAGCGAGGCGGCGCGGTGGAGGGCGGCCAGGGCCTCGCGCTTGCGTTTGTACGGGTCCTCCGGGGCGGGAGCCTCGTCGTCGTCGCCGGATGCTTCCTCCTCGTCGTCGGCGAGAGGGGCCTTGGGCTTGCGGGGTTGTTCGGAGATGACAACGGAAGTTTCTTCGTCGGGCTTGGGGGAGCGGAGAATCGCGGCCGCCAGATTGCTCCAGGCTTCGGCGTCGGTGTCGTCGAGTTGCACGGTGCGGGTGAAGGAGAAGATGGCGTCGTCCCAGCGGTGGAGCTCGAGCTGGACGCAGCCCAGCGCGAACCAGGCGCTGTGGTTGAGACGGTTGATGTCTAAGCTCTTGCGGTAGGCTTCTTCGGCCTTCTCGAGGGCCGGGGGCTTCAGGGTGAGGTAGTGGCGGGCCAGGGACCGCTGAGCACGCGCGTATCGCTGGTTCGATACCTCCCAGGCCCGCTCGTACATGCCGGCGTCGGTGTCTATGTCACCCAGGATACAGAGGAGGCGAGGCGCATCGGCGGGCAGGGGAGACAGCTCCGGCCCTTCGAACCTCTCGCTGTCATCATCGGGATCCTGACCCGTCGGCTGGTAGAGCTGCCGGCGGACCATCTGGCGGGCCTTGTCCTCCCTCTCCGTTGCGGCGTAGCAGAGTGCAGCCTCGGCCCACATCTGGAGACGCTCGTAGATGTCAAGGGCGGTCCGCAGACCTCCAAGGTTGACCCACCGAGTTGCAAGCTCGGCCTCCAGGTCCCAGCGGGTAGAGAAGTTCATGAGCCACACGTATTGCAATCTCTCGGCGGCCGAGGCGGACTCGGATTTCTCGGGGCGCGGCAGGAAGGTCGTGGGCTCATCGACGGCAATGCCGGCTTGTTCATCAGATGTGGCGGTGTCAGCAATGACCTGGTCCACGAGAGCTTGCATCTGCAGCACAGATCTCTCGACGGTTCTGGATCGGTGGCCCTCGACGCGACTACGCACCAACAAACCCTGAGTGTAGATCTGCCAGTTCGAGCTGCCACCTTCTAAGACACGGGTAGCGTAGGGCGCTGTCTCCTCGCGGGTGATGCCGTTCTCCGGTGCGGTGTTGGTGATAGCCGATGCGAAGGCAAGAAGAATGGCGGAGTCAATGGGTTCGAGTTTCGGCTGGTCGCCCGGGTCAAGGGCAGCCAATGCCGGTGGAAGTGCCGCTTCATCCTGCACAGTCACCGGCTTGTCTTGAGTTTCTTCTCCCTCGGCCTTGGCGTCGGCCTTAGCGAAGGAGATAGATTCCAACAGGGTATCGTCGTTGAGATCAAGGTTCTTCGGGCCCGAGGCGTTCTCGCCCTTGTTGTCCTCCGACGTCGTTTCGGCGCTCTTGGCCAGAATCACGAGCTGACTGACATCGCGTTCCTGGAACTTGGTTCTCTTGCCCAGTTTACCGGTCAAGGCAAACTCGAACTTCCGTTCTTTGGCGGCCTGCTCGAGATCTGCGCGGGCCTTGGCGTCGAAGCCGTGGACGGTGTGGATAGTTGCTCTCTCGAGCAAGAAGCTTCCCTTCTCCTGCGCAGTGCACTGGGCACTCAAGACTACCTTGCTAATGTCATCGAGCTCGTTGTAGATCGCATCCTGCAGGGTACCAGTGACCTCCGACAGCATCTTCTGGTGGAGGAAATTGACGCGGAGTCGTGCCGTCCGGGCCACCAGCGGGCCGCCGTTCGTCACCAGGACATCGGTATCGGCAAGAATGGCCTTGGCAACAGCAAACAGCTCGACGTTGGGGGTCAGCTTGTATGCTGCCTCACCGTCGACGGAGAGGTTACGAATGACATGGGCACGAACGGCTCGGAGGGTGACTGCGTCGGGCCGCAAGGCAGCGGGGATGATGGTGTCGGCGGGGCTGTAGGTCAAAGGAGGGCCCGTAACGTTGGATTGCAGGAATGCGAAGAGAGCAGCCAGGGCAATGTGAAGCAACTGCGAGCGTTGTTGGTCGGAAGTCAAGCCCTCCACGGGTGATTGCGAGACCGCCTGCACTTTCTCGACCAGAAAGCTGGTGTAGGATACCTCACCCTTGGCGATGCGATCCAGAGCACTCTCATCCGCATTGTGTCCAAAAACCTCCTTTGCGAGCGGCAGTTGCAGTATAGGAATGATCTCGGCGTCTGCGAGCGAAATAGGGTCGTATCGGTCCCGCACTGATGATGTCTCGTCGAAAGACGTGTTCAAGAACGCGGGAAGGGATTCGGTGGTGTCAGTCATGATGATTGCTCAATTGAAGGACTATGACTTGAGAAAAGAAAAGGTGGGCGCAGGAGATCCGGGAATGAACAATGGTAGTCGCAAGGCGGGATTTCAGGTACGAATGATTGTTAATCAAGATAAAACAGAGCAGGCTCTTCACATTAGCAATTCGTTAGGTATTATAGGAATATCTCTGGAAAGACTCATTCACAGACTCATGCTATGAGTTCTTGACGATCAGGAAACCACCGCGACTGAGCCAACTTCCCAGCAAGACAATTTCAGAAGTGGCTAGAGGGCAGAGTCAGACCAAAGTGGGAAAAAACGAAGCGGGATGGCGGGGTTTTTTTTTCTGCCGGCCCTATCGATAAGGATACCCCGGGCGGTGACAGTACAGATGGACTTGGTCGTGGCAACTAGACTATCTATCTAACCCAATCGGCCAAACACCACCTACGGCGCTATGGACACGTCCTTGATCATTCCAGCAGCAGCAGTTCCTACATGAGTACATACAAAAACGCTTGACTTCGAGCTCACTGCCCAGGCACCTTAGCATGCTCCTTGAGAATCTTATTCAGCCCCTCCCGCTTCACACATTCATCAAAATGGAAGCTGTGAGCCAGCTCATCCAGCTCCAGTTCATCCAGGCCCCGGAACAACTCCGCGAATTCATCCACAAAGCTCGCCGCCAGGAACGTCTGAAAGACCGCTCGCAGCACATGGCGTTCCGTGCCCCACGGCGTGGGGTAGGCGTCCTTCGCCCGCGGCTGAACCTTGTCAATCCAGTCCACCAGCGGCTTCAGGGCCGCCGCGGGCTCCGGGTGTGGGAACCGGCCCCAGGCGTCGAGCCAGAGCTGGCTCTTCTTGTCCAGGAACGGCTGGATGCGTTGGTTCCACTTGCTGCTGGGGTTCGTGTGGATCATGCCCTGCAGGCCGATATCCTTGTACAGCCAGATTGACCAGTGGATCTTGTACTTGTCGTAGATGCGCAGCTGCTCGCCGAGCAGGTTGTAGCGTTCCTCGTTGATCGTGTCGGCCTCGACCTCGACGCGCGGGTTCTCGTAGACGGGACCGAACTCCCCGTTCCAGATGGCCGTGCCATGCTGGTTCATGAACTCGACCTTGCGGAGGTACGACCGCTCGAGGTGCTGCTTTTGCTCCGGTGTGCCCTTGTACCGTTGTCCCGTGGGGAAGCCCATGGACTAGCGAGAGAGAAGTATCAGATTAACGAACACGAAGCCCACCCTCGATGTACAAGACAACAAAAGACTCACCGCGTAATCATGGATGGAGTAAACGCAGTTCGGAAGAACCTTGTCGAAGCCCTTCCACTCCATCGAGAAGGTATTACCATCCAGCCAGAGGATGTGATCCGGATCGACCTGTCGAATCGCCTTCTCGATCCTCTCGTAGAACGCCGGGAGGCGAACATGCTCCGGATCGCAGGGCTCATTGAGGGGGTTGTACCCAGCAACCCACGGGTTGGCCTTATACCTCGCCGCGATCTGCTCCCATAGCCACACCGTCCGATCCTGGTGGTCTTTGTAGTCCCAAAAGGCGGCGTAGCTGGTGGGATTATCCGCGTGCCAGTCGGGATTCTGTCCGCCAGGAGTAGTGTGCATATCAAGAATCGTGTAGATCTTCTCTTTGGCACACTGTCGTCCAGCAGAAACACACTCGTCAGTCACCCCTCCCACACTCTCTAAATGTGGCCAAGTGAACGACCGAGATCCTATAACTTACAAGATCAATGACCCGATCCAAATGTTTGAAGCCGCTTTCTTTCAAGACTCGTGGGTTCATATCATCCTCCAAGTGACGGAAGTTGAAAGGGATGCGCAGGCAGTTCAATCCCAGCTCCGCGTAGAATTTGGCATCGGCTTCGGTGAAGAAATACTCGAGCCATCGGTCGAAGAAGAACTCGTACTTCTCGGGGCCCAGGACTTTTCGCATGGCAGCGCGATGTTGGGACTCATGACCCGGAAAACCTGTGATGAAATTCTCCATGCTAGACTGGGGGTCAGACAGTAGTGGCTTTGTTGAATTGGGGGTTGGACGTACTTGGCCCATCCACCTATGGCAGCGCCACGGAGCAGCACTTCATCGCCATTGTTGTCTACCACCTGATTGCCTTTGACCTTCAGGATTCCAGCTGACATCCTGTAGATCGGCTAGCTGTGACTTATACGAGATAGAACGGAGATAACAAAAATGGCTCTGTCCGAGGATGTGGCAATCTTAGAGTGCAAGTCTCAGTACAGTTTGCAGATGTGAGGTATCAGCACTGACGAGCTCAAAGGCCGAAGTTTCCTACTTCAAATACTCCAAAAAAGGCGGGGTGGATTGTTCGTAGTCCGGGGATCCTGGGGGCTTGTTGGCTCAAAATCGGGTAAATGAAGCACTTTAGGCTATGCGAACCGAAACCCTCGAGAAGCCAAGGTTACGATGATCCCGTCAATTGGATACTCTTGCCGATTGGTTACACTGCCAGTTCACCAGATATCCATAGAAGTCAGCGCAGCCGCTTAAATTCAGCTTGGCATCGCTTGAGTCTGCTGACTTGCCAAAAGCCATTATGCAAGGGTTCACGGTAGATGTAGATGTCACAATCATATTAGCCGTTAAAATCCAGTACATGTGCCCCAAGGGTATCTGCAAGCACAGACATCAATACTTGAAAAACATCTAATCAAATATGCTCAAACACCGTAGTCCATTCACATGAACAATGCTTCAATTTGACTGGCCGGACTCCGACCAGGCATGAACAAATAGACAAGAATGGGTAGAAAATCTGCAAACAGCCGCTAGTGCCAATGGATGTCCGGGGGGGGGGGGGAAGAAATAGTAAAATGTGATGTATGTACTCTTGAAATTCGAATGGAGGACCGTCAGAGGACAAGATCACCAGTCTTGACCCCGGTCCTTCATCAGGATCTCAATAGCTTCATCCTCAGGAACTGGATTATCGTTGAGGTCCTTGACGCATTGCGTGAGCCCTTCTACCGCTTCATCTACTTGCTCGGCAGTCCAGTCGGTGCAAGCCATGACCACTCGACGGTAGTTTTGTCCTAGAACGACGTTCTTGGATCTAAGGCGCTCCACCTCTTCCAGTATGTCATCGTTGAACTTGTGGTATCCCTCTATTCGTTGCTGTATGCTTTCTGCAGGTGGAAACGAGCGAAGAAAAGCAGCTTGCTGCTCGGAGAACCCAGAACTCGGATCAAAGTTGTCAGGGAAGATCGCTTCGAACGCAGCAATATCTAGTCCGAACTCCTTGTCGGCATCACCAACCAAGTACTTCTTGGACAGATCAAACGATCCTCCCTCTGTCTCTTTCAGTTTAGTAAGGAGGTCTTCCGACGACTTCTCAAGATTCTTGCATCGACGGCTAAGTTCAATGCGCTCTAAAGCTCTACTCTTCAGGTCGTCCAGGTGCTTCTGTTCAATCTGCCGGGCTTTAGCCGACTCGCGAATCTTAGCATGCCAGTGGTCGAATTTTTCTTGCTTCTTTGTCAAGCTGGAAGCCAGATCCCTATCGATGCCGCCTAGCGTCTCGTGCACCAATGAAGTGATCTGCGCCAATGTCGCTAAAAGTCTGTCAGCCAGGTAATCCTATAAGCAATGCGATCGAGCTCTTACAGTCTAGAATCTCTTTCTTGGTTTTGGCCAATTGGTCCATGAAGGAGTCATTCCTATTCCCGGCTTGTTGGGATTGGCCGTTGCCATCAACCATATCCACACCCACTCCATAATCGGCCGGTCGCAGACCGGTATGGTTCGGTATATGAGGATCTGCGCCGACTTCCAGAAGCTGGGGTACAAGGACAGAGCGTGCGCGTCCCGCCAGATTAAGCGCAGTGTCTCCTTGATCATCTCGAAGGTTAACAATCTCAGATATGAACCGACCCAGCGTTATGACCTCCCCGGCTTGCGGTTGGGTTAGCCCATTCTCCACGACACCAGCATGTCCTGGCTGGTTCGATGAAGAACCACCATGGCGAACAATGAATTCCAAAAGAGCCTCTAGATAGTGTTTCGCCGACACATGGCCCCCGCCGCCAGTTGCCGCCATCACGGCAATGTGATGTAGTACTGTTCGCCCACTATAATCAACCATGTCAATGGTAGGGGCCAACACCTGTAGTAGACGTGGGAAACTCCGATAGTCGAGATTGTTCCTCGTTCCAACTGATTTTTGTAAGGCCGTTTCACCTGCCCCGTTCAGCCGGAAGATGTTGACGCCTTTCTCCACGAGTGCATACACAAGTGGCATGCGAGCAAGCATTGCCGCCCAATGAAGTGCATTGTTACGGTATTCGTCCAACGGGATCTCCAGGTCTTCTCCAGATAGTTGCATCAAGGCAGGATGCTTCGAAAAGTCCTTCGTCCTCTTGTCCAAGAACAACGTCATGATAAGCTTCATCTTCTGGAATCTCTCGGGTGTAGTGGCAGGTTGCAAAGGCTCAAATCCACGCTTGGTGCCATCGACCATGGAATTGGAGACATCCATGTCTTGGTAGAATGAGTCGTTGGGTTCAGTGGGAGTTGGTTCGTTCATTGACAAAGTTGATTGTTCATAGGGAAGTCCGTAAGTTGGCGCATGGTTGGAAGCAGATCTCATGCGTTTGCGAGGAGGTTCGTTCGACTCCTCAAATTCGAAGCCTGAGCCAACGGGACCTGGATACCGACCGTTGCTTTGGACATTGCTTGCGAAGCCGCTGTCGGATGCAACACTGTACATGCTCTGTTGGCTCTGTTGGCTGTTGAATGGGATTTGAGTATCTTGGCTGCTTAGCTGCTGTGAGGGTTTTCGCATGGCACTCGACTTCCTTCCGTCAACACCACGTGCGGCGGGTGAGTCGAAGCGGGCTTTGCTCATAGCATTGACCGCAGTAGCAGCAGTGCGAGAAATGTTCTGGAAGAAGGTGCCCTGCTGCGGCTGGGACATACCACGGTTGTCCATGTGGTTATAGAGGCGTTTCCTTTGGGCAGCCATTGCCTGCTCCTTCGTCGGAGTGTCCAAGGAGTCATGTGCATTTCCGGTCGTTCCATTGGGGCCCTGGTCATATTCCAGAAGCGGTCTCAACAATTCCTCAACATGGTATTCGCGGCACAGCTCCACACCTCTCTGGTAATTCACCCAAGTCCCCTGGTATTTGCCGTATCCACCCTGTACTTTTTCGTGCTCGCCAGCCGCGATTTCTTTCTCCAGTGTTTTCGTCCGTCTGGCCTTGACAACGCCTGCAACCTTCAGAATCTGAGTGGCGTTGAGCCAAGAGTCGGTGCGGCGTTTCATCACAGCAACCCCATTCACCTCCATTTCGTAGACGGCGACATTGGAGTAGACGGCCTGTAGGAAAGGGCAAGCGTATATTAGCGGCTTTAGGAAGTAGTTGACCTAGGTGGATGCGCCGAGAGACTAACCTTGTAAATCTGAGGTTTGAATTCTTCGTAAACAGTGCCATAACCATGCATGTCTTCAAAGGTACTGAAACTACCCCTAGGTCCATTGGGTAATCCATTGGCGTAGCTGTAAGACATGGTCGACTGGTGTGAGGCTTTCGGAGGCGGAGTAGCTCGGGGGGTGGAGGCTACAGATTGAGAAGCGTTGAACGAGCCCATGTGCGACTGTGAAAAAGTCATGCCGTTGGCCGAGCCCATGCTGCTCTGCGAGTAGGACATCTGAAGGGTCGGACGCGGTGGGTGGTGGTTGTTGGAAGCCATTGTGTCCAGGTTGCTGCGTGTGAAGGGCGTCCAGCCCAGGTACCAGACCTGTTAGAGGCAGCTTGACGAGAGAAAATGTCAGTTTGAAGTCGAATTGTAGCCGTCCAGGCCAATGGCATGACAGATTCAGTATGTCAAACAAAAGAGTAAAAGCATGTGGGGAACTGCACCTATGCTGGGAGATCCTCTCGGCCTCGGAATTACTGGGCAGACCACGGGAAGTCGCGCAAGATTGAAGGGAGGCGCGTGGCTGGCGCTCCGACCGTGAAGGGGATGAAAGGGACCGGGGGGTTTGTAGTCAGTCTGCAGGGAGGGATCAAAGCATGTAAACCCTTTCCCGCTTCAGATAGTATCTACATGAGACTCAGGATAATGAAGAGAGATTTGGCTTGTACAATAACAATAAATTCAATCAAATGAGTAGGAAGAAGTCGAGTAAAGCTTCGCGGGGAAACTCTCGATGTTCGCCCGTCGCGTGCGCGGCTAACCTGAACCGTTTTCGCGTTTCGCCTTCAGAGAAAACAATCTACTATTACCCCTTTGGGACTTCCGCCTTTTTGACCGCCTTGATCTCCGCCGTACAACTCGAATGATCAAACAATCCCGGGAAAAAGAAAAGGATGTCGGCTGGAGAGCAACGAACTCCGTAAAAACAAGAAAACAAGTCAATTATCGGTTCTGAACTATGCCGACGAAAATTACCCCTGTGTCGCCAGTCACGGTTCCCGCGGCGACATGGCGGCATCTCCTTCGATCACTCCTTCGCGAGGCATCCTATCTCCCCGACCCCATTGCCAAAGGCTATATGCATCGCTATGTTCTCGGTCGATTCCGACACTATGCGAACAACCCCAGCTTCGAAGAACGGAATGATCTATGGCAACGCTGGCGACTGCGGAAAACAGCTATCAAGGGCCTGTCGGTACTACAAAGAGCCAATCAAGGTTATATGAAACCACTAGAGAAAGTCCTACGCATGGCATATGGTCGCACCGGGAGGCGGAGGAGGGAACTCGTTCTAGGCCTCATTGCTCGAGCGACTCCGCCTTCGGAGCCGAAGCCGAAGTGTTTAGAAGATCTTCTGGCCAAGAATAGCATGACAGAGGACTGGAAACCGCCTAGGGTCGTTCAAGATCTGTTGAAGTCTCAGCTCCAGCAACCTTTGCTTCAATACCTCGCTGCAGCCCCAAGAATCAAGGATTTTGAGCCGGTCATCCCCGAAAAGAACTCATGGGCTAGGCCGGTTCCACATTGCCGGCGAAGGAATATCAGAAAGAAATGGTATAGCAGAGTCTTGGCCAACCTCCTTCCACCAGTCCCACGCCACGATCTAAAGATTCTTGAGGGTCTAATATCAGGCCGATTGCCATGGACGCCACCTAGAAGAAGGAAAGCCATTGGAGCTGCCCCTGCTCCTCCATCTGAGCCAGAACTTGATGTTGACTTCTTGGTGAATGGCCCAAAGAAGGGTCAGACGTTCAAGCCCTATGCCGCCGGGCGACCTCATGTGTTTACACGTCGGTTCATGATCAGAATCTGGATGCGCATCTCAAGTCTAATACCCCGCGTTCTCATAATCGAAGAAGCCGGGACTGGGAACATAAAGCACAGGTTTACATGGAAACGAGAATATATGACCAGACCCACTCTTCCAGCGAGGAAAGAAATGACAGCCGAGATCTTCGAGGGCGTCGATTCTCAGGGGAAATTGCTCGCAGGTCAATTGAAGCCTGAGCAGCAAGGCAACGATCAACCTCAAGACGCACCCGACGTCAAGATTCACTAACATACACACCACTAAGACACTACTTAAGGGAATTGAATCACACCTTGAAAATTGCATCATACCCCGATAACTGGGTCTTTTGGATGCTTCACAGCAAGCGCACCTGTCAATCTCTCCTATGGATAACAGTTTCGCAGGATCCGAACTTGCCCAAACTCGTTGATGTATGGCTGACTTCCGGTCCGAACGATCCAGGGTCCGTTGACCGGCTTCTCTCGCTCGTTCCCGAAGGGCCAGATCTCCTCCATGGTCAGGCGAAAATCATCCTTCGGCTCCCCATTCTTGATTCCTAACTTCTCGAAGAAGACATACGCCGCATAGAAGACTATGCCCGTGTTTCCCACGAGGGCGCCCTCTTGCTTGAGGAACACGTGCAGCAACCCGGAGTTGATCGTCTTCTCACCCCCAAGGAAAGCCGCCTTGGGCGCATCCCCCAGGAACCCGGCCTTTGTGACCCCGGGCTTCGCAACATGCTTCCGAATCATGTCCCTGACTCGATCACAAGTCTCAAACACGGGCACCTCAAGCTCCTCGTCCTCCTCATCCTCCAATTCAATACCAGAAACATCATACTCCGAGTTTCCATCCGCTGCACGACTACCTCTACCCTTCCCCGCCGTAGCGGTCTTCGCCCTCTTTTTCGTAGCCGGCGCCATACCCCCACCCGTCGCCGCAGTAGAATTCCCCGAGACATCACTCAAAACCTGCTGCTACTGCTGCTCCTGCCCCTGCAGCATCACACCCCCACCCACCCCTTCCCCCCTCCTCTAACCCCCGAAAGAACTCCCCCGCCTTAATAAACGTCGCCGACCTCGCCCCCTTCTCGGGACCACTCTGACCCACAAAATCCCGATATGACTTCGCCGACACGCCGATCAGCCGTTGAAACTGTCCCGGCTGCATCTGCTGCGCGCCGAGGAAGTCCCGAATGTCCTGGCGGACGTCATCGCAGTTCTTGTTGACAGAAGACCGGCCCCCGCGCGACGGCCTGATTTCCTTGTCGTTGTCGTGGTGGTTACCCTCGGCGTCGACTTCGATCATGTCAAGCTGCGCGTCGGTCGAGGAGCGTGTCTTCGTGCTCGTGCTGCTTGTGACCAGGGCTTTGCGGCGGCAGTTGACGTTCAGTTCCGAGGTTAGGGCGGAGGAGACGAGGCGGGTGAAGACGTCTCGGTACGCTTCGGGGATGGCGGCGAGGCGGTCGGCGAGAGGGTCGTGAGTGAGGAGGCATGGTTGGTTGGTGGGTCGATATAAGTACTCCGTTCAGGGTTAACTTGGTGTTTAGAGGGGGGTGGGGGAGGTATTGGATGGCAAGAAAAGAATAAGAGATCAAAAGAAGAAATAAGAATGAAAGTGAGAAATCCCGTCATGTACGACGATCTTTTCTTCTGTTGTTTGCTTTTGTTCTCGAAAACGCCGTTTGGTGGTGAACTGTTCGCGTCAATGGGCCACCTAGAACTGGGCCACTGTGTGTAATGGGTCACCTACCTCCTGAACACCCACGTTGCTCCGGAACATCGCGTTTTCATGGGAAAGTATAGGACCTGGAAAGGCTTACCATGATCATCCAGCGTATCAAGAAAAAAAGTGTATTCATTGACTTGCAGGCAAAGATAGCTCGGAACTCCCAATAGCAAGAAAAAACAAGAATCATGTGCGCCTTTTCCTACCTAGTAAAGAAGAAGCATTGGAGAATCAAACCATAGTGAATCCCCATCATTGATCACCAAAGCCACGCGTCGCTTCTACCCAAGCCTCAGTATCTCCAACAAACTCCCTGACAGGCTCTTTGCCTTCTGCTCGCCCCTCCCCTGTGATATTGTACAAAATACAATAGGATATTATTGAAAAAAGAAAAGGAAGATAACACCACCTTTCAGCGTTCCTGCCCAGGTCATGACAGCAGTAAAAAGAACAGATATCATTAGATATTCTTCGCCAGTCGACAGACGTGTCCAACAATGCATGGCGTTTATGACGAAATGAAAAGATCTCATTACAAGTCCAAGGCCTTGTAGTCAGCCCCGGCCTCTGCGCTCAAGGGCTGCACCCCCCGGCTAGCATCAGCACCCGTAGGCTGGAAGTTGTACCGGTTTCCGATACCCGCCGTGGCGGCATCGGCGAGCAAGGCGTTGGTCTCCTCTCCGGGGCCCTTCAGACTGACCGATTGAAGAGTGTCTTGAACCTCCTTGACTCTCTTCTTGAAGGCCATACGGTCCAAGAAGAGCTGCTGGCGAGCGAGCTCGAGTTCGCGGCGTTCAGCCTCAATGATCTCCTCCATTTCGTTGAACTGCGCCAACTTGATCTCAAACTTTTGTAGCGTCACGTTCACCGCAGCCGAGACCAGGCGGGTCATTTCCCTTTCTTCGTGAGACGCCAAGGCACCAGCGCGGGCAGCAGAGGCAGCCAGGGCAACAGTAGGGAGGGAGGCTTTGCCTTCCTTGTTGGCAACGGTGCTCTGGGCCGTCTCAGCGGCGGGTTCCTCGCGAGTAGCATCCACCTCCATGGAGTCTTCTGCCTTCACTGCACTTTCCTTCTCCTTGCCCTTCTCCTGGGTCTTCTCGGCTCCAGAACCCTTCTCGAGTTGCTTTCTGAGCTCCTTGCGGATTTCCTCCACCGAGCGACCAGCCGCGGCAGCAGCCACAGAAGGCTCGGCCATCTGGGCCAAGAACGCGACCACAGAAAGGACTGGATTCTCGGACTGGCTGATCGGATCACGTCCAGCCGCCGCCCGGACCTCGGGGGTGTCGTCAAGGTACTTGTCCTCAATCTCGAGCTGCAGGAATTTCATCACGCACTCCTCCTTAGTCCTCGAGCCGACATGGTTGGCAATTTGTTCCCAGTTATCGTCAAAGTTCTCCAGACCCTCAAGAAGCAGGATAAGCTCCGAGTCAGACCACGGGGCATCTTTATCGGGGGCAATTGTGTAAGGGCTTTCTTCGAGTTTGACGAAATCGGAGGCATTGTGACTAGAAGGCATCCTACCCTGTAGGAAACAGTTGGGGCAGAGGTCATATTTGCTGTCAGAGGCGGAGTTGGTGGTCGCCGGCGTCGATTTGGCGTAGTGGAATCTGAGGCGAGTGCAGTCGATACCGCATGAGAAGCAATGGAACTTCTTCCTTGGCTCCTTGCTGGCACTCTCCAATGCCTTGGTGGCATCAGCAGGGGTGCCGTTGGCTGCCGAGCCTTCACCGTTGGTCTGCTTCTCCTTGTCTTCGCTGGCAGGGGTAATCTCCTTGCCCTTATCGTCATAGACGTTACGGCGGATTTCGAGGTTGAGATCGGCCTTGGATGCAGGGGCAGCCGATGCTGCGCGATCGGTGGCGGGGAGAGGCTTGCCGGGCTTGACAAAGTGATTGGGACCGGGCTGGAAAGGTTGCAGACCCCTCGGCGTGTCGGCAACTACTCGGAAGTGACCCGTGAAAGGAGGACCGATATTCGATGGGCGTGTCTGAGGATCAACCTGGACATAATGTCAGCGTCAAATCGTGGGAAATCTGCATCAAATACTCACTTGATAGTTGATCAACCCCCATTGTTCGAGGAAAGAGTGAACCCGCATGATTGCGCATACATCTCCGGCAAGATTCCGGCGGCATGCAGTGACTGTGAGGTATTCGATGGGGTTGAGTCTGTATGTGTTGATCATGAAATCACGGTAGTCCTTGTAGACCGCGGGGGTCTTGCTGCGGTTTCGACCGTTGAAGAATTCGGCGAGAGCTTTCTTCTCGATAGGGTGGATCAGGTGCATGTCGAACCAGGATGTATAGCTAGGAAGAATGATGGCATGGGTTTGTGAAACGAGATGTGAGCGCGCAGAGTTCTCGGCCGAAGCCTTGGACTGTGCAGGCTGCTCTTCCGCGGCGCCCTCTGCTCCTGATTGCGCAGCGACTTCGGCAATCTCATCACCCTCGCTTTCCTTCTTGGTTTCCGTCTCCGTACCGCCCATCTCCTCATCTTCGGGTTCGCCATCGGCAGTCTGGGGTTTCGGGGAAGCAGGGGCATCTGGCGGGTTATCAGTCTCTGGAGCTGCGGATAATTTTCGTTCTCAGTAGAACTTTCTTGCGACTGCGATCTCGCATCCCACGGTTGCGATGGTCGACATGTCCCGATTCGCTGCGGGAGCAGGGAGGCAACACTCACCGGAAGCACTGATCACATCACCCGGAGCATCCTGAGCGGCGGTACCCGCCTGGATATCATCGACAGGACCGCCGGAAACGACAGGGCTATCTTCCATATTGTTGATCTGATGGCGGGAGATGACGGTTGATGTCGCAAGCAACGGAGAACAAGGAACCTTCGCGCTCCTCAAGCTTCAAGGGATTGGGTAATCGAAGTGCCGGTACGATCCCTAGTGCGATGGTGCTTGGGATCCTAGAGATATCGAAGGAATGGGAAGAAATCAGCGGGTGGTAATGACCACCAAGATAGCAATAAGTCGTGGGGAAGAAAGGTGGTTGCTTGGAAGCAGAGCGACTTGTCGCGACACGGGCCTCGCTCCAAAAACTCGCGCCAAGACCCTCTGGTGCGCTAGTCCCATTACGTACTGGCTCGGTTGCCTCCATCATCATCCTCCTCATCTATACGAGGGTTATGAGTAACTTGCAGTCATCTACTCCAAAACAACTTGATGGTCATTTTGCATTCCATCAGATGCTGGTACGTAGCTAGGCTTGCATTACTTGACATCAAGCGGCCAGTATTGGTTGCTGGCTTGACAACACTTCTACGAAATGGGTACACAATGTATCAACACGGCACCAAGGCCATTTCTACAGCGAAACTCTGGATACAATGGCAACTGTGATTCAGTGCATTGATACTCGCATAAACAACATGCAAATCAGCGCGCACACGCTTCAAAATCCCAAATCTAAGCTCCAGGTCCATATCTCAGTACCTCCTCACTCCTATTTAGCAGTGAGATTCTCCCTGTACGTCTTCAGGCACTTCGCGATCGCAGGTCTCGCCTGCAGTCTCTGCAGCCAAGCGTTGACGTTGGGGAAGTCCTTCTCCAAATCAATGGCATCGCCAGTAGCCATGGGAACAATCTGGTACCACTGCACAAACGCAGCGTCTGCGTAGCTGTACTTTCCATCGACCAGGTACTCCCGGCCTTCGAGGACCTTGTCCAGCACGCCCGTCACGCGGCGGATCTCGTTCAAGTAGCGCTCTTGAGCACTGGTGATCTTCTCGGGGTGGTAACGGGTGAACCAGATGAATTGACCGAAGTACGGCCCTTGTCCGGACATCTGGAAATGGAGCCATTGCTTGGCATGGAAGTAGCCCGGGGTGCCGGCCTTGGGGCTGATCTTGTTGTCTTTGTCGTAGGTCTCGACGAGATATTCGATGATGGCACCAGACTCCCACAGAGTGATTCCGGTGTTGGGGTCTTCAATGGCGGGAACACGGCCATTGGGGTTGATGGAGATGAAGGGCTCCTTCTTGATGGTATCGAACGGCACATATTTGTGCTCGAAGGGGATCTCAAGCTCTTCCAGGATCATAGCCACCTTCCAGGGATTGGGGCCGCCTTGGTGGCCGTGGAGGATGATCGGCTTGAGAGACATCTTTGGGTAGCGTAAGAATGTGTGGTAAAAGATATTCGATTAAAGTAGTTGGACGAATGTTATCTGGAGGATTGAAGCTGTTTGTGATGATTGGAGTTCATCTTGGTCAACGCCCTACGTGCCTTATATAGCTAATCTAAAGTGTTGAAGCTTCAGGACAACATATCCTTTTGGATATCCCTCATGATCTGTCACTTTCTAAGGTGACATAATGCATAGCTTTCGGGTCACCGCAAATGTGGATGTTGAGTAACTCGCCGGCTCATGAGACAGGTTTCATTGCCGAATGTTTAACCGCTGACAAATGCGCGGCAATGGACGTGCGTATACTCTACATTTCCATGGTAGGCGAGTAATGAGCGTTCTCCTGAAGGAAACCTGTGCATAATTGAAGTAAGGAGTATGTCCCTTCGGTTAATTTGGTTCTACTTAATTTGTCAGGGAACGGTGTGTCGGGGTTATATGAGTCCGATCAGGTGGGGAGCTCGAGGTTGACAATACCCAATCCGGGCGCATTCAACATTCTAAGGAGAGGTGCATTAGAAATCAACATCTGTGGGGATGAGTGTTTATGAATGATCTCCACACATAGCTTGGAAGCGGTCAGCTTCGATGATCACGGAGCCACTTGTTCAAAGGAGTGTCTTGGTCAGCTACCACGATAACTAACTAAATTAACTAGGTTGCTAAACCGGTCCTGCTTACAATGCAGTCCTGCGCTGTCTTGCAGGTAACAATAAGCTGTGAGCACAGACGTCCTCTTTGCTTACAGAGGCATGCATTATGGCTAAGCAATGGCAGTGAAGGGCCTTACGATAGCATGGTAACTAACGAGTAGGTGCTTACGCTATACCATGGTAGACTGACTTCTCTTCCTGCTTACAGGACAAACATGAGAGAGTGTTCGAATGAGTTGGATCTCGCGTGCCATGAGTTGCTAGGTTTGAATATAAGCCTTTATACCCTGTCACTGAACAAGCTTCAAAAGGGTCGGTAGCTCAGTGGTATGAGCAAGAGATTGCAGATCTCGAGGTCGCGTGTTCGATCCACGCTCGGCCCTCAAAGCATTCTTTTTTACACCTATATTACCTCTCAGGTGTCTTGTGGCTAGAGCTTCTTGCCATGCGTAAAACTTTTTAGCAATTGGCTTGCAGTAGGAGGGAAGTCCCCGGATGGTCGATCGATGCTGGCTTAGTGCCTAAACTGAAGAGACTTGTTTTTGGCCTACCCCTGTTACTCTATAATAAATCCACTAGTCGCGTTTGCTAGCATTGCACGCACTAGTGTATCTACCCATGGATTCATTCATCAGTATTCAATGCTATTGCCAAAACCATAGCTGTGATTCATGATGTCAAAAAATGCGCCGCCAACCACAATTCAAGGGTCGGTAACTCAGGGGTAGAGTGTGGGACTGCAGATCTCACGGTCACGCGTTCAAATCGCGTTCGGCCCTTGTCATTCTTCTTTTTGGCCTGCTACCTATGGTTTCGTTGATCGTAAAGAAACTCAACACTGGAAACTTGTGTTGGCTTGATTTTTTTTCTGTTTAGGGGATACATAGTTCATCCTTGCACTTTGTTTCTCATATTATTCATATACTTTTGTTCTGCGAACCTTAATTGTGGCAATCCATGGAAGGAATGACATTCGTGTTACTGAAGAATCTGAAAATATATTCCGTGCTGGGTATCGCAAAATGTTATAATGTACACAAAAATCACCCACCCAAACCACACTACATACTAGGAGCCAAGGACAGAACTTACGCCTCGCTCCTCGTGCATTATTTCATCACCTAGCACCATACTATCAGCCTCATGAACACTTCCAGGACTCGAGCCTGGAGGCGAAATATCATGCCGGACATCAGTGTTGCCTCCACTTGCGTCCACCCCAGCAGAACCCGACAAAAAAGATTGCATATGCCCTTGCTCGAGACGTCGTCTTTTATTCCTGTTCTCAAGAATTTCGTCTTGCAAGTCAAAAGCATCGTGGCCATATTCCTCCCACTCGCTTCGGTAGAGTAATCGATCCCGCCAATCGAATAGATCATCCATCGACTTCCGCCCCCCAATCGGTCTTTTGCGCGGTTCTGGCTTCACCTGACGAGGATCTCTTCCATTTGGCCCTTCGGTCTCGGCATGACCATATGATGGAGTAGGCGGAGCCGACCGACCAACTAGCTCCCAAAGGTTAGACTCTTCAGCGCGGCTTGCTTCCCTGTCAACCTGTTCTGCGTGTTCGTCCTCCGAGTCAAATGGAACATCCTCAATGGGCTCCGGTGATACTGCCTGACCAGAGAGAGAAGGCTCGGATTCGTTACCGGCGTCTGAGCCCTGATCGTCAATCACCTGGCTCCCATCCCTACCCCTAGAAACGCTCCTCGCGATCGAGTCCGACTGGGAGGGTAATGGTAGCTTTCCAGATAGAATGTCCTCTACCTCGTCATAGTCCATTTGTATCGACTTCCAGTCCTTCACGTGTCGGTTATCCACAACATCAAGGGAGAGTCTCCGGGCGAGACCAACCCAAAACTCAGAGCTATCTCGCTTCATGTTCAAGACGTCCAATGCCGTTCTAACATCGCGAGCCCTGACTTCGCGAGCCCTCGCCCGGCCGTCATCTTGTACTTTTCGCAACCTTGCATCCGCAAAGAAGAGGGACGACTGTACCAAGCGGCGCGTTAGACTCACAGCCAATGCATAGAAGTCGGCGAACGCATCCGCCGTCAGGGACGGGGTTTCATCTGCGAAAGACAGACCACGCCAATTCTCATCCGACCGTGTGCCCCCGGAGTTCATGAAAAATCTCTCCGAGAGGTTAACCCAGTTCCTCATCTTGAACAAGCTAGCCGTGAGATGCACACTGGATCGGTCGTAGACACCCCTATCCGGAGTATGGAGCTGTTCATCCTGAGTTCCTGTTTCCAGGTCTTTTGCTCCGTGGCTGTTTTTATTTTGGGCTTCTTGATTAGCTGGATTTTCATCTTCCGCGAGTCGATGATCTGGATCGTCTGCTCTCGCTCGACGGTCGGCTTTTTCTGTTTTGGCTCGATGATCCAATTCCAAAGCTTTCTCATAATCGATAACCCAGAAATCGTGGTGCTTGTGCCTTCCAGTGACATCCTCATCCTGTTGCTCTTCCAAGCGCAGTAATTCGGCATAATGATCCAAGGTTCTGTGACATTCATTGCCAATCTCGGCGGCAGCGGGAACATCGGCCAGAATAATTGTTCGGCTATGCGAGTGCGTCATATGGCGCTTTTGCAGACCGTTCTGTAAGAGTCTGAGATGTTCCTGCACTTCGATTTCCGACTTCGAGCCGAGTCTGCGGGCAACCTCGCGGATCCCTTCTCTCCCCTTCCGGTCCAAGCTGCGGTATAAGACTCCCTTCTCTTGTGGATTCCAAACCACGACTCCATTCTGTGTAGAGTTATACCTCTCAGCGTCGGGGTCCGCAAGATCGGGCGTGTCATCATCGGCAAGTTGTCTTAACACATCGGCATAGAGATCCACCGCTTTTCGTGGTAGCGCGGACTGCAGGTTCTCGAGAGCCGATGCTCGTGTGGTATTTTTGCGTGCTACCCTGCGGGGCTCCGCGTCTGTTCTCTCATCATGCGTCTCATCCAATGATGATGCTGATCGGGTATTCTCGTCGGTGTTGCAAACAGGGTCCGATGGATCATCGTCTATCGAATTGCTCATGATCGACTAGCTCACACCGGATGCGTAGGTGAAACGAATTCCAAACCATCGCCCCAGATTTACATCAAAACCAGTAAAATGACCATCGGCGCAACCAAGGTGAGGAACAATTAAAGTTTAGGTGAGTGGAGGACTGACAGACAAGGTGACTTTTTTTTATCGGGGAAGATTTCTGATAAGAGCCCGTTTGCACTGTTTGCTTTCACCCGATAGATACTTAGCTTTTTATTGCCCGGAATTCTTTCCGTAGGCCTCTCTCGGTTCACACGCGGGAGGTTTATCGCTTTTCACTCCATGGCATCTGAATGGACCATATTCGCCGGAAATTGGGATCGATTCCCATTTCAGTTGGGTTGAGGGCACTGAGAGCTCCCTGGACACCTAATGTACGTATTGCATTCGTGCGCCACGGGTCTGCTGTAGCATACGCCGATGAAGCACCTGCAGCAGCAGCAGCTCCCGAACCGCCTGGGATTGTCCTTCGGGACTACCAGGAGGAATGCATCCAGTCGGTGTTGGATCACCTGAAACAGGGCCACAAGCGCCTGGGAATTTCACTTGCAACGGGCGCAGGCAAAACGGTTCGTTTGACAAGAACGTTGAGAATAGAGCGAGAGCCTTAGACTGACTGGCGAGCCATCAGGTCATCTTCACCCAGCTCATCGGACGCGTTCCGCCGCGCAATGGAAAGCACGACAAAGCGCTGATCCTCGTCCATCGAAGGGAGCTCGTCGAACAAGCTGCCCGGCATTGTCGACTTGCCTATCCCGACCGGACCGTCGAGATTGAGATGGGCAATACCGTGGCAACCGGACATGGGGACATAATCATCGCGTCGGTACGGAGTCTCACGTCGAAGGACCGGATCGAGAAATTCAACCCCGCACATTTCAAGCTGATCCTGGTCGACGAGGCGCATCATATCGTCGCGCCCACCTATCGCACCGCATTGGCTCATTTCGACCTCAACGAAGCTTCGTCCAACTCTCCCGTTCTTGTTGGGGTGTCGGCCACGTTCTCACGCTTCGATGGCCTCAAGCTCGGCGCCGCCATTGATCACATCGTGTATCATAAGGATTATATGGATATGATTGACGAGAAATGGCTTTCGAATGCCGTGTTCACGACCGTTCGCTCGCGAGTTGACCTAGCAAAAGTCAAGAAAGACAAATTCGGCGATTTCGCCGTCGGCTCCCTCTCCGAAGCAGTCAACACGGATAAAACCAACGACATAACGGTGCGAGCATGGCTAGCCAATGCGGAAGGCCGCAAGTCTACATTGGTGTTCTGCGTGGACCTGGCGCACACTAAAGAGCTCACGGCGAAATTCCGGAGTCTGGGTATCGATGCCAGATATATCACGTCGCAAACCCCTAAGGATGTCCGCGATGAGCAGCTGCGCAGCTTCAGGAACCTGGAGTATCCGGTGCTTTTGAACTGTGGACTCTTCACCGAGGGCACTGACATACCTAATATTGATTGTGTACTACTTGCAAGACCGACCCGTTCCCGCAATCTCTTAATTCAGATGATTGGAAGAGGGCTGCGGTTGTTTCCTGGCAAGAAAGACTGCCATATAATCGATATGGTAGCCACACTCGAAACCGGCGTCATTTCCACACCGACTCTTTTCGGACTAGACCCGGATGAAATACTGGAGAAGACAAAAGTGAAGGATATCAAAGAGAAAAAAGACGACGAGGACAAAAATCACCGAGAGCAGTCCGACTCAAAGCTCCCGGATTCCTATGCCGAGGACCCTGCTCAATCGGGCGACATCAAGCTCACCTTCACCAAGTATGACACGATCTATGATCTCATCAATGACATGAAATCCGATAGACATATTCGCTGTCTGAGCCGCTACGCCTGGGTCCGGGTCGCCGAGCATCGATACGTTCTCTCCGGCACAGCGGGATGGCTCACCATTGAGAAAGAGTCGGAGCGGCAGCCTGAAGAATGGACGGTGCACCATGTCCTGCAGTACGGATCATCCCAAGAGACTAGAAAATATGCCCGACCTCGTCTTATCGCCTCCGTAGCGGACTTCGAAGCGGCCGTTCGCGCTGCGGACACATTCGCTGGTGCTGAGTTCGAGGAGCGATACATCTCTGCCCATCAGCCATGGCGTCGGCAACCGGCCACGCCGCCTCAGCTTGAGAGGCTCAACAAGGCCAAGATCCGTGATGGTACAATTACGGCCAAGGATATCACCCGAGGACAGGCGGCGGATATCATCACGAAGCTGAGGCACGGTGGCAAGAAGCGATTTGCTAAGAAGATCAAGGAACGACAGGTCGCAGCAGATAAGGCTCGAGAATTTGAGGATCTGAAGAGAAGGACAGAGGTGAAGGTCGGACCCTTGGAAAATTAAGAAGATCGTCAATGTGATGATTGATCTATCTGTCTTTGGCTACACGCCCAGGACCATAGGGTTTATCTACATCGAGTCATGCGATGACAAGTCCCGTGACGTTGACCAAGAGAGCTTCTAGCGAGCTAGTCAAATGAATTTGGACGGGCATATACCAGAAGACCAATACAAGTTCCAAGTAATTTAATGCTATACTCGAGCACTGTACTACTCTCTAGTTGAAGATAGCTGGAAGTATGGCATGTTTTGCCCACTTTGCCGTGTTTGAAGAATTGGCAGTAGCCACCGCTTCGCACCTTCACCTGAGCCCTTCGACTCGCCTTCCCGGGCCTTATTCATCTCCCTCCTCAGCCCTCCCCCCTCTCCCCGGCTCAAACAGTCTTCAAAGCCCCATACATGGAAATGAAAATACTACTCGACCAGAGCAGTCCCATACTCCAAACAGGAATGATAGTACATGCTCACATAAGCCCCTTTCTCCTCCGTATATGCGAGAGACACGATGCTGTGAATCCGAGTGGTTTGGCTCAGGTCCTCATGCGCACTGCAACCCCGTCAGCACAGACACTGGACGGAAGAACCAAGAAAGGGGGGAAACCAGAGTCAAAGGACCGGAGAAAACTCACAAGACATACTGCAGGTCATCGACGTAAGTGTTCGCCTTATCCTCCCAACCGAGGGACTGGAAGAACCGGGCCAGAGCCTTGGCCGCAAACAAGTCGTTCTTCCGATGCAATGACAGGTACATCTTGGGGAGAGGCGTCTCGTGATCCGGATGGATCTCATAATTCCACGCCAGAACGAGGAGCTGCCTGGCCAAACAACTCCGCCGGTGGGTTTCCTGCTCCTCTTCCGAATCCTCAACCAGATGGCGCCCACAGCAGCAAATCCCCGCCTCGTCATCTTCCTCCAGGTACGCCCACAGCCGACGCAGCAGCTCCAGGCCCTTCGCGCACCACGTTTCCCTCTGCGCTTTCCCTCCCAGCGTCCACACATGCTCCGCCTTCTCCAGACTAGGAGGCTCCTCGCCGCCAGAGAGCCCGTAGAGCTTTAACCTCGACGTCGCCGCATCGGCATAATCCCATCCTAAAAAGTTGAACTCCGTGAAATGCTTGCCGGCCTCCATATATTCGACCGCCATCCGCGCCGCAGCCACGTTCCCGGTTCCGGTCCGCGCGTGCATGCGTTCCAGACACTCGAGAACGGTTGCTCCCAGGGCCTCCGGGGCGAGTTTCCACCGGACGCCCAGGAACGCATAGCCCTTGGCTGCAATCGTGTCGGCCGACAGGAAATCAAACCCCATGCAGTAGGTGCCTTGCACCGAGTGGGGTGTGAATGCGTAGTCGCGCACGAGCCGTTGCTCCTCCTCGCCGGAGATGGCGGAGTAGCCCATGATCTGCCGGTGCAACTCCATATCAAAGGCCCCTAGCCCCTGTGCTGCCACCTGGGCGGAGATCTGCGCGGCCGCCACCTGATTGAAGCGGTCATGGGCCGTGTCTGTCATCGGACCAATGGGTTCCATGGTGAGACGCACGGTCGACGTTGACGCAGAGCCCTTGCCCTGGAAATTGAGACTCATCTCGAACGGGTGGCCCGTGATGGTTAGCAGGCTCCGCCATTGATGCGGGTACGGGCCTAAAAAGGGTACGAGCTGATTGCGAAGGAAGAGGAGGTATTGGTACTGTTGCGATAGAGGGTATTGTGCGACTTGGAGGAGGCGGCCCAGGAGAGGGGCGATGTTCTTCCACCACTTCAGCTCGTTGGGGTTTGGAGGCTGCGTGGGATATTGGACGATGATGTCACATGGGTTGTCGGAGGCGTTGCTCTTGGGGGTTTGTGTCTTACGAGCATCACGGAGTGTGGTGTCCGTCTCGGCTATTGCTGACGGTGATTCCGGCAATGGAGGTACTGGGGGCCTGACTGACTCCTGCGACTGGTCCGTCTTTGTCATCCTGGATTGATGTAGAGGAAGGTAGCGTCAGTTAGGAGGTAAGTGGTCTTCCAAGATGAGCTGGGTATATATAGTCTCCAGATGCTATTCGACAAACTGCAAAAACAGCCCCGAGTTCTCAACTCTGCCTGGCATGAAACATGTCAAGGGTGAGTGTAGTACGCCAGCTAACTGCGTCAACGAAACGCCAGGTTTATCAACCACATCGAACGCGTTCCTGCTCTGATGGCACCCGAGGAGTGTCCTAACTTTGTCACAGGACCTGTCCAGCACAATCCCTCGAGATATACTCCGAAGTCCGCTTCCCCTGGCTTGCCTTGTTCCACCACTAGCATGGCAAAAGTCTGACAAACGTAACTCTGCCCTCGACGAATAACCTCGGTATTCCTTCCGACGCAATCAGCAACCAGCAGGAGAAGGAGACCCTGGCAGCAAGCCCCCATCAACAGTGATTGGACTAGAGCAACTGCTCAAATATGACAGAGCCCGCAAAATGTGTCATCACTGGTCAATGCTGAGTTGCCATGAACATTCCATCCCGTGAACACAATGCTTATCCGGTGACACAACTTCAGGCATCATCAAACGGCTATCCACGAATCAAGCAATAAACATGTCCATACAACATTTGCTTCAAAATGCTACCTCTGACAATCAGCATAATACATATCCCACAAGAACTAATCAAATATACTGTCGAACGCCCGTCGAGCTTCCTTAACATTACCTGAAGGACTATGCCCTGGTAGTTCTATTCAGTTCGGACAATTAGCTTTGTAGCTACTTCTTCGAAGTCCAGAACCTATCTGATCTGCAACGCCTACCGAATTCCGGCTCCAGGGCTCCCGGTCGCCGCGAGTGGCCGGCGGACAACCCTAGCATCGTCAAACAGTCATCCACACATCCAGCAATGACCATAACAATCCAATATTTGAGTAGAAATGCTACCCCTGGAGATCTCCATAATACATATCCCACGAGAACCAGTCAAACATGCTATCAAACGTCCGTCGAGCCTCTTTACCCTTACCTAAAGGATTATGTCCAGGCCAGGCTCCCATATCAGCCGGAAGTAAGCCAAGGTAGCTGGAACCATTGAGTTCTTCTACCTCTACGCGGGTGCGCTCGTGGTCGTGCCATTCACACGGCGGATTTTCATTTCCACTGGAAGCGGAGTGAACATTCCTCGCCAGCTGCAAGAAGGTAGCCGCAACATGCTCGAGCCTGGTACACAGCGTCGCTAGGAGACGCATCTGCGAGCGCATGCTTGCGAAATACGTCACCGTTGTCGCGAGAAGGTTGAGATCGTGTTCAACGGTAGGTGTCTTAGGGCCTGGATGGTGCACGATGTTCTCAAAGATAACGAAGAAAGAAGTGAAAGGGTAGTAAAGAAGATGCCTTTTTCCCAATTAGTGGTTAGTTTGACTAGACATTCTGGGCAGGACGCAGGTGTGTTTTACCAGATAATGCCGTTGTATACGGAGTTCCAATTGGACACCATTGACGTCAGAAGGGATAGGGCTTCGCGGGCGGACGATAGACGCAGACTTGACGAAGACTCCTCGCCTTTTAGCAGCAGGATCAGCACGTGCAGGTACTGGAACTTCATGCTGTTGATGCCGAGGGCCATCTCCCGGACTTGGTCTGCTGTGGATGAGGCTCTCTCAACTTCCAGAATCTCTGTCATACGCTGTCTTAGGGTGAGAGGGGTTCTTTGAAATGAGAGGTGAGCGGATACCCACCTGGTTAGAGTACGAGTACCAAGCATTTAGCTTGGATCGTAGTTCCATGCGTGAATAGACTGCGGAGTGACCGGTAGTAAGGACATCCGCAAGGATCCCCATCAGCTTTGCTAGCTCGATAGAACAACGGAGCATCTGTGCACCGAAGTGAGATACTCTTGGGTGGATCTCTGCACCGTGCATACGGGTATGTGGCTGGTACAGGAGTAGGGTACTGTCGTCCGGCAGAGGAACATGGTGGTACAAAGCCGTGGGCAAGAACGCAGGGCGGCCGAAGGCAAGAGAGCAGGATTTGTCCATCATAAAGAGAAGCCAGAAGAGACACAGTTGATGCTGTCGCGATTCAGACGAGCCTTGAGGACCAGATATATGCATGCCGAGCGCTTCCGCCTGCCTGCATGCGCTGCCAAGCAACATCCACGAGGTATTGGGCGCGGCGTAGTCCTCCCCATGCATAGCTAGAAAGGCTAGTACTTGCACGTTGATTTCGCGCGGCTCAAGGAAGATACTGCTGTTGTTGAGGGCCAAGTGCACGTTTCGACGTAACACTGCTGCGTTCTTGCTATCCTCCTCGACAGGCACGGCTGCCAACAGCATGTAGTTGAAATAGACGACCCAAGCCTTTTCCTGAACCCTGTGTGGTTCAAAGACAACTTGCAAGATGACTTCATCCGACGGACTGATGAAAAATGGGTTGCCAAGGTCGGCTATCTGAAAGAATCCTGGGTTATCCCGCGTCGATGTTAGTTATAAGTGCAAAGTATGAAGCACGAATCGGGTAGCCTTACGACTGATCATTCGGTAGCCGGTTGCTTTGGAGGGTACATGAAAGACAGATGCACTTTCTTCAGTCATCTGCTCAACGTGACTAGTACCTAGCTGGCTAGATAGATATTGAAGCTCGGAGCGGGCACTTTGGTGAGTGGCATCACTCGGTGGTCGGGGTATCTTCCCGATGCTCGCTGATGCCTCTCGCAAGAATGAGAATGAATGCGACGGGCCGATGTAGAGCTTCGGATTGGAACAATCCTTCTCAACCACAGTTCTTTGGTAAGCCTCAGATGGTTGTCTCGGATCACCGATCCGAGCGGGTGCTGAGGCAATGACTTGTAAAGCTCTATCGACGGACTCGGACAGTTGCTGTACTAGCTGCTCAAGATCTTGTAGTCGACTTTCTATGGTTCGCTCATCAGCTGACCCACTACCCAAGGAGCTTGATAATATTTGTAATTAGTTCCCATGCTACATAGGCTCAGTTGTGCTTGACTGACTTGACGTCGTATCTATCTCTCGAATAAATGCACTCGCCTGGCCATGGCTTGCAAGTATTACATTTCGGCAGCTCCCGTGAACATCTGCTACCATTTAGCCAGGATTCTAGAGCATGCGAGCATATGTAAGCTTACTTTAGCTTCTTTTGCCTGCAAAAGTCACACTGTGCATGTCAGTGGCGTGTTTTTCGGTGGCGGTCAATCTACAGTACTGCTTACCGCAAACTGGGCTAACCTGCGTTGCATGGTAAGAGCACCTGATCGGTCGGTCCCGGAAGGAGATTCGGATTAGCGAGCCTGATATGTTCCAGGTAATTCGAAGCAAAAACCAAGAGTTCAATGTAAGAATGGCCGCCGGCGATGCAAAGTCCGAGACGATTGTCCTTTGGTTCGGAGCCTCCGGAGTGAGCCAATCAGAAGGGCTCGAAGGGACTCTCCGCGGCCGATAGATGCGGAATCGCGACAATGAGGGATATAAGTATCAGTGCCTCTTGGACGGCTGCCTATTGAAGTAGAATGTCAATAATAATTCAATCAAACCTCTTCTCGTGACAGAGGACACTTCTCGCCTCGAACTGCATTGTCTCTTTGCCGCATACATTCATACCAAAACTATGAACCCAAACCCGTCCATTGCAATCATCGGCGGCGGACCAAGTGGTCTCCTCTTCGCTCGCCTTCTCGAGATCAACGGGGTTACCGACTACATCGTGTACGAGCGCGATGACTCCGCTATTCCAGGTCCGTGGCAGCAAGGAGGCACACTTGACCTCCGCCCCTCCTCAGGTCAACTGGCGCTCCGCCGCGCCGACTTGTTCGATCAATTCAGCAAGTTCGCCCGCTGGGATGCTTCGTGCTTTCATATGCTCTACCCGGACGGGACTACCGCAATCCGCCATGACCAGGAAAGGGATGCTCCCGAGATCGACCGTCTGCACCTCCGTCAGCTGCTCCTGGAATCGATTCCGGCGCACAAGATTCGATGGGGTCATGCTGTGAGGGCCGTCGAAAGGAGAAAAGCCGATGGCAGCCAAGCTGGTAGTGAAAATGGTGATATAGTCATTCATTTCATGAACGGAACCATTGCGTCTGGGTTTCGGTTGGTAGTGGGGGCAGACGGGGCTTGGAGTAAAGTGCGCCCTTTGGTGAGTCTCTTGAGTACACAAAAGCTCCTCCCGATCGGAAGATATGCCCATTTTGTCAAACGGTTCTCTAACCTTTATATCTAACGTCAATGCAGATAACGGCAGCGAAGCCCGTATACTCAGGCAAAATGTTCATCGAAGGCCGCTTATCACATGACAACCCTGGCTACGCCACCGCCAAAGAGCTCGTGGGCCCCGGAAGCATGCTCGCAGCCGGGCACCACAAGAAGCTGGCCGTGCAGCGAGTCTCAAACGGTACATATCGTGTGTACTTCGGGCTGCAAGCCCCCGAAAACTTCTATCACCACCGCGAGTGCAGCAACGGACCCTCTGGGGACGAAGATCTCAACAACCGCACTGAGCAACTGCGCAGCCTGCTACTCTTGTCGGACGAATACTTCGCCACCTGGGGGTTGCAGCTGAGAAAATTCGTCGAGACCGCGGAGGGGCCCTTCCGTGCCTGGCCGCTGTATCGGATGGACCCCGAGAAGCTTTGCTGGAGTGGAAAGACCCCTGGGGTAACGTTGCTGGGGGATGCAGCGCATGTCTCGACACCGTTTGTGGGAGAAGGAGTCAATTGCAGCTTATATGATGCTGTCGTGCTGGCTGATAGCATTGTCAAGCATTGCGGTGACGGTGCGGGATTCGATAGTTCGAGTGCAGAAAAGTTGAACCGTGCTCTAGAGGAATATGAGGAAGACATGTTAGCGCGAGGACGAGATCTGATTGAGCGCAGCACGGCGATGGAGAAGATATTCTTCTCTGAGGACGCGGTGACAGGAGTTCTCGAGTTCTTCAAGAGTTTCAGTGAGAAGTCTGAGTAGAGACATGGGTGGATGTTTAAGGCCTGGTCCTCTTCTCTGGGTGCTTCAAGAGGGAATGATTCCATTAGATGGGACCAAGGGCCAAGCGAGGTGGCCAGTCGAAGGGGAATGTATAGTATGTGTATGATGTGCAATTGGATAGTCGATAGAAAAACCGACCTTCTCTGGAAGACGGGACGCGGAATCCACGACACTGTCCGTACCTGGCCTGAGCGGTAAGGCGACCAATATCAGTACAGAGGGGATATCAATACACCTGGCAGAGGACTCTTCCTTCCCAAGGGGACTTACCAGGTAAACTAAGACACGGCGGAATCAAATGCACTATTCTTCAATTACTGCTTTCTTGGACACTCGCACACCGATTATCAACTATCCCAACAAGCTAGATCTGATTATCCTTTAACCCTGTTACCTATTTTACCAATTTGGACCTCAATGGCAAGCAACAGAGCACAAACGAAAAGGCCTAAGCGAGCCGCTCCTCAGAACAATGCCGGGGTGTGAGCAGCGTCCCCTCCTCTCCCCAATTCCACAGATTCGCTAACCACACGCAAAAAGCACCAGGCAGCCAAAACGCCCCAAACCATCCATCGCGTGGATCAAAGTACTGGTAGGCCCGCACGGCACGATGTACCGGATTCCCGAACGAAGAGCCCGTTCGTCATCGGAGTTCTTCGACAAAGCACTGGCGGGGACATGGAAAGAAGGCACGCAGCGTACTGTCAGGCTTCCCGACGTTGACACTCGCACGTTCGGAGAGTATTTCTGGTGGCTCTACCATCCAACCTATATTCCCAGTTCGAAGTTCAAAGACCTTGTCGAGGCGTATATCCTGGCTGACAGGCTTATGGTTAAAGATTTCGGGAACCAGTTGATCAATATGATTGTGACACGGTTAACTGGTGGCAGCAGCGGATATCGCTCTCCTCCTTCCAAGGAGGAGATGGAGTTCGTGTGTCGGACGTTACCTCCCCTGACGCCTCTTTACCGGCTGCTGGTAGATTTTGAAGTCTACGTTGGGTCGTTCGCAATGAATTGGCTGAAGGACATGGATGTGGACAAGTGGTTTCGGCTATGGATGGTGAAAAGCTGAGCCGTGAAGACTGGCTGACCCGACGGTTCATACTGCAGGTGATGTCTACGGCGATGTCTCGGTTTGCGTCTAGTCGACCTCAAACATTCCAGATAAGTGCCTCGGATTACCACCGAACTGTGGGCGGTGATGAGGCCACCTGATATGGCTTCCCCATTGTGCTCTACCCTTGCATAGATTCATGAAGACCATAGATAGTCCCTACCAACTGAAATCATCATGCACCATGCAATAAGACATGCTCTGACACAAACCACAACCTCACTCAACCACCCCCTTCTCCCTAAACTAAATATACGGCCCATCCTTCTTGCTAGTAAAGCAAAAATCGGTATGACACTCACCCAGCCTGACCCCCTCCCCCTCGCCGACCTTCCCCAATCCCCAGCCGCAGCCCGCAAATTAAACCGCCAAAGAATCCTCGCCAGCACCACCGTAAACTCAATCATGGCTAGTCTTTTCCCCACACACGACCTCGGCCCGGCCTAGAACGGTGCGAACGCACTCGGATTCATCCCCTCTCTGCCGGTCGAACTCCCCAGCCACCTCTGCGGACGAAAGCCGAACGGCTCCGGGAACTACGTCGCGTTATGATGGAGGGCGTAGATGCCCGCCCCGACTTCCATGCCCGCCGGGACAAATTCCCCGTCGACCATCGCTCCGCCGGGCAGGACCTCGCGCCAGAGCGCGCCCGCCACGGAGGGCTTCAGCCGTATGGCCTCGTCGATACAGGCGCGGAAGTAGACGCAAGAAGCGAGGGCGGGGTTTCCGGGGCAGATGTCGTCGATGGACGTAAATGCACGGCGAACTTCGTGGGTGGCTTGATTCAAGGCCCTGGGGCAGCGCGAGAGGTAGAAGAACGCTGCTGCCATCGCTGTAGAGGCTGTATCCGAGCCTAGGGCGATGGATCAGCGAAAAGCACAAGCCCCTCCAACGCGTAAAGAGAGGAAACAGAAGTTCCCACCAGCAACAATCAACAGATTACTCTCCGCCCACAGCTCCTGGAATGGAGATCCCTTACCAGCTTCCGGATCTTTAACGGACAGCAGCTTGGTGCAGATATCCGCGGCCCCCGGATTCGAGTGTCGCTTGCGATCCTCCATGATCGAGCGACCGGCCTGCGAGAAGCGGAGGGCCTTGGCCATGGCTCCTGGGTAGAGAAAGCGGCCGAGGTGGAGTTTCTCGACCAGGTCTCTTCGGTCAGCAGGGACATGCGCCGCAATTTGGGACATGATGCCGTCGAGGATGTAGTGGTGGGTGTTCGTGTCGAGGGCGTTGAAGGGACGGCCGAAAACGAGCTCGGTCATGACGTCGAACGTGTAGAAGGCGCCTTGTCGTGGTGTCAGTAAAAACCGGAATATCGAAACTGTTGAGAAGGCGTACTCCACTCAGCCATGTTCTTTGGGGCACGCCCATTCATCTTCCGTGTCATTGGCGACTACTGGACTGAAGTTATCCTGCTTCTCGCTCAAGCGGTTACACAGGTGGTCAACAACCCTCAGGAATGGAGCTTTCCAGCAGTTTCAGATTCTGGTCGGAGAGGCCTTGGCTAAAAATGCGACGTTTCCTGCCGTGGGCTTTCTTGTCGACGACATTTAGGGTGCTGTAGGCGCCTTTGATGAGGGGGATGCTGTGGTAGGACTGGCTTTTTTGGACATTCTTGCGAAATCATAGATGTCTGGCTAGTTTCAATCATGCTGGGCTGGTTTCAGTTGGCAAATAGTGCTTACCGGGGACCAGTGCTGGAGGCGAAGACAATGCGGTGTGGAGCGTAACGAACGATGGGCCCTGTCTTAAGACTTAACAGCGTATGAGGGAAAAAGAATGCTCAAAAGAGAAGGCACCAAATTTCTGATGACAACGCCAAATATGAACATGCAGATTACCGGATTTGCCGTGGTAGACAGCCCTCTATGTCGTGATTTTGGCGAGAAAAGGGCCCGGATAGTTGGCCAGTGGGTGAAAGTACAATCGGTAGATACAGATGCCGACGATATGTCCGCGAATGAGCAATTCCAACCGAAGAGAAAGACGTACGGACCAAGGCTGTGACTCATGTAGAGAATCCCAGAGAAGAGACTCCAGCCATTAGCCGGAGAAAAAGATGCTGGACGTTTGCTAGGAAAGAAATCATGATTGAACAGTTGTCGTGGAATAGGCCCGCCAGTATGTACAGTACACTCTCCAAATGAAGGAGGCACAAAATCTACCTTTAAAGGTAGCTTTAGACTTGAACAGATTTATCAGTACTCTAAAGCCCATCAACCACACTACGTTATGGAATTTACCCCTCTGTCGGCTAAACATGACATGACTGACTCGAACAAGGGTCATCATTCAGCATGATTCTTTGCAAGCTGCAAGCAGTGGTGACAAGAATCACAGCCAAGAAGGCCTGCCCACCACCACCGCACCTAACCCACCGTCCCTAGTGGAATCATCAGGACACCTGCCAAGGCATAGCTGAAGTATGTGCATTGCCCTGGATTCGCTTGGTGCCATCCGTAGTGGTTGTGTCGGATATAAGGAAAAAGCATGCGGGGGTGAGATTAAGATACGGGTTGTTTTGTAACTCAATGGTTGTTTACAGTTTGTTGAAAAAGAAGGCTTATTTTCCGGTTTGTGAAACTTGAAGGTAATCACGGGAATCGACAAGACCATCATCTACTCAACGACTGCATGAAAACCACGGAATTTGCTCGCCTGTCTATCGAATGATTCCCGGATGCAAGCAAAAAGCTTAAAAAGAATTCTCCCCGACTGGGAGTCGAACCCAGGTCTCCCGCGCTTGTTCCCGAGAGGGATTGACAAGCGGAAATCATGACCGTTAGACCATCGAGGAATGGAGATATCTTCATCTTGATATTACAGCAATACAGCGTTTAACAAATGCTCAAGTATGATCCGCCCAATATCACAGTTCAATGAACCCTGATCTTCTTCTTCTTGTCAATAAACAGTGTCAGAACAAAATTTGCCTGTTGCTAAATGCTTATTTTGCAAGAGAAGAAACTCACACCGATCCGATACCAAACACTGCTCCGATGATCCGAATATACTTTGGGCGTTACACCGGGGTGGTGAAAATAGACAGCATCATCATGACCCCGCGATATATGCCACCCCCCCCCAAAACCTAAATCGGCTATCGCCCGTCCGACGATGGACAATTCATGTTTGGCGCCGCGCCGCAGACGGCAGATCCGATCTCAAAGACACCGACACATAGCACGTATATCCATTTTGGGTTGCAGTGACCGTATACACGTCCCCTGTAAGTGCGATGGTAAGATTTCGAAGAACAAACCCAAAGGGGATTTTCGTACCAGAAAATCTTTGTACTTGCCGACCCTAGAAGAGACGCGACAGACAGCCAGGGAAGCTTGAGCTTGTCAATAGAATCAAAGTCTTTGATGATATTTGGCTGTACGTCTGCAACAATTGCCTGGTCAAGCGCATATAGAAACACACTTGACAGGATAGCAATAACTAGCCATGGGTTATTCAATTCAATCTCATCCGCAAAGATAGAAGGACAATATATCAGCGAAAGCCCATCTGATGCCGTGGACATCCCATGCAGGAAGTGCGGCAGGAGGTGCGGGTCAAGCAGAAGATGCGGGTGATGAGGATGTCACAGTATCAGTTGAACTCAAGTCATAATGTGCTTCTTTCTCTTCGTCCGACTCTATCTCCCCATGCGAGGGTGTTAGTGTCCCTGGGTTGGTCCAACTTGCGGGAGGCTTTGGCTGATGAAACTCCAACGTAGTTCTCGAAGTCTCAGACATGATTGTAGATAATGAACAGCCGAGAATAGCAGACTGAGGTGTCTTTCTAATTGAATGGCATGGAGGAGAACCGAGGCAAGACTGGACAGCCTTTCAAGACATTTTAATAGAGCTGGGGATGAGTAACCCCAAATCTGTGGTATCTGCTTCAAGCGCACAGGTGGCTAGAATTCATAACCCATGGTAGTATCCGCAAAGTGCTTATGTTCAACTCGAACAAAGGTAGCCCATGGACAACGTGTCCAGAATTTCTGCCCAGGAATTCAATGCGCATAAGACGGAGGATGGATGGTATGGTGATGGGATGACAGTTAGGAGACGGCAGGTAGACGGACGGGGGAGCCCGGGGTTAAGCGTTACAAAATCAGCAGCCCAGCGTCACGTCACGTTCCTGACTACGTATATCCCAGATTCCAAATTCCGTGCCTGGTATTTGTGTTTCCAGAGTTCGAAAAGGTAACCAGTTTATGACCACATTTCTGCCTGCCTGCCTCACACTCCCAACCCGGCGGTGGTTCAGTATAAAGGTTCCCCGCGCACGGCGTGTTGGATAGCCTCAGCGCCCAGGTCCTTGCTCAGTGAGTGCGTTTGCGGCGCGGGGATGTCGCAGTTGCAGCAGTAGTGGAGGTATTTGCCGGATATCTCGACGACGTTGGCGGCGTGCAGATGGCGTTCCGAATCATACGTCGGAAGGAGGGTTGAAGTTGGGGATAGGTTGCGTGCGCAATAGCCGAGTTTCCAGGTTAGATTAGAGGCGTCGAGGATTGAGGCGTTGAGTTCAAAGGCTCCGAAGACGCTGTGGACGTGACTATTGCATGATTATACGCAGTTAGTTGCGGCCTGGTCGAGGTTGTAAGGTGGGGAACAAAAAAACAAAAGCGCACGAGGCAAACTTACGCAGCATCGTCTGCAAGGTGGACTCGCAGATTATCAGAAGGAAAAGCCTCTGCGACCCGCTCAATGACTTTCCAAATCGCAAGCCAGGTCAGCGGCGAGGCAAACCGGACAGTATAGGGTGTGAAGATGCGATTCGCTTGCTCGAGGACCTCTTGGGGCGTGATGGAGTTAGCATCCACCTTGCCTCCGGCTTCTTTGGAGGAAGGGTCCAGCTCCTGTCGTCCTCGGGTAAGACGCTCAGTCAGCGACAAGTTGAGCTGTGTATACAGCCGAATATGCCCTACTCACGCGGAATGATCACACAGCAACCATGCTCCGTACTCAGATAGCGCCAAAGATCCACGCATGAGGGTAATCGGACTCGAATTTCCCGTCCATGATGCCCCAGTACATGTCTGTGCTCACACCATGAAAGAGGATATTGAGCTTCTTGCGGATCATGCTTGCAGCTCCATCGCTTCTGACCAGAAACTTGGCGCGAATGGTCTCTGTCTCACCGGTCCCCGGTTATCTCGAATAACCGCTCGGACAGGTCTGTCAAGATCTTCAGGAGATTCAGAAACTGTGTACTCTTGGAGAGCTGTGCAACACTCGACCAGCACCTGATGTCGCAGCAGGTCTCGCACGAAGACCCGCTCCAGCTGACCCTGTGTGATGACGTGGAGGCCCCGGTATCGCGAGTCCGATTGATGTGTGCGGCCGTGGAAGAGGACCTCTCCGTCTCGCCAGATCGCCGTCCGCTCGATCGGGGGTCCTTCCTCACCGACCTCCGTCGTGAGGCCCCATGCATGAAGGATTTCCAAATATCGGGGTAAAACAGCATCGGCACGGCCGGTAGGCAGAGGGCCTTCGTTCTTGTCCAGAATCCGGATCCTAATGCCCTGGAATCTGCTCTCCCCATGGGAATTATGCACAGACGAGGTCACGATATCAACAAATGGAAGTGTCACATAGTGTGACTCGGAGTTAGGGGGTGTTTCTGTGTCAGGCTTAGGATATCTCCAAGGCTCGCCTGCAGAGGGCTGTCGGATGTCGTTTTTCCAGGTAAATGGCTCGGAGGACTTGGACATTGTAAGAAGTGTAGAGGTAACTCTTCTGGTGTTGGACAGTAATGGAGATGAGTGAGCCCAGCACAGGGAGGGAGCTCATTGTACAGTTTGTCTCTCCAACACAAAAGAGTACAGTTATCTTCAATTTTATATATCCCTTCGCTCCCCACGCCTTGCTATGCTCCAATGTCACCCGCATCCATTCACGCCTCATCATCGCAAAGAATATACCCAGTCCAGAATATTCTGGTGTCATCTTGCGGGGAAAATTGAGCTTTGAGTTATGGCTCTCTCGCATGCCGATAACTTGTAGCGGAATTGTCCAAACTTTCAACATGAAGACTAGTAGATTCGAAAGATACAGTAGTGACGCAAGACATGAGTTTCTTTCTGAGCTTTAAACTTTCACTCCAAAAGGGTCGGTAGCTCAGTGGTATGAGCAAGAGATTGCAGATCTCGAGGTCGCGTGTTCGATCCACGCTCGGCCCTCAAAGCCTTTCTTTTTGGTTCTTTTTCGTTATTTCGCTCTTCATCTTTATGAGATGATATCTCCACAGGGAATTGAGATCCCAATCGAGCAGGTGAACGGAGAGAAAAATGGCAGTCATCCTGCAGCCTTACTGCGTATATTTCTCGATCCCGAAGGAAACTTTAGCATTCAATTGTGATCGCAACGTGCTGAATACGAGCTACATGGTTGATACCTCTTACGTTTACGTATACTCGTTGATGGTTTTTCGTTTTCTGTTTTCTGATCTCCGAAAATATATTTTACCCGAACTGAAAAGCAATAAGGAATTAAAGTATCGTCTGGAATCCAGGCAGACGATGCCATTCGCGACAATCTTGCCCGCTTCTCTCAGGTGGAACCAATCTTCATGCATCAAACACACAGTTGGTTCCATATCTGTACAGCACATAATGATATCCACAGAAGTGAATCGTTTGATTCAAACATGGATGATTCTCGACGCCAAAATCAGCAACAGCCGGCCCTCACGCCTTGCGGTGATATTCTCGCAATATGATCAAGCTCATCTGCTGACCCTGTCTGAGGTGCTTCCAAGATAGCGGCCGCTGGGCTAGTCCCTTGGCTCTACGTTGTACTGGACAAATAAGCCGAATATGGGAAGAGAGAGGGAAAGGCCTTTTCAAGGAACAATGTTCGCGACCCAATTCGGGTAGCTAGAGCCGAGAGTTCGATTTCAAAACCATGCGCTGTGGATATGGTGGAATCCGAGGCAGGATGTACACTACTGTAGCTCGCACTCGCGGCCAAAATGATCTCAACATGGACAGGAACCAAGATACCCTAACGACCCCCAATCCTTCCTTCCCTGAACATGATTGCCAGTTTCTCCAAATTGAACCACCGATAAAAGAGCCAGTCAAAGGCCGTATGGGGGAGAAACGTGCTGGAGAGCCAGACCAGAGTCGTCGCATTGCCATACCCGAACCATGCTTTGGGCGAAGGCTTGACTATCTCCTCGATACCCTTGGCATATTCCTCTGGAGTCATTGTATCTACGCAGAAGCGAAAAGTCAGTCAGTGGGTGCGTTTGCGAATTTCAGCTGAAACCACTTACTGGAGTCCGACGGACGTGCTGCCGAAAGCCATCGGCAAGGGGCCCGTAAACAGATCCCTGAGATAGACTACAATTGAAATCTGGCTTGAGGATGTTGATAGCTACCTCACCGGATATCACATTCACCACGCGAACTCTTTAGTAACCGTTAGCCTCCCCCCCCCCACCAAACCTTGTAGTGAAAGGGAGGAAATTGCACAGACGAACCCGAAAGGCAACATCTCAACGCGTAGAGTATTGCATCAATGGATCAAGGCAGCTTTGCTTGCGTTGTATGATGATCCGTAGACGTACGGGCAGATGCCGCCTATGGAGCCGATGTTCACAATCACACCCTGCCCCGCGATGAGTATGCGATGGAAGATGTACACCATCTGCATCGGCCCGAAGACTTTGACACGGTACATCTTTTCCACTTCGGCGACATCGCTGCCTACTGCTGGCATTGTGTAGACAATTACCCTGGGAGGCTGTCAGTTGACGACTAGCGGGGTATGAAAATGGGCCTCACGCGTTGTTGATCAGAATACCAAGTCTGCCATGGGTAAGAGTCTCGAGAGCCGTATGATGCTCTCTTACGCTCTTCTCGCTCGTCAAATCTACTCGATACACTTTGATATCGCGGACTCCCAAATGAGCGTCATCGTCGTGGGGAAGCAGCGTGGCGATAACAGTATAGCCTCAATAGACGTTAGCATCTTTTGAAGCTCAGTTCAGCCCTGCGGTGCAGTACCTCTATCACGTAGACCATACGCAAGGGCTTGGCCGATGCCACCTGCACCAGAGCTAGAGCATACTGTCAGTAAGTGACGATGATCTTGGTATTGAGAGAGTTACCCGGCGATCAACGCAAACTTCCCAGCCATCGTCATTAAGAGGATACGCAATATGAATCTTTGAGCGAGTGTTCAACGGATTATTTGATGTTGAAGAGAGCATAAGAGACAACAGCGACCAGACCTATTCTGACCGTATGGCTCCTCCGGGGTCACGGCTCTCAGACTAGTTGTGAGCCAACTCAACCTCCGTACGGATGAAAGCTCAGGACGCAATCTGGCGTAGGCACCAGCGAGCTCTACCTTCACTATCCGATTCTCGCTCCGAGTGAGAGGCAGTGCACCAGTATGCAAGGATAGTCTGTTCGGGACAAGAGCCATATCTGTTCTGTATCATCACAGATCTAGCTAGTAAGTCTCGAAGACGATTTTCAGAAGGTTACACAAACCCGAATGTAATTCTGATGATGGGTCCGGCTGCTCAGGACGTTCGATTTCTCGAATTGTATCGTCAACAAAGTGAGGAATCAACAGCAGCTTGTTGCGGCAAAGGTGCATCACGGATCGTCCTCTGACTCCAGAAAGACAAGGATAAGACCCGTGCCAGCGTGATAACTGCTCAATGCGCCAGACCTCGAGAACAGAAGTTAGCGAACAAAATATCATCTGGCCCTTAGATTGTGAGGATACCATGATGGAGATGAGAAGCCACTCTGTGCAGACATTCCGGAAGCGCGAAGCTACCTCTCCTCTCGACTTCTTGCACCCGAAGATCAGGTCGTACCAGTTAAGAGCACAGATGGCACCGGCGGCCCCCTTGAAGCCTGGAGCAAAAGAAAGAGAGCATCTCAAGAATCCGTTCCCGTCTCGGATGACGATAACTAAAAGCTCAAACTCCGTTACGCAACCTGCTAGAATTGCACCGAAGACTTCGACGTGACGAAGAATACTAGCGCGAGCTGCCATTTTCACCCGAGTAAGTCTTGACATAGAGCCACTGATATTTGCAAGTGACTGACATTACCGCCTCGAGTGCCGTATGAGATGAAGATTGACTACTTCCAGGATGATTGGGAAGGCTTTGCCGGTGACTGGTGCAAGGAGGACTGGCCGGAGGCTTTCATCCATCCGTGACGGGGTATCATCGGAAGGCTACCAGGAGAGTCAAGGAGAGGCGTTGATCCTAATGCGGCGAAAAGGGATCCTACCTGATCTATTCTGTATATATCCTCACCCTTATGTTATTCTTGCGAGTGTCTCAGCCAACACGGGTGCGACAATGTATCTACACTCCCAGAGATCGCTTACACCTGCTAGTCTGCTTTCTGTTGAGATTGTGCAAACTCGGATTACTTTATCTACAATAGTCCGCATGGTTGTAACTACCTCATAAATTTACATACATCAGCTAAATTAACTATTGAGAATCAAAGGAATAAGCTTTCCTAACACAGCCCGAATGCATGCAGGTCCTCCCTCCGTCGCTTCCCGATGACAGCCCACTGCTACCTTAAGGTTCCCTTATCGATAAGCCCTACCTTAAATACTCAAGAAGTTTAGACTAGGTCCCTCTACTCCGAGTCCCGAGAGAGATTGCGTCCTCAGGCACACACTCACCTGTGGGGTGAGTGAAAGTGTGGACCCGCATCTTCCAGTTCAAAGTCCGTCATCTCCAAGCAACTCCAACTCAGCTCAGCTTCCGCGCTGCATTCAGTACATACAACATGACTTAAAACCACTACACCCACACCTACATCTACACCTACGCCGACCACACACAACCTACAAGATTGACATAACCTACAATCCCCACCTCACTCTGAACTCCGACCTACAAAACCAAAACCAGGAAACCCACGAAACCCACCCGGAATAAAGTCAACAACGTCCTCAGAACAATGTCCTCACACCCCAACTCCCCCTCCACCCAGCCACAACCCCAACAACTCCAAGAACCACACGACCCCCCTCAGACGCAAAACCAAAAACTCCCCATCCACACAAACCACTGCCGCTTCTGCAACCACCTCCTCCTCGCCACAACCCGCACAATCACGACCCTTCCGCGCCGCAAACCTCCAGCCCAGGATGCAGCGCTGATCCTGCCGCTGCCCCGCGCGGAAGAGGAGGATGACGAGCTTGATACAAACAACAACCCCAAGACCGAGAACGCCGCGGCGAAACAACCCCACTACACGATCCTCCTCTCCACCACCATCCCAGACCGGAAACCCACCTTGGTGAGGCGGGAGGATGGGTTCGAGAAGCGCCTGTTGCTCCGGTGCGGGCGGTGTCGCGTCGTGGTGGGGTATTTCTTGGATGCGGTGCATTTTCCGTCGACGGAGATCAACAAGGAGACAGCAGAGGAAGATGAGGAAGATGATGGAAATCGACGGGCAAAGGTGGTGTATCTTCTGCCGGGGGCGTTGATGGAGACGGGGGTCATGGAGGCGAATGATGTTGAGAAGTTGGGGGCGATGGATCGGGAGTGGGCTGGGTGGATGGAGAGTTCGTGATTTGCCCTGGGGTATGCTGGTCCTACTGTTTTACGAAGTACAAGTTACCCTTTTTCGAACCGTGTACAGCTCAGAGTGTGGTAGATGCTGGAAATTCAACATAGACTCAAGGTTCTGTCTTTCATTTCCAAATTTGCTGAATGGCATACGCCAGCTCCATATACACTACAAGCGGAATAAACTTTATAACAGATGAACTAATCTAATCTCAAGCCGACAACTCCGGCAACAGGGATCGCGCAGGGAAGAAGAAAGGAGGCATTTCGTCACGAAGCGTCAGGGAAAGGGTATCGTATGTCGTTTAGTTGGCAAGGATGGTGCGGACGAGATCTGCCGAACTCGATATCAGTCTTGATGGAATTCCCCGCGATCGATGTGGGGATGTTGTCAAACGTACCGGTATAGTTGATCTCGCCGGAGCTAGTGTCAACGGCCTTCAGCAACTCATCGACTTCCTCGTCGGACATCTTCTCGCCCAGGTTCGTAAGAACTATAGCCATCGTCAATATCGCAGATCCCCCAATTCTCATCGCCCAGCGAGCGTAAACATACTGTAGCGCAGTTGGCCCAATCCAATAAATCCAGTCAAGTCCTTATCAAACACTTGGAATCCACGGGTGTATTCCTCGGGCTCGCCGGGATCGCGGAAACCTCCGGGGCGGTTGAGGACCTTCAAGAACGACTCGAAGTCAACTAGATCATCGTCCGTCAGCAACAGTCCTTTTTATAGGAATTCCATAATCAAGGGCGCGCATACAGTCTCCGCCCACGCTCTTCTCCAGATCCGCGATTTCCGCCAACGTGGGGTTCTGCCCGCAGGCACGGAGGAGATCGCCCAGCGACTCGATGGCGACCTTGCCAGTACCGCGCTTGTCGAACAGCGAGAAAGCTTCCTTGTAGTTGGTCGAGGCCTGTTGATCGTGGTGAGAATGAGGTGAGTGTGCCATCTTCAGATGCGATGCGATAAAGATAGATAGATAGAAACGGCAGAGAAGGAATGGAAGCGATGGGGATGAAGAAGAGAAGGAAAGAGAGAGATTCAGATCGTGCAGCTGGGGTGACGAGCAACCAGCGACGCAAGGCTGCGATCCGCGGAAACGAGGGGCGGAAGGGATTGGACGGGCAGACGAGAGGGCCGGGATTCCACCATGGTTCCAAATAACTCTCTCGTAGATTCAACACCAGAGGGTCAACAACAATCAATTGAGTAATCAATTCCTGGTCTTAAAGATAGCGGACGCGCTGCAATAAGACGTAATGTGTCGTCGCCCGGGCATATCCTCACCCGCCCGCCAGAAACCCCAATGCAGGCCATGGCTCCATAAGCAATGAGATTCAGCCACGTACCATGGTTGATGTTCTGTTGATTCCACAAACGGAATGTTCTTCCTGTATAAGCGAAGGTGACAAGGCGATGAATTGGCACGAAGAGATTAATCAGCACGTTCACCTGGGGGGGTAAACACCAAAAGATGTCCGATTGACTGGAATGAAGGAGGGGAGGGGAGGAAGAGGAAAGGAGGTGAGGCGGTGGAGGAGGAGGAAAGACTAAAAGAAGGGAGCGAAACAAGCAATGACGCCCGCCCCGCGCTTGTTGTTGTGGTAACCGGACACCTCAGGCTCCAACACGCGCAGTACTGAGTTCAGATCTATAGAAACGCCAACCTTGGTCGATTCTACTGGATTAAAGAACTGAATAGCTCATAAAAACCTCCTTGCCATGGTATCTCTCGCATGAAATATTCCTGGTCACATCATAATCACAAACGCTCTTCGAAGCCTAACTTGACTACCACAAAGAAAGTAGCTGGCTTCAACTTTCATCTCTGGCAAAGCTTGCGATAAGCGAATTAGATATACAAGAAGATTAAGTAAAAGCCTGCCGACTAAATGGGACTTGCAGTGATATGCACTGCCAGAATCCAGTAAGTCGGCCACATTACGCGGCTGCGCTGCCATTCAGCTTGTCGATACAGCTACTGAGTAAATTGGCAGCCTCAGTCAGTAGCTCCCAGCGAGTGTTCGTGAACCCATTGCGGAGAACCATCAGCAACCCCATACATTGGTTGCATCCTTTCATCCCCTCAAGGTCACTGGGTTCGCGAACTCCGCCAACCCGTCGCAAGAACTGCTGCATGTCATGTCGCTGCTCTGCGGGTCGAACCAATTTGACGGGGTGATTGAGCGGGCCTTCGAGAGCGTACCCGTAGCACCAGACCACGAGAGCAGCAACATAAAGGACCCATGGTCGGTTGAGCAGGTAGTCATCCCGTCCCGAGTAGGCTTCATCATTATCGAGCACCCGCTCCTCGGCCAACAGACACTCAGACAGAAACCTCAGGGCGTAGAATGTGGCGTCGCGGGCCGTGGCCTTAGTTGCCCATCGGTTCATTTTTTCGCGCGCCCCGTCGTAGTCCTTTCGGGTGATGGCGCGGCCCATGAGCCGCCCAGCTCCGGCAAAAACCTGGCAATCCACAATGTCGACATGGGAGGCCATATGTGCAAGTCCATGCAAGACATCGCGCGATTCGAACACATTGGCTTCGTCCCAAGGGTGTCGCGCTCGGTAACCACCGGTAAACGATCCTGGCTCCGACGTTCCCAACGCCTCGTCGAAATCCCGTCGCCAGTTGTCGAAAGCCCGCAGTAAGGCGGACCTCCACTTATCGCGACCCCCCAATGCCTGCAGCACACCCAGCGAACTCACCTGGAGATCACGCTGGTTCATGTGCCAGCTGACACTCAGCAAGCCTGCCATAAGAATGGTGCGTCCAAATGCATTGGTTCGAACCGGTTGGCCATTGAGCGTCCTTTTAAGACCATCCAAAAACATGAGAGGTTTGACTCCGTTCGCATGTAGACTGGATTGCACTCGAGCCACTTCAGAGGCATTGGTGGCAGACCATAGCGCTCCATCGCACGGAAGAGGCAGACGCAGCTCGTGGGCCACCATCTTGGCTGAGTGTCCAAACATGGTCGCATGCGTAGAGTCTAACACGAAGGCTGCAAATGCCACCCGCCTTGTAGCTTCGGCTTTGATCCAGTGAGTCCATGACTCTTCCGCCACGAAATCGGGAGTCAACGTCGACCCGGTTACTGAGCGACTTTGTCGATCGTCTCTAAGGCTCGCAGGAGAATCTAGTGCGGAGCGGCCAATCAACGAACTGCCACGTCGCATTAACGTAAGGGTAGTATCATGATGTATATGCGCTCGCTCATGCAGTGCACGGGTGGAGTACATCTTCTCGTACACTTCGAGGAGGAGTAGTGCCTGGAAGACCCACAGCTTGGCTGGAGGCCGAAAATCGGCATCCATGAACAACTCCCAACGTAAATGCCATGCGATAAAGTTCGCCAGCTCAGCTGCGGTCTCGGTCACGTCTGACCCATACATCTTGTCCAGGGTAGACGCTCCAATAGCTATGACGGCCAGCAAAAGCAGGTTTGGGGCTTTGTTCAAGACAAATGACGGACGATGCAAGATGGGTAATTGAGGGTGGAAATGATGCCAGTACGATGCGATATAGGCCTCCATCATGCGCGGTCCTAGGACATGGCGGTCGTCATTCATATCACCTTCCATCAAAGCATCCTTCCGTTTTGCCACTGCTGAGTATGCTGCTTCATTAAAGCGTGAACCCATAAGCGCAAGAAGCTCCTGTCTCTTTTCATTTGAGAGGCTCATTCGTGAAGACCCGGCGTCCAGGATACTAGTTACGCTCATCGGATCGTGCGGAATTACTCCGTTCATGAAACTCCCGTACCCAGGATCGCCCAGCAAAAATTGGTTCTGCAGCTGGATCGCATTGAGGTAGTTTGGGATCATATTGGTTGCAGATGGGTAGCCCATCGAGGACGAGCTGGGAGGAGGGTCATTGAACAGCCACGCTGTGAAATCCTCGGGCATTGCGAAGGGAGACCGGTTGTGCGTCTCTCCGCCAAAAATCGGGTAGACACAGGAGGCCAGAGCATCAAAACCAGGGTCTGCCACTGTTGACCCCGGAGCCATCATACCGGGAACAGTGTCCAGCGCATCAAAAGTACTCACGGTGTCCAATGTCGCCGGCGCTGAAGTTGTCACTGCTGGCCCCAAGATACCCGTGTATCCATCCTCAGGCATCGGTGCATATGGCGCCGGATTTGCCAGCGACTGCCCATCCATATAGCTAGATAGCATTGTCGTTTCATTTACAGAATGACGTCCTCGGTTCTGTTGACCTGTTTCGCCTGAATGTAGAGACATGCTAGTCGATAGATGACTCCGGTGCGTATGGTAATCCGAGGGGCTGAAAGTACTGGCTGACTGGCCCGCCGGGGAGCTGGTGGTTTGATTGCTCAGACTAACAGAGCGAGAAAAGGTGGGATCTGATAGCTCAACGCCGGGCTGTGAACTAAGTGGTGGGTATTTGTATGCCTGAGGCGAATGCCCTGTCCGAGATGGAACCGCAGCGGATTTTACGTCGATATTGGTGATGGTGATGGAATCTACCCGTCCCTCAACTGACGCCTGGGTCGATTTGTGTGTAGGAGAAGGAGTTGGAACCCCAGTCGGGGATTCGCTGTGGGTTTTCTTAAGCACGGGCGGCTTGTTCTGCTCAGTTGATACGGTCGGTGCATTATTTACGGTAGCCTGCGCGAAACTGTCCCGCTTCTGCAGTTGAGACCCTTGCGTCGTGTGTCGTTCACGATGGCGCAGGCACAGGTCCTGTCGGACAAAGGATCGGTAGCAGTCGGGAAAGTCACATCGGTAGATCTGTTTTGGGGTATCTAAGTTGATCGCTAGTCAGCTTACGCTCCTTTGAATAATCCTTTGAAGGCGGGGAAACGAACGATTCAGCTGATGACGGTACAGGTGTTCTGCGCGCGAATAACTCTTCCCACACCCATCAAAGGTACATTCAAATTTGCGATCCGTCTGAACTTTCCGAGTTCTCTTCCTCTTCCGTGAGGAGCCATCCATCGCCGCATCTGCCGCATCGTATTCGGTCGACATATGTGTTTCCTCACGGGAGCTTTGGAGTCCCTGTTCCGGGGGAGCTACTGCAGTGACAGCTGAAGTCATCATGCGCAAGGATATGGCAGTGGAAAGATTCGATCATTAGTGCCTTGTCGGTGGGCGAACATGACCCGCAAGAGCTCGAACTCAGATTCAGGGTGTGGCGAGATCAGCCATAGGAAGCTAGAGTGAATGGAGAAGAATCCAATGGGAGCGTGTGTTGGTCGTGAGCGTTAGGTACAATCGTAGATTCGCGCGAGCCGTGGGGACCGAAATCTCGGCGGGACGGATCAGCTTCGGGCAGATGTCGAGGACGGTTTTAATCTATAGGAAAGAATGTGAGGCTAGGTATCCGAGTATAGTAGCGGTATCGGGTATCTGTAGGTGCCGAGGAAATGCGCAGCGCGCGCGAGGATAGGTTTATCGTACGACAGATTGTAGGCTGTTGGGAAAAGGTCAGGAATTGGGGACAGAAGAGGGGAAGATGGCCGGGGAGGTTCCGAAGAAACTCACGACTTAGCGCAGCTTCCGATTGCCACCGAGTGAGCGCAGTCTTCGAAATCGACAGCCGCCTGGGATCAAACGAATGTAGTAGAAGTGGGAGTCTGGGGCTGATACATCTGAAGAGCAATGAGGGGATCTTAGATGGACCCTGAGACTCCGGGGTCGTTGGAGAGACCGCGTGCTGTTGCGAAGGTGGGGCAGATCCCGATCGGAGGGCGGAACGGATTCGATGGAGGGACGGAATGCTTTACACGCAACCTTAATCCTTGTTGACAATAAGTACCGTACACCTGCATCGAACAGTCATGGAACCCAGCTAGAACACTAGAACATTCTAAGGGTCTGTTATCGAGCAAATGAGTAGTAAAGTTCGAGGCATAGGCCAGGAGTAAGCCTGTAGCACTGTCTATTAGCCAATAGATGACGCAGTGAGCTAACATATATACACATACGTGGAGACCACTCTGAATAATCTTTTTACCACACCCCGGGTACTCAATGACAAGGCGGCTCAAAAATATATCAAATCCCTACTCAAGTATCCTTCTCATACTATTATGTCGAAAGCGAGATGAGCTTATCTGTCTGCATTGGGAGAGAAAAAGAATAACAAAAGAAAGGTCGTGCCCGGGTTCGAACCGGGGTTATTGGAACTTGTTTGGTATCAAAATCCAAAGTGATAACCACTACACTACACAACCTGTTCTTAAAGAACGTATTTTTTATCTAAATTGTACCTCTTTCGTGTGTTTACAGCCAAAAAAATTGTTTCCTGGCGATAGCAATCAATGAAGGTACATCTATTCCGGCCTCAACAATCTCCTTAATTCCACTTGGTATGCCTCCAAAAGTGTCGACGAAGTAACATTTATCGAAACAAACTGCGTTCCAGACCCATGTAAAAGAATGTCACTAATGTGAGTCCGCTGGACTCTGCTAGATTTTCAGTTGAGATATGGCCGCAATCACAATACTATCGTACTCATTGCACAACACACTATGTAGGTCAGACGAGTGACCTGTGCCAGGCAATGTTCACACTTTGTGTCGATTTCGTGGTCTGCTATAAGTAACGGGCGTACCATTGTTCTTATAATATATCTAAGTTTCCTACGCTATAATACTAATGGTGTCACGTTTTTACAAAGTGGGTAACCGTGCAAGCTGTTTTGTCCGCTTGCTGCCCCCCGGATGGGTCGTGGCCGATAATCATCCGCGAATGCTTATAAAACGACCTGATGCAACCGTGTATGGGCGATGCTGACGCTGGGGTGAGAAAATACATGATGGGCAGTCTGAGTGGATTCTCAACGCACAAACGCATTCTGAATCTTCTCAGATGGATGCCGTGGACGCGGAATGTGTTCGTGTCAATGTCCGCCCCGACCCAGAGGCCGAGCGTCGGTGGGTGATGGGCGCCACTCCCAACATCATTAGCGGTGCTGTGACCTGATTTGCTCAGTCCCGTGGCTCCAATTTGAACATCTATCCACTGAATCTGAATCGGGTGGCCTCAAGTCGGCCCAGACCGTCTCTGGGAGCCACATTTCGGCGGCGGTACGAGTTGGTGAAGTCTGTACTTGTCAACTAACGGGACTAGATCAACCAATGGTAAATTTGATCTTACCTTGAAGCAAGACGCGAATCTTCCGGGTCTCACCCGACTGGATTTTGTCAAACAGCCCCTTCAATAGACGCTCAGCCTCGCCCTGCTTCATCGTACCCGCAGGAAGCATTTGCAAAGTGGACTGCAGCCAGGTTCCCGCATCTTCAGGCATCAATTCGAACATGGACATCAAAACGCCGGAGGCATCTGGGAAGCACTCTCCAGGGAATGTGAACATCATGCCTGTAAGGATCCGCTGGACAAGCAGTTGACCCTGGGATGCGATAAGCCGCTTGACTGCCTCACGAACTTCAACGGGCGTCGAATATGCATTGCCATCAGACGTGGTGAACTCGGAAACCGCCGGCTTTTCGAATGCAAAGCTAAACAGATCATGATAATAATGAAGAGTGGCAATCAAAGGGTCAATCTGCTGAAGGGTGAGGGCGCTTAGGGCCGCCGAGAAAATGGGAACCGAGAGCTCAGATGTTATGCATTCCTTGGGATAGAAGCGGATCGCATCCGACGAAAGACGGTAAAAATCCTCGATGACTAGTTGCGAATAATTAGCTAGGCCACACGAATGACACTTGATGATAATGGACGCGTACCGTCAGGTAGGTTCTCTGGAGGCAAATCATTGAGAATGCGCAAGAATGCAATTGCTTGCTGTTCGTAGAACTGGAAGACAGCCTGGCTTGTGTTCGCATCCACAAACTCAGCACCCTCCGAGAACTCGCGGACGACGGCATCAGTGGCCCACAAGAAACATCCTTCTCGCGACGCCTGGAAGCCACTAGCAAGACTCTGGGCCAAAGTTGGCAGCAGAGGAGCGATTGCAGTTCGGTAGGAGATGATCATATTGCGCCAGCAACGGCAAACTCGTTCGAGGATTGGTGTGGATGATGTGAAGTTCAGCGCAATCGTGCTCATAATGGGCAAGATCTCACCACAGTACTTCACGGCGGGGTTCTCTTCACGAGGAGAGACATATGGGTTCACGACCATGACGAAAATGGTAATCAGCCCAATGTGATCTATAATATAGTCAGCGCGCCGTCCTCAATGAATGTATGCCATCGGCCCTACCAGCAACAGCGCGTTGGCTTTCTTCATCTTGAGCGTTATTCGCTAGGTTCATGATGCGAGCCATGATAGGGTCACAGAACAATTTCAAGGTGTCATAGATCTTCTCCAGAGGTTGGACTGCAACCACTGCTGCCACGCCCTCAGTTACCTCTTCTTGACTCGCAGGCTTCAGCTTGTCAATCACGGACTCATAGAACGTGTGAAGCTGGGCAATGTGACCTCCAAGCAGCTTTTGACAGTCTGTTCCCAGGTACTTGAAGGCCAAAGCCGCAGCCTGGACCACTTCGGGAGAGCTATGCTGGAACCCAGATATGACGTAGTTTAGTTGGGCCTCCAAAGTCTCCGGGTGCTGTGCCGTCCACTCCGTGTAGCGTGCAAGTGCCATGATAGCCTGGAATCGCACCTTCTCTTGGTTGGGAATCTGCACGATCAATGGAATAACCTGAGTTAGGACGACGCTTTCCTCAGGATCCACCATGCGTCCCATGGCCCTCAAACTGAACAGTGGTGCCTCAAGCTCTTGCCAGTGTGGGACGTGCTCGTCACTGGATTGCGACGCATACTTGGAGACCCACTGCTGAATCAACTGGTATGCTTTAGTCAAGCACTCTGTGACTCCGATGACAGCGCAGCAATCCTTGAGTACATCTCCCATTGAGTGGCGGAAGTGCCGGAATTTCTCCTCCTGCTCGCGATCACCTCCAAACAAATCCGTCTCGCCTTCTTCGGGTCCAGGATATTCGAGGTGCTTGACCATGATATCCACCAACTGCGAGAAGACGTCGCTCAGATTCACTCGGGCGTCTGCGTATCGATCCAGCGTCACGTACTGCTTCAGTTCGTACCAGAAAACGAAGGTCAGCGAAATTGCGTCTCGTTCCCAGTCCCGAGCGCAACACTCCAAAACTGCCTCGACCAGACCACGGAAGTCGGATGGTAGACGTGCGATCAACACAACCCACGCTTCACCGGCTTCTGCAAAAAGTCTCGTGATGCCTTTGTAGGCGTCGGTATCCTCGGATTCGGCAAACTCGGCGATTTTGGGGCGAAGTGAGATTATGCGCGGATACAAGGCTTGGATAATGGCAAGCGAATCGTCGACTTCACGGGTATCTCGATACAGTGTGCACATGCTGTCTACGGCAGCCTCGAAAGATCTGTCGTCATCAAGTCCCTTCAAAATGACGTCCATCAAAGGCGACTCCACAATCTTGGCGGCCGGAATCTCGCGCATCCATGAAGTGATACAATCCAAGAGGCGCGGGTTAGTAGAGGCAGTCGCTGTGTGATGACAAAGGCGACTGTGATCAGCAAAGTAGAAATGAACATATCAGGGTGATATTGTACATACGTGATGACTGAGCGTATTGAATCAATAGGTGCATCACCTGTTCAGCATTATCTTCCAGGAGTTCTTTTGTCCGCATGGTGAGATCATCTTCCTAGGTAATGACAGAATGTTAGGGTCAGGGGGATACGCGATCGCAGAGTAACAGTCTAAAGGGGGTGGTTCTCGTGCCAAACATACACTCAGATTGATCTTGCGGCCTTCTGTTACTTCTTCCGGGAGAATCTTTAAGAATTCTAGCACGCAATCTCCGGCGTTACTTCCCAGTGCAGCGCCCACGGTAGGGAGTACGTCCTTCCATGCAAGCATCTGGATAGCCAGACTGGCCAAGCATACGCATAGCTGTGTTTGGATTGGCCGAGGACCCGCGGCGAAACCCACAAGCAGGTTCAGGATAGAGTCTCTGAGCGCGACTACAGATTCGGTAGGCAACTGATCGAGATCGAAGATGATCTTGTTGAGGTCAGCAGGCAGAAATGGCTGGACCCAGGTCGGAGTACCAATTCACCTTTCCTTTCAACGTCGTCGCTGCGAACAACTTGGCTTCGACAGGAACATCCGGAGATTGTAACATTTCATGGGTGATAGTCCAAGCTTCGACCTAGAGACACAAGCCCAGAAGTGGTCAGCATCGGGATCATGGGTGGCATCAACTTGATTCAAGGTGGCGGAATGAGGGGTAGGATAACTTACCGATTTCTGAAATTTCTCTAAGAATTCATGGGCATGCGTTTTTTCGGCGCGCGACACATTTCCTTGCATGGTAGCGACCGCGGCCAGGACCGGGCCAAAGGCCTGCCCTGTAGCCCCCTCCTTGCTCGTCATCGTTTGTCAACTCGGGGGGGTGGGATGTTCTAGAGAGGGGGAGGAAGTTGGTGTAATGGAGTTGGGAGAGAGAGGGGTTCAGCCAGGCCGGAAGGCTTAACACCTATGCAGTGCGATCATATACACTCATTAAATAACATTAAAAGAAAGAGTTCAAAGATGAGAGATAAGCGCAGAAATCCTCAACTAAAATGGCGGAAGATTTGAAGGAGGGGGAAAAGTGAAGGGGAAGGGAGGGGAAGATTGACTTAGTAGTAAGTTAGTGGTGGTGGAGGTGGGATGTAGTGAGTAGTCACTGACGATCGACCCAAACGGAAAAGCTGTGTGAGCCTCCCTCTCCCTCCGTCGAACTTCCCCGAGTCCGACCGTCCTGAACTTACGGAGCTCTTCCTTCAATTCTCTCTCCCCGATCCCCGCGCAACTCCATCAACGCGTCCTTATTTACAACTGCAGTTTTTAGGATCTTGGTATCCTTGCGCTCTCTTTTACACTTTACATAGCCCCTCCCTTCATTTGCGCATCTCGTTTGCCCACCATGACCGGCCGTGGAGGCGGTGGAGCTGCTCGCAAGACGCTGCTTGCGCCTATTCATTTCATCTTCAAGCTTCTTCAGCAACGGTCGACAGTATCTATCTGGCTTTACGAGCAGCTGGCTTTCCGGATAGAAGGAAAGATTAGGGTAATTGGCCCCGTGTCTTCTGGTGGCTGTGATCGCTCGGCTAACAATTTCGGCACAGGGTTTCGACGAGTTCATGAACCTGGTCGTTGACGACGCAGTGGAGGTTCGGATGGCTACCAAGACCGAGGAAGAGAAGCGGAGGCCGCTCGGTATGTGAAGTCGTATTGCAAGATCAAACTGCTTGTGTGTTACGGAAAGTTGCTGACTGTTGTTCCACTTTACAACAGGCCAAATCCTCCTCAAGGGCGACAACGTCTCCCTCATCCAGGCCGTCCAGTGATCTTATCGGGGCGTTAAGGGATTGATTGAAGGGAAAAGGGAAATTTGTTTTTTTTAACCGATCTCGTGCCGTTATACGACTTTGTTTGCACTTCTTTACCTTTCGCTTTTCACGGATGTCGCTGGGAAACAAATATTGCACTTCTAGCAAAATAGACGAACCTATGGATCGATATGACTCGCTTTCCCGGAGAATCAGTGTTGGTGCACCAGAGACCGGTCATCACCGACGATGAGCATGTCTACAGGCCAGTCATGATCCGCTACCGGTATCTCTTCGGTCGGGGGAAGCATTTGCTCCTTGAGAGATAGGGCAACTGCGCGAGACTTAGTAACAGGCTGTTTCATGGTTGGTCGCGTTGGTGTCAGGGTGCTTTTTCCTTACCAAGGAAGGGCAACTTCGGCTTTGTTGACTCACTTGCAGCCCCCTCTCTTGAATACCTTGTCAGAAAATGATCATAATAACCTTTACCATGCCCTAATCTCCTGAGCCCTTCATCAAATGCCATTCCTGGCATCACAATCAAGTCGAGCCCATAAGGTCCTTTTGTAGCGTCTTCTGGCTGGGGCGAGACTCCTTTGCCCCCAAAGCAATTCATCTTCCTGAGTACTTGGACCTCGGACAGCGACGGGATCCCCCATTTGTCGGGCTGGAGAGCCTCGAATTCTTCCATCGACTCTAGCTTGAGCATGTCCATAACGGAGGTCCTCGACTGTTCCGATAACTCTAGCTTGTGTATGTAGGGCACGAAGACCTCCTTACCACTTGCCAGAGCATCCCGAACGATGGCCGTGGTGGATAATTCCCCTGCCGGCATGGAGAGATAAACCCCAATCCTCCTTGCATCCTGGTATTCTCGGAGAGCAAACAGCCTGTTGGCGGCGACTCTGGCTGGTAGAGGTCAGTGTTTGCATAGGCCGAGTGTGAAGGTCATGAGGCTGAGCTGACATTGATTTGTGATGGAGTCGGCGGGGATCTTGTGCAGCGCATCCCGCATTCTCCGCCGGAGGTCCTTCTTCGCCGCCTGTAGACTAGCCATCATCCTTGCGATTGAGGGATAGGGACAAAATAGTGGACAGGAAATAGTTGTGGGCGGATTACTATGGATTGTAATTGAGATAGGATGATAAATATAGGAAGTTCCGCTTATTGTCTGGAGCAGTGTCTGAGATATCGCAATGACTGGAACCGCGTGGCTTGGCATGTTGCCATGATGTGCATGGTTGTTGATCGGCAGGACCCTGGTTGTTGCACATACCTAAGGTCCTGACTGTACCGCATCCGCCCCCGTTCAAGGGTCGCCTGCGCCCTTTGGCGGCAGGCAGGCAGGCAGGCATTCTTCTACTATCTAACACCTTTCTTCTTTGTCTTCATCTTTCCTTTTTGGCAAAACTCGCGATGATTGCGGGCTACTTTCTTTGCAGCCTCCTCCTGACGGCTGCCAGTGCGGCCAGTGTATCTGATCTAGTAGGGACCTGGACGACAAAGTCCCGTAAGGTTGTGACAGGTCCGGTATGCTGTGCTCCTCTCGTTCTATCCAAACCATTGTTTGCTAGGGGTCTCAGTCGACGCATCAGAATTGCCGAACTGGCTAACACCCGACCTTGTCTCTAGGGATTCTATGATCCAATCAACGACAGATTTCTGGAGCCAAACCTGACCGGCATCTCATACTCGTTCACCGAGGATGGATTCTATGAAGAGGCTTACTACCGCGCAATAGCCAATCGTCAGTGCCTGCTCACCCTCTGCTTTGTAAGAGTCGCAATCTGACGTGTAACAATCCAACAGCCCAAGATCCAGCTTGCCCAAAGGGTTTAATGCAATGGCAGCACGGTACATACACTGCGCAGAGCGATGGTTCCCTGGTGTTAACCCCGATTGCGGTTGATGGGCGCCAGCTGGTATCAGATCCATGTGCGACACCTTTGACGTCCTACACGAGATATAACCAGACAGAGGAGTTCAAGGTATGTTTCCCTGGTCGATACATTCAAGGCAAGTTAGCTAAAAGCTGCAGTCCTTTACCATCTCGGTAGACCCATATCATGATATCCCACGCCTGGACCTGTACGCTCATGACGGATCGCCCATGCATCCCATGTACCTCGTGTACAGGCCACCGCAAATACTACCTACAGGGGTCCTGAATCCGATCACTTCAAAGGCCAAGAAGCAAAAACGACAAATGAGCGGAGACACCAAGTCATACTTCAGCTTGGAGGGCCTTGTGTCGAAGGAGAAGGTCATCGATCCCGATCGCTTGCTGTGGCTCGGTGTTATTATGACTGCCATAGGTGGAATCACCGTTTTCTGCTCGTAAACTACCATGACATCGACATGATTCTTTTTCGGACGGACGGTACAATGGCAATGTTATCAAGATGGAATCTGGAGTTCGAATTGACTTACTGGATAATAACAGGGGACTCAGGACATCATGGACACAAATGATCATAGGGAATGGCGCTGAAGGACTTCTTTGTTGGAATATTACACGGCCGCCGCGCATATGCATGGGCCTTTTCAATGCTAACACTTAATTATCTGCGGAATTTTCTGCACTCTATCATCTCGAGTATTCAAAACACCGCATTCTAGACTCGCCGTAAATCTTCACTTATTAACATACCTATTGTTGATACATATATTGCCAAAAACGACATTTCTCCCCCCCCCCCCAATTTTCGGTGTATTAACGTCGGTATTATCGTATCCCCGGTTTTATTTGTGATCGTACAGGTAGGTAGAATACATGCCAGCATTAGTTCGTCTTGAGGGCAGTAACAGCGTCCTTGACAATTCTTGCAGTTTCAGACTTGTCAGCCGGCTTGTCCGCCAGCGCACCACCGGCAGCGAAGAGAGACTTGAGAACAAGGCCGATTTCGACCTTCTTGCCAGCCTCCTTCATGCTGGAGAGCGTCTGGGAGACAACTTGCTTGATGTCGTCCGCGCTCATGGTTTCCACCTGGGCACCGTATTCCTCCAAGACTGCCACCTGCTTCTCCTCAAGCTCTTGAAGCTCTGGACGGTTCTCAACCTTGAACTCCTCAATGGCATCCTTGGAGGCAGCGATGCGTTTCCGAATAAGAGACAAGAGCTGGATATCGGTTTGAATGGGAGAGGAGGTCTTTGCGGCGTTGTTGGTTTCGGAGATTAGAGCCCGGACGACGTTCAGCCTAAGGAGCGCGCGTTAGTTCGCGTAACCAATCAAGTCTTGTGTCAATCCGTAGGTCATCTTAGACAAACCGAGGAGTATCCTTAGCCCTCATAGCCGTCTTGAGGTCAGTTCTGAGCTTGGTCATCAAAGGCGGCAAGATCGGGCTGTCGGTCGAGTTCCAGCGCACCAGGCGCAAACCCAGACGGGATGAGGTGGATCGCAGAGCTGGGAACATGTTCGGAATTACGCAAAGACAGACTAGGGAGGAAATAATGCAATGCGAATTGATTTTGTTGTTCTAGTAGAGTGGAACTAGTGACGCTGTCGGACCCGTAGAAAATCCAAGCCTGATAATAATCTTTCCCAAGGCGGAAGAGAAGCTCTCCGTCCGCCCTCCGCCCAGGGCCCGTGCACATTTTTGTTTCTCATCCTGCTCAATCCACAGCTTCATGCCTGTTCTTCGACCCGGTTAAACACACCATCCTCGTGGCGGAACACCACTCCCTGCGCTCCCCCATTGGTGTTCCTTTTCTTTCCATCGCAATATCCCTCTCTATCATCTCTCCACGACCTTTTTTTGCTTTCTTCGACCGAGTCTTCCTTCGTCGCGTCATTGCGCTGCCGTCTCCGAATCTCCCAGCCACCTTTCCGGGGAGAGCGCCATACATAGCCCAAACCGCCTCATACGGGCGCCGTCTACTGCCGGCATCATGTCATACCCATCTCTACCAACCCTCACCCCTCAGAGGCCACTCCCTGGCGCATTCTATCAAACACCAGCACCCAATGCTGGCGCGACGGCGTCGGCATTGAACCCCCAACAAGCCGCAGCCCCAACCGATCCGCCGTCCCCCATTCAGCTTCCCAACTTCACTGCGGTCCAAACAAAACCCAAGCAGAGCCTAGTGAGCACGGAGCAGCGTGCTGCGCGGACTATTAATGAAACCCTTGCCCAAGAATCTCGTTACCCGGACTTGGACAACTCTCTGTCTCGTAAGTTGACCACTGTGGTCGCACCGCTGGCAGGGACCCGGCTGACCCTTCTGTGTAGAAGGATTCTCGTCCGACTATGATCTCCCCACATCGTCACCATGGGCTCCTTTTCAGAAGGTGAAGATGTACAACATCCCCGACCAGATCTTCGATCAATACAACAGAGCACAGGTATCGACGAACATGGGACTATTTGCCGAGTTGAACCACGCCTGGGTCGCAATCGACAATGCTCTCTATATCTGGGACTACACTCACCCTAACCCGCAGTTAGTTGGATTCGAGGATCAACCAAACAGCATCATCACCGTCAAGCTAGCGAAGCCTCGCTCGAAAGTGTTTTTGCCCAGTATCACTCACTTGCTTGTAATATCTACTACGGCCGAAGTCATCTTGTTGGGAATGGGCTGCGAGACCACGCCCGGAGGCGCACGACAAGTAACGCTGTATCAGACTGGCATGTCCGTAGCAATCCGAGGGTTGGAGATCGACCAAGTGGCCTCATCCGATTCGACTGGGCGCATCTTTTTCGGTGGTATCTCCGACAATGATGTCTACGAGCTCGTCTATCAGCAAGAGGAGAAGTGGTTCAAGGGTCGCTGCTCAAAGGTCAATCGTACTAGCAATCGTCTCGCTGCCTTGGCTCCCTCGCTGAGCTTTACTCAACCAAATGAACACGTCGCGCAAATGGAGATTGATGACACCAGGAAGCTGCTCTACACACTCTCGTCGCTGTCCACGATCAGGGTCTTTCATATGAAGCCCGACGGAAGTCTAGCTCTTGCGATCACAAAGAAAGGGCAAGACATATACGCCAATATCGGACATATCATCGCGTCCAACGAAACTCTCAACCCCAAAGTTCCCATTGTTTCCATCAGCCCCATTCTTGCAGCGGAAGCGTCCCGATACCATCTGATGGCCACTACTGCGACAGGCTACCGGATCTACCTCAGTGCTACTGGTCCCTATAGCTGGGCCTCAGCACCAAATGGCACAAGTGCTCCCACAAGCATGCAAGCTCATCATGTGAAAACACCTCCCTTGGACGTCGCTCCCTCGGCTCAACTGGCAGCCTCGCAAGGTCTTCAAGGACAGGCACGCTATCACCCTACAGTGGCAGCGAGAATCCCTGTTCACACCCTTCAGCCCACTCGTTTTGCCGTACGGTATCCACCCGGCCACTTTTTCTGCTTCACCTCCAAGGACTCGGCGGCATCGGACTCTCTCTTCATTTCTGCTCCCGACTCTGGACGAGTCGCTCGCGCTCAAGAGACTGTTAGCCCCAAAGCTGGTGAGACAGCAGTTTGGGTATCATTGGGTAGCAGAGCGGAAGATGTCGGGGTCTGCTCCCCACCCACCGAGGCCGCCATGGCTTTCAGTGGGTTCGGTAATGAATTGGCCATTCAGTATGACGAACCTGTGGCCGAAATCGCCATTCTTACCAACAATGGTATTCACATCATTCGAAGACGGCGTCTCGTCGATGTTTTTGCTGCATTGGTTCGAAACGGTGGAGAAGGCGATGACGGATTAGAGGGTATGGTCAAGAATTTCATCCGCATTTATGGCCGGAGCGAGACTGTTGCTACGGCTCTGGCGGTCGCTTGCGGCCAAGGAGTGGAGGTGTCTAGTGATTCCAGACTCACCCAAATAAATGATCCACATGTCTTGGAGTTTGCACGCAAGGTCTTGATTGACCACGGGGGCAAACCTATGATGAACGAAAATGCCGTGGCGGACAGTTCCACACCTGCCATCGACACCGTCCTCCCTTCGCCGCGGCATGCGGGCATCGCGCTCTACATCTCGAGATTATTACGCTCTATTTGGAAGAAAGAGATTGCCAAGCTCGAAAAGTCCGAGACGCCGCCCATTGGCACGGAGACCATCGTTTCATCCGTGTCTTCTGCCAAGCTGCAAGCTGTTCAGCGCGACTTGACTGCTCTGCAAGAATTTTTCAAGACTAACAAGAACTTTATCGAAGGGCTGAGCGGCCCAGAGGCTCTGACTCGGGTCTCCACGAAACAGGAAGAGACTGCCCTACAAGCCGAACATCGCGCACTGCATTCGCTTGTTCAACTTGTATCTCACACCATCGAAGGCATTTCCTTTGTTTCGGTTCTATTCGATGAACGCGTGGATGAAATTGTGGCTACCCTGCCAGCCGAGTCGAAGGAGCGCTTTATGAAACTTACGTATGAGCAGCTGTTCAGTACCACTAAGGGCCACGATATTGCCAAGGAGCTGGTGAAGGGCATTGTGAATCGGAACATTGCAAAGGGATCTAATGTCGAAACGGTAGCCGATGCTCTAAGGCGGCGATGCGGCAGCTTCTGTAGTGCCGAGGATGTCGTGATCTTCAAGGCCCAGGAGATGTTGAAACGGGCCACTGAAGTAGGCTCCAATTCGGAGCTTGGACGCAACCTGCTGAATGAGAGCCTTCACTTGTTTCAGCAGGTATCCGACAATCTGCCAATGGACTACCTGGTCTCTGCAGTCGAAAGCTACATCAAGAATGAGTTCTTTGCAGGTATGATCCCCGTGTTCGTATTGGAGCACAAGAAACACCACTAAAACAAACTACTGCAGGCGCGATTCAACTGGCTTTGAATGTGGCCGCCCGCTCAGACAAGGCCAATCTGGCACTTGCATGGATTGTGGATGGTCGCCCTGCTGGTGTAAGTACCCTCTTTGATCTTAACCACTTCCTTGATGACTGACATTTCCATCTTAAGGATACTCGTATTGAGTACTTCCAGTATCGGAAGCAATGCTATGATCTCATATTCAGGGTCATCATTGCAGTCGACAAGCATACTGCCAAGGATATAGGTATTGTTGATGGACAATTGACAGTGATGGCCAAACGCAGGAATGAGGCATATGGAGTGGTTTCCGACTCTCGAGACGAGGTGTTTTTGACTACCCTATATGATTGGTACCTCGAACAAGGTTGGAGTGAGCGATTGCTCCAGAGCGATTCCCCCTTCGTGGTCGCCTACCTTGAGCGCAAAGCCGATGATGACATTGAACATGCCGATCTTCTCTGGCGTTATTTTGCGCAGTCCGAACGATTTTTCGAAGCAGCCAAGGTTCAACTCCAGCTTGCGCAGAGCAGCTTCAACATCCCCTTGAGCCGCAGAATCGAGTACCTAGGATGGGCTCGGGCTAACGCATCGATATTCACTCCGGATGTTAGCCGACAGGCTCGTCAAAGACTGGTTCAGGAAACCTCTAATCTGATTGATGTTGCCGATATTCAAGACGAAATCTTGCAACGCCTGAAAGACGATCCTCGGGTTGCGCCGGAAGCCAGACCCCAGGTCCTGAAAGAAGTGGATGGGGCTATCAGGGACATCAGTTATGTATGTGTTACACCCCGAAAATTGCCTTTTCCCCATCATTTTCCCGGTTTTCTAATGCCTATTAGCTCTTTAACAATATCGCCGACCCTGGAAGCTACTACGATATCTGTCTGCAGATCTTCTTCCACGCCGACCACCGCAACGCGGCTGACATCAAGTCCACATGGCAACATCTCCTACAAGACCTCCACAACCGGGTCTTGGAGCGGGGCGAGCCCCAGCCCTACGAAGCGGTGATCGACAAGGTGCGGAGTCTGGGCGGCCGACTCCGCATGTCAGACTCCATCATGCCCATCCCGATCATCCTGCCCATGCTCGAGCGCTACGCCCTAGAGCACCAGCGTGACGTTGGGCCACCAACGTGGATCGTTGACCTCCTCCTCGACCTGAACGTCGCACACGAGACCATTTTCACCGTCCTCGAGGGCATGTACTACACAGACGAAGCGCCCTTCCAGGGCAACAACCGGAGATATATCGCCAAGGACCTCCTCTATCTCATCCAGCATTGGTACCACGAGACCGTCCGCCCCGGCGGCCGGGTCTTTGGAAGCGATACCGCCGCCAACCGCGTCCTTGAGACTCTCCTCCTCATTCAACAAGGCGGCGGCATCCCGCCGGATCAATTGCGCGTGGCTAACGAGCTCCGGACCAAGGTCCAGGATATATTACGGTAATATAGCGTGTGCGTGTGTGTGTTTGTTTGTGGATTATAGGATTGGGGCAAGTAGGTAGCATGGTTTTCAAATCTCACTTTTTCACCTTTTGACTCTGTATTTTTTTCATGTCTCCGACCACAGGAGACAGCGAGCGGATAGAAAAGGGGGCGGTGCTGGAGTTCTCCTTTTATGTCCCTTTTGTTTTACCTTTTCTTCCCCCCTTCAATCTTCCAATTTTGTGTTGATTACACAGTTAGAAGGGGAGTGCCATCGAGCTTATTTCTGACCCGTGCAACGTGTACCCTATTGTTTTATTCCGGATCTCTGGGCGGCTCCTCATTGATCCTCTCTTCTCGCACTTCGGAGGCGTTTGGGAACTTTGTACTTCGAAAATTTGGCCTTTGGAGGGACATTGACACATTCAAGCCAATAGTCGATAAGTTAGTCAGTGGACTAGTAACCCAGTCAAGGGGGATGGATGCTGAGCGCAAATGGGCTAGACTGCTAGTATACTCCTGAATCATTTTTCCTATATGTGGAAAGAAGAAATCTGTACTCTTACATACAAAACAATACCAGAGTCTTCGTTCTCCATCCTCAATGGGCTGGTCTGCATATCTCAATCGTCACGAGCCATTGTTTTCCCCAACCCATTCTACAACATACTATATATCTCTCCGTATGCGCAGTCCGAGACCGTACCTCGACCATCTTCATCTATTCCTTCCTGATCAACCCTGACCGCTATACAAACATCCACCGGGCCCCAAGTATCCCACCATCGTACTATACCTTGACAAAAGATTGATCCGGAAATCCAGTACAAACCGACCACCGTATGTAATTATAAGCCAATCAGACAAACCAGACAATCCAGACAAACCATCGATGAGGCCGAGAGAATGCTCCCCGCTTACAACTAAAATCGTGAGTTTGGTTCGATGAATTTCTGCCCCCAGATACTCATCTGGGCTCCAAGAAGGTCGAAAAGCCGAGTACTGTACAGCAAATCCCTTAGGTCGCTGCTCGCCCGCTGGTTCCTGGGATTCTTTGTCTACTTGTGAGGGGAATTTTGCTGCGCTATTCCCTTTGAACTTGGTGGGTTATACAAATAGTCGGATCTGGGGGCCAGGGTTTGACTCTGTAAGCGATTTGAGGCCTCAGGAGTGGGCTATCTGGACCAAGTTCTTGAACTTGGGTGGTTCATGGTTGGTGGAACTAGCTAAGTTACGTTCTCTCGTGTAAACAAGAGGGAAAGAAAGGCCTTTGGGATCACGTGGCCGGATTACTCAGGAAAGCCGACAGACTCTTCTTGGTCCTGTGAGGAAGAGATAGATGTACTACTACCACTGTGCATGCACGATAGGATAGAGGGAAGGTACCCGAGGCTGATGTTAGCTTTCACTACTTTCTTGGGCTTGAGATCACTGGCTATACTACTGGATCGGAGGATGCGAAAGTACGTCGGGCTCTGTGCCATCGTCATGATGCATTAGACAAAGTGCTTTTCTCTCGGCTCTACCCTAATACTATGTACTTCGACGACCCCTCCGTGAGTGAGTGGAGATGTGCTACTTCGGCAGTTGATAAGCGGATAGCTAAATTATGATTGACCAGACTAATTGCACAATCAACACAGAGTCAATATTTGGATTAAGTACTAGTACTATGTGCCCAATGCCCACCCCAGATGCAGTTATCAAAGCTAGCAAGAAGGATGTACCAAAAGAACAACTCCCTGAAGAACAGAAAAGACATGGACAGAAAACAAAACCAAATGGAGTCAGCGGTGGGGTCCCCCCAGGAAAACGAATCCTGCTAGTCGAAAAACCGAATGAACTTTTTTTTACCCCCCACACACAAACCCCGCCAGTCTAGATATGCAAACAACAAATGATCAAGCAGTCTATTCAAATAACACAAGCAGAAAGAAAACACAAAAACAATCGGAGGGCTGAGGTATCAATTTTGAAGAGCCGAATCGAGGATCAAAATAAATATTAGAAGTAGTAAAAAGAGGGGAAAAGAACAGAAATAACTCCTTGAGATAAGACCCAGAAGAAAGGGTATAATGATTAGAAATGGGAGTCAGATGTGGAGAACTGGCGAAAGCGAATCGCAGCGCAAGACGAATAAGGGGCGGTTGTGGAAGTACTCCCCGAAGGTAGGCTATCTCTCACTTCTGATATGACCCGGTCGCGCCAGAGATCTGCCGTCGTTGCGGAAAAGACATGCGTATATCATAAGGAGAGAATGATTGGAGGGGTCGAGAACCATTCTACTCGAATTGGTCGTACACAGGGATGGGCTTCTCGCCCAAGGCACACAGACGGAAGATGTGGCGGAGCTTAGCACCGTTGTCGTCATCGAGGTAGTCGACAATGGCAGAGTCTGATAAGGAAAAGAATCAGTATGCGTTTTTAGGCTTCAATTGGGAGAGAACGTACGAGTGGTGCTGCGGTTGTCGAAGAGGACAATTGTCCTGGGTTGCCATCGGACTCGGGCCTGGAAGTCGTGTCCGGTGATGATATGTTGCATGAGAAAGTCGAGCAACCACTTCTGCTCAGGCTCCTTTAGGCCCTGAATCTTCGTGATGAACTCCCCATTGACGAAAAGGCATTTCTCGCCTGTTACCGGGTGAACGCGCACAAGCGGGTGGACGGTGTCGACAGCGTCCTTGCGCACCAAACTACCAGTCATGCGAGCGTGGCTGATCATCTTGGCGGAGGAGTGGACTGCCCGCAGTGTATCCAGCCATGAGGTGAAGGTGGGAGAAAGACGCCTATGCCATTTCCTGGTTAGTAACTCTCCGTCGCCTTTCCATCCATGCGTGGCAGCGGGGCCATTACTTACTTGTACGCCATATCAGTAGCCGAGAAGACGGTGTCACCGCCCACCTCGGGACCCTCCAGCAGTCCTAGCATGACATAGCTGGGGGGTTGAATCTCGTAGCTCACATCTTGGTGCCAGAGTGTGGTTGTTGTACGCTGCTCCAAGAAGCGTGTAATCTCCTCACGGTTTCCATCACGATGAATAATGTGAAATCCAGGGTGGCCGCGCATGGAGCCAGAGACCGGCTGGTAGTTAGGCTTGCCAAAGTGTCGCATAAATGCCTCCTGTTCCTCCGGTCCAGCATCGATCAGATCCTGATCGGGGAAAGCAACGACCTTGCGCTCTGCAATCAGCAGCGCTAATTCATCCATAGCCGCATCCGAGAGCTGGCTCAACTGGACCCCCTCCAAGATGCTTCCGATCCGCGGCTGAATCTCCGTCACTTTCGTGTTCGGAGTCAGAAGGTTGGGCTTGCTCTTGTCTTTTACGCGCAGGGCAGGATCCTGGTACTCAAATGGAGGAAGTGGGTCAAACCACACTTTGTCCCATGTGGGAAGGTACTCAGGGTATCTGGTGCGGAGATGCACTTCTTTGGTGACGTCGACGTAAGGAATGTTGATGTCGTAGCTGATCGGCTCTTCTTCCTGATGGGCATTCATGGCCTTCTTGGGCCGCAGAATTGGGGCTGTGGATGGCATTGTGCTGTCTCGGTGATCTTATTCCAGGTGTTCCTTGTGCGTAGAGGATGAATGCTTGTAGAATAGCTTGAAGATGGAAGACTTGATCAAGGTATCGTGTCCGAGATGAGGAAGACTGAGTAAAAGGTGAAAGAAAAGATGGAATTGAGGATAGGATCATGGATGAGAAAAAGGAGGGTTGGTTGAAGGTGGACAAGCAGCAATATATAGATGTCAAGCTGGACATCTCCTCCACCATCTCGCCATGACGATAGAAAAGACTGCGCAACCTTTAAGCGCAATCGGGTGGACGATATGATCACGGTGGCGCTAAATGATCTTGCATCTGCCGGAAGTCGCTTGGCTATTGCCCAGATAGGTAGACTGAATGCTATCCCTTCCATCTTCGGAGCGGAAAGTCGGCGCTGAGAGACACACCAGATTGTCCACGGCGGACAGAGGAAATAGAACCACCCTCAAAGAGCCATGACGACAGGGGTACAGAAATCAATGCTGAACGGGTCTCTACAGGTAAAAACGGCAGCCGATTATAGACTAGGGGGTGAAGGGGGAAGGGATGAAGGGGGGCGGCGGCACGACTGCGAGCCAGTCAGAGAGAAGGATGAGTCCGAAACGAACCAAAAGGGTGAGAGGAGAGGAGGCCACCGTAGTGGGATTAGTGGGAATAGTGGGAAAAAAAGCATACAAAGACAGAGTAGACATATAGACAGGTCGAGGAAGTTCGAGTCGGGACAAGGGAGGAAGCAGGCTGGAGCCCGCTCGGAAGCGCGACCGAGAATAGTAGAGGCAGGCGGAGACGCAAGAGGTTGTTGGTAAGGAGAAGCGGTCAAGGGCCCAATAGAGGCAAAGCGAGTGGACTCATAGTCTCAATTTCCCCAGCAAGCATCCGTCCTGCCCGCATCGGATGAGGACTGAGATTATCTATCTCGGACATTGGTGATCGACCGCTTCTGACGGTCTTTCAGTCTTTCAGTATTTTGACCTGTTTTTTTCCCAGCTGGATCCGGGAGAATGGCTCCCACTATCCGTAGATAGTTAGTTTAGAACTATCTCAAACCCTTCTTCCAATTGACCCCGGGTCTCTGTCTTCGTGTGGTTCTCACCGCTCTCTCTCAATCCGGCTAGTTTAGATGATCGATAAGAAGTCGAAAAAGAAAAAAAAAATCGTACAATAATCTGTACGAAGACATGAGAGTGGAACCCTGCAGCAGGCACGTTGGGTCAATATCGCTAACTTTGGTGGTGGTGGTGTCGTCTGCTTCTCGTAGGGTCACGGAACGGCACTAGAGCCCGCGGAATCTATCCTGTGCAGTAGGTGGATGCGCGATGCGCCGCCGCCATAGCTTCTGGTAGCTCTGGCTATCGTGCTTTCCTCAATCCTTGCATACCTGGGCAGCAGCCTGTTAATCTTCCGGCTTCCAGGCCTGCGGATGCTATGTCATACGAGACTTTAGGGGCGTACTGCATTGAAGTCATTTCTTTTCCTCAATAATCCTGGAATTTTGCAGCGTCTAGGCTCTTCGCTGGTTGGTGGATGTAAGAATCTATCTTATCCATAGGTCATCGACATGATAACCCGTACGACGTTGGGCCTGAAATTGAGACATGCGTGCTTGCAATCTAAGCTCTCTGTCGTGTGGCACTTGTTCGAGGGTGTTTCTGACTGATCCCGAGCCCTGATCGAGTCAATGAATACGACTTGACGTTACTGGTTCCGATATCGTTGGTGTCATTCTCATATTGAACGGAGATGATCAACGGCATATCGTTATATCAATGCCAAGGAGATCAACCTCGATGGCCGAACATACGTCGTTTGAAGAAGACCATTATGGAGACGTTCTAGCTCCCAAATGCTATCCAGACGCGGTGTTAACGCTTGTGGTACATGGATTCTTGGTCTTCGCCGATTGCCATACTTGCATCCAAGTCATTGTAGAATTTAGGGTACCAAACAAATTGGACCGAGGCGCAACGGTAGGCCAGGCCGATCCGCTTTTGCTTAGCCCCCTGTGACGTTTGTTTCCATTCGGGAATGCGGACCAATGTCCGGGGTTCCATCAAAGTTGTCTCCACTCAACCACGTTAGGGTGTCTACTCGTCGGTGACGATGGATCGCCGAAGGCCGCTCTCTAGAAACATTTCCCAGACGGTATCGAAGGCCCACAGTAGCCTCGAAGAGAGGGCGGAAGCGCATCGGCCTGATAATGTGCGATCATGCCCACCGACGCGGTTCGGATTGCATAGTGTCCACTTTGAGCCACCGTCAATCCAGAAATTCCAGAGCCTGGAGGCGTCGAATTGCCATCGTGACCGAAGCCTTCGGAAACAGCTGTGCATGCGGCATGTTGTTCCAATTCTCTGTCAATTCGGTTGCACTGGACTCTTCCACTTCCTGCATCGGTTAGTCCACTCTCGAGGCATGACCAAGTCGGTTTCCGGGACACGATCCGTGGCCGTCTGCTTCAGATCGTGTCGCAGTTTGCTCTTCACGATCTTCCTCTTACGCAATGCACAACGACAATTGTAGCTGCTCCAGGAGAATCCTGAGGGTAATCCCAAATCTGATGCTGGTGGATACTGAGTAGTAGATATTGAATGCTGGGCGACAAATAGTACTGTGCTCCTAATCCTGATCTGCATGCTGGACAGTCCTGTGACCACGGACGGTTAAATGCTCGCCCCGGGTTTCTAGGTTAAGGGTTATACTAGCTTCCAGGGTGGAAATCAAGGGATCCACGACCAGCAGCGGTACCGTCCCGGGAACCGGGGACTAGCAGGCCAATAATCCACACGGAGCACTGGAACTGCAACAATGTACTGGCTGACGGCTGGTGGCACAAAGTGTGGCGCTATGCGCCAATCTTCCCGTCGTCCGTTGCCAATGAGTTCATGGGTTCTAGGGAAAAAAATCGAGCCTGTCTCATATTCTGGAAGCATGGCCCGCCCCATCGAGGATCGATGTCAAAGTCGATCTCCTGGATCGAGTTACTGGGGCTGCAGAAATAGTACACAAATTCTGTTATTCAGAGGCATAGCAGATCCGCCTTCCTCTGGCGGATACCGACTGTCTATCCTTGCAGTACTTTTGTCGCCTCACATTAGAGAGTGGCCGCTTTCCGGTCCAAGAATATCCCAGAGAGGCAGAAGATCAGCTCAGAGGGGGCTGTTGCCACAGATCGAAAGTCCCATTGGGACTTTTGCATCATCAGGCTTTACTGGTGGGAGGGGGAAATGTAGGCGTAAAGGACGAGTTTCAAGGGGGGGCATCACAAGTTGCGGTGAGGACATACACACACACACACACACACACACACACGTCCAGTTATCGGGCCGCCCAAGAATGAGAGATCACTTTCAGGATAGGTAAACGGGTTCATCCCCTGATGATGGGACCACCCGTCGTGGAAGGATCATGAGGTGTCTCATAAGGCGATAAGATTCTTAGACAGGAGGAGATTTGCTGCAAGGTCGATTGATGGGGAGCCGAATCGAACTAGTCCATCATCGGTGTCCACGAACTGTTGGGCCATCGTCCTTTCAACCATTTGCTGGGGGCGACACACTAAGTGAGATCAAGTAAAGCCGTGAGGGTCCAAGCAGACAGCTTGATTGACAGGCCATCGTAGTCTCACGCAAGCTAAGCTTAAGCTATGTTTAGGCAGGTAGGTAAAAAGGAATCCGAGGTGCGTGCAGAGGGGTGTGCAAAAAGCAAACATCCTTCTTGATCGTGCGTACCTGTCGACTGTCTGTCTTTCCCAGTCGATCGGGTCAGGCGAACGGCGGGGGGAGCTTTTTTCCTTCCCCTCTCTCTTTCTTTTCCACCCCCTTGGTTTTTCTCAAAAGAGAATGAGAAAGGTGCTTTTGCTGTGGGGACATTCTGGAGAAATTGGTCGAGTTCTCGAAGTCAAAAGAACCGAGTCAGGTGAGATGTACATTTTGGTTTGTTTGCTTTTCCCGTTTTGGCAGCTGCACAAGGGGGCGGGGATCACCTGACTAAGTACGGTGCAGTACACATCAATTTTCCAAAAGCAAACTTGAATCGTGTTGTATGTGTTAGGTATACCTCTCACTATATTTGCTTTCGCCTTGTTTATTATTGATTTCCCCCCTCCAAAGTTTCTCGAGCAATCACACAGGACCTTGAAAGCATTCGCATTCGCATTCGCAAAACTAGAACCATGGCTATTGCCACTTCTCCCGTATCCTTGTGGAGCCGGAAACGCGATCTCGTCTACTTCGCATTCTTCGCCATCCATGTCCCCATCATCTTCTGTAAGTCGGGAGTTGTCCCCCAAACTACCGAGACACTTTCGTTTCCCCCTCCAATCCCTACTCTGTTCCAATGGAGAAAGACGGTTTTTCTGTACTACTCTGCTGCTTCCCACCCCCACCTTAAACACAGATCAGGTGTAGATGAGACATAGTGAGCGAGCGAGCGAGCAAGTAACAAGGGCAAAACAAAAACTGACATTATGCACGCAAACAAACACGATCAGTGGTCGATGCCGCTCCCATCCTGCCGTCTTTCCTCCAGTCCACTCTCAGCGTGACGCTACGCGAGTTCTACATCGAAACCTATCATGACAAGTTCTTCGAGGAAGCCCCAACCACTTGGTTTACCTTCTTTCTGTTGATGGAGCTTTTCTATCATGTTCCGCTCAGTGTCTGGGCTCTGCGCGGCCTGAAGAAAGGTATGTACAGTACACACGTCCATCAGTCCAGTACATCGGGTTGCCAATGGGTGGATCATTTTTCGTTCTTCTTCTTGGGGTTCCATGATCTACGCCTATGCCTCCTCCACTCTCTTCCTCCCTCCCGGGAAATCCCCCCCTCCCCTCCCCCTAACGTCCCCTTACATCACAGCCCTGTCTCCATCCGTTTTCTCTTTTCTCTCTCTTCTTTTTTTTTTTTTTAATTTTGATTTTTTTCCCTCCCACTGGGTGCTTGCTTGCTTGCTTGCTTGCTAACCATGACAGATGATCCTCTTGTTCCCGTCCATTTGCTCGTTTTCGGAGTGCAATCGTTCCTCACCTCGGCCATCTGTCTGGTGGAGGTCTGGAGCTGGACTGACCGTACGCTCGACCAGAAGCAGAATATTACCATGCTCTATGGTCCTTATGTTGCTCTCGGTAAGGCTGATCTAAATTTAGGGCTTGTTCCTTCTGTGGAAGACAGCAAGTAGTTACAGTACCAGTTGGCAGGGGCTGACTTATGGGTTCTCTAGGCGCATTTATGGCAGTCGACATGTTTTGTAGACTTCGCGAGCGACTTGTGCTCAAGCCCAAGTTGGAGTAGACGGCTAAGTACCTCGAAATTCAGTTTGGTTACTTTCGTTGGATCTGCGACGGGCTTCATGCCCCAGGTAGCGAAAGGTTGGAAGACGGGGTGGTCAGGAATTGAGAAGCAAATCTTGGTCACCACATACGCACATAGATTACTACAGTTGCTCGGATAGAGGCACGCAAAAATACTGACTTGCCTTGTCATAGCTTCCAGCTGTTAGATTGTGGCATATTTGCTCGCTGCTGCACAGGTTCTAGGTGCTTCCCGAGTGACAGCAGAACCCGCCACACCAACTCTATGTGAGAACATTGCATAATAAGGATGAGAGACAGGGCCCTGCAGTGTAGATTGGCCAAGAAAAGCGAATGTTGCAACCGCAAGAAAGCACTCCCCTACAGACAGAAAATGGTGACTGGTAGCCCACCTCGTAGCGACCTCCGTCGTAGCAAGAGCCGAGAGTCACAGGGACAAAATGCGAGCAACATCAGGAGACCATTTATCACTATGACAAAAAGAAAAATCGCATCTCACAGTGCACATTCGGCTCGGCGATGATAGATCAAATTGAGCGGTAATAAACAGAATGGCCAGGCCTCGCCCGGTCATGTCAAGGAAATCTACGTCAGGTCGTGACATCACACATTAAATCAGGAATCCAATGGCCTCGTCCAGGTTCCCGTTGGCGGCATCTAATGCACGCATCGCCTCTTCCCGTGTGAAGCCCAGCTCTGTGATTTTTCCAATGGAAACTTGTGGCCAGCGCGATGTTGGTGGGGCAGTGCGGGAAGGAGGCGCGGAAGAACCGCCAGATCCTTGACTGCTGCCACCGGCCTGATGCGTGACCGCTCCGGTTCGGGCGCCGACTTCGGCGCCATCGGGTCCTTTGATGACGGGCTCGTCCTCGAACTCATCCAGAAGATGCCTGGGAATATCCGCCTCACCAAGGAAGGGGACTGCCTGGTCCTGGATCACCAGAGCACCGCGCTGGAGATCAATGCAGGCTTGATGCCGTTTCAGCATGTCCAAGCCCAAGAGCAAATCAATATGCTTCCCTTCCATGACAGTAAATGAACACGGCAGGAACATGCTGCCAATCTTTATTTGTGCCGAGTGCACCCGACCTAGAATAGTTGCTGTTCCCACGCCCTTTGCAATGCCGCCGTACCGTCGATCAACGAGTCTCATAATGTTGCACGCGGTCGCACATTCTGGCGACATGATGGTGACCTGTGCACCGGAGTCGACAAAAGCGTTGAGTTTGTGGCCGTTGACCTCGACAGGGATATATAACATGGTTACGCGACCGAATGCTGTGCTGTATGTTTAATTATCCCCTCCGCAAATCATGAACACTTGCAGGTCCGACTTACACTCCGGATGATGCTCCATTGCATTATGGAGGTTTTCCGTCACAGCATTCTGACGAATGATCTCTTCGATCTGCTTCTGATTTTCGGGATTAAAAGGATCGGCATTCAACATGGCAATCCGCGCTTCCTTCTCCGCTTCCATTTGAGCTTCGCGGGTTTGTTGTCGGGTGAGGACCTCGCGGAATCGCTGCGCATCGTTGGCAGCGTCCGCCAACTCCGGGTTCTGCCTTCGGACGGCTTCCCGCACACGAGGGTCACCCAAAATATGTAGGCGGATTGTTTCGGGATCTGGGGTCATAGCCTGACGTCGCTGCAGATTTTGTTGGGCGGCAGCAGAGCTGGGACCTCCTATGCTCCGGGTGGGCGCGGGGGGTGCTCGCAGCGTCACATGGACACCGAGCATATCCCCTTCACCGATGCCGACTTGCTCAAGCGTACGGGAGTCATCACCAAGGAGCTGATTGTTATATACGAGTCGCTGGGCGTTGGGTGATATCGAGGTTTCACTTTCAACAATAGCTTTCAGGAGCTCGACGGTCATATCCGCCCCGACTTCGAGGGAGATAATATCGGCATCGGCCTGGTCCTGGCGAATAACGCTTACCGTGATGCGCCTTGAGATAGATGGGATCATCATTAGCTTAAACAGGTTTTTCCTGGAAGTGATTTCTCCGAGCGTATGCCCGATTGCGACGTACATGATGCTGTGCAGCGGTAGGTGCGGGGAAGCTCTCCCAAACCCGAGAAGAGTAAGCTGTATTGAGGAAAGAAGGATGTAGGATTGAGGCTGTTTCAGAAGGACAGCAAATGGCTACGCTTAAGAAGCTGAGAGTCAACGAAGCTGTTTATCTGAAGTGTGGTTGATTTCTAATGGAAGTGCGTAGAGACCCAGGGAAAGGTAATCGGGGAACGAGCACGCGAGGAGAGGTGGTGTCGCAGAGAAGAGTACGACGCCGGCGGGGAGGATACGACCGAAGAGGAAAGGGTGGAAAGGGTCGGAAAGATGCAGAGGTCTAAAGGTATTCAGGTAAGGTAGAGTCTGAAAAAATAAGAATGAATAAAAGGTAAGGGTATTTAGAAATAGCAGGAAGTACTGTACTGTGTAGGTGCAGTTGAGTGAGTGAGTGACTGAGTGATAAGGAAGGCGGGATGGGCAGGTTACGGTTCCTGGTGAAGTGCAGAATGAATGGAGGTCCGGCGTCCGGCCTGATTCGGCAGGCAGCAAGTCATGGTGCGTCATCCGTCCACCCATCGGCCCCGGGCCTGCGACCGTAGCTTCCATACATGCAATCTCCAAACAACTCTAACCCATTCTACATCAAGCTACTGAATGAGTGCTCAGGCTTGAGCTCTTCCTTTACCCTTTCAATAGAGCATTGTATTTTGCATCCATTTCATGTCATTCAAACAAGTGTCAATGAAGGAGACAGTTGTGGTCATGTTCGCTATTGTTCTAGACCATTCTAGACCCAGAATGATCAAGAGAAGTATATCTTTCACCCGACCTGACACCATGTCTGTCAGCGTGTTGCTGACCATCGCTGACTATAGTTCATCTTCTTCGTACTATCACCTAGTCACTTCGATGGCGAAAGTAGTGTCAGGTCACATGAACGAACCCTCCTGTCATCAGTCTTGGCCGACAGCCTGATCCTTCCGTGGAGCGTTTTTTTTTTTTTGGGTTAATCATGAGCCCGAGATTAACTAGCGGGCGTTAGCGATGCCTATGACATTCGAGCTAATCATTCAATTTCCAAATCGGATCCCCCTTTCCTCTATTGAAGGTTATTAATGCATTCGCTACTCGCGAATAAGTCATTGGTCAGCCATGAAACATTTCATTGCGCTACGATTTGATGTAGGCCTATCGCTGTGTCTATACCTCAACCTCGAGCGTGCTTGCGGTCTTTCCGTCGCATCTCAGTTGCTGGACTGACACAAAGCGACCATATGAAAACCAGAACAATTACGTGGCTCACCTCAAGATGCTGCTCCGAAAGAAGAGGTTATCATAGGCCTCGTGGCCGGCATCACTGCATCAGACATTGCCAAGGATTAAGCATATGGACTGATTATGAGCCGTGTGAAATATTACTGAACGGATACCACCTTGCAGTTACTACACTGTTTGCCCCTTTCGTGATGCTGCAGACTAGTCTGTGCTCAGGGCCCCAGTCAAGTAACCGTCTTAGCCTCTGGGTTTGAGGGTCTAAACGCAACGCTGGCAAGCGCGGATGTTGCTACTTTACTTCCTACCCTACGGTTCGGGGCCTACCCCGCTATGCGGGGGCAGAACATGCGAATTGCGGCTATGCTTCAATGTTTCATCCATGGCTCGACCAAGCATAAGTACAGAAGTGTGGTCACTTATAGTGACTGTTGCGTGACAATGTGATCCAAGCAGTACTTATTCCAAACGCTTTGCCACAGATACATCTGGCACTCCCTCACCTTCCACAATCTTCGCACCAACAACTTCGTCTACTGGAATCTCAGCCAAACGAGAAATGATGTGATGCAATGTGGGTAGTTGTGTCCAGTTGAGACCATCGATCTCAAACCTTGCGTTCTTTGTAGTTCGCAACCGTGTGATCTTGGAGGGAACCACCTTGGCCTCCTCCGCATGTGGCACAATGACAGGGTACTCTGCTTCGGGCACTCCCTTGTTCTCATGGCCGACCTTAGGGAAGTAGCGGTGCACCAAGATTCCCACGCTGGACGGATTAGGATTCGTGTTCATTTCTGGTTCTTGATCCTCGAGATCTTCCAAATGGAAGTGGCCCCAAACGGCGCCTTGCCAGCTGGTTGTCAAATGGTGCGAGTTGCTGCGGTCGTGGGCATCAATTGCTGTATAGAGCTTGGGCATACCAAGCTCTTCACGACCGCTGACGATAGGGTCGGTCAGACTCTCGAACAGAATCGGCAAATAGGTGCCTTCAACCGTTTCACCATTCTTCTTTTTATACTGCACTCCCTCGATGTACAGCCCGATGTGGCGGTAACCGCCTCCGCCCAGCCAGTCCATGCGGTGGAGTTTCGTTTGGGAGAAGCTCGCATAGGCTACTGTACCCTGGTTCACAAATGACCAAGAGTCGTTAGGAAGTAGGTTCTGAAGGCAAGTTCGACTGGTTTTGAATCGAATGGAAACTGTCTCGAAAGTGGCTTTGAGCGATTTCTGGACACGATCTCGACCATACCAGTCCTGTCTGGGACCAGGCATAGGCCCAAACACTATTGGCTGACGCCAGTACTTGGGCCCCCCTTGACTCCAGATGTGCTTTCGGAGGAGGTTGGTCGAATGATCATATTCGTCATGCCCGTAAATGTAGTCTTCCATTCTACGGACTAAGTGAGGTCAGTAACCTTTGACGGCGGGATTGAGAAGGGGGAGGAACTGACTTTCGTCGACGGGCTGGGGGCCATCAGAGTCTCGAGTCATCTGTTGAATCGTGGTAGCTCGTGTGTATCGAGCTTCCTCGTACAGCTTCAACCTCTCTGGAACTTCTGCTGGGTCGAGATCCTTCGAGAGCATCACACCCAGAGACACGCCGTCCTCGATGGCCATAGCGCCACCAGAAGCGCGGTATGGCAAGAACGGATGGACGGCGTCTCCCAGCACTGCCAGGCGACCGTTGACCCACGTAGGCGGCTTTTGCATGTCGAAAAGGGGCCATACTTTCAGTGTCTGGGGATCAGCCTTGGCCAAGATCTTGACCACCTCTGGCTTGAAGTCTTTGTAAACTTCCAAAAGAGCATCCTTGCTGGCCTCTTGATCCCAGTCTGCGCCGGTGTTCACCTTGCTCAACGTGTCAGGGTGGATGCAGACAAAGTTCAAAATCTCATTGTTGGCACATGGATAGATGACCACACGCTTGTCATGGGAATCCCACATGCTACAAATGCTGGGAATGTCGGCCAGGGATTTTGTCTCGGGGTCCTCCTGGGCGACCTTGCGCGACAAGAGAAAGCGAAAAGCGTTCTTGCCAGAACTGAAGGGCTCGATCTCTTTGGTGCCTGGCAGCTTCGTTCTCGCAAGTGAATGTACACCATCTGCCCCGATCACGACATCACCATGGAAGACTTGGCCGTTTTCGAGAGTGAGTGTGGCAGCTTCTGGATCAATGTCAACAACCTTGCTGGCAGTGTGCAGCTCGGCAGGAATGCCAGGACCAGATCCCTGAGCGACGTTCTTCAAGCCTTCATGGAGATGGGCCCGATGCACAAGAGACCATTTCTATAGACGTTAGATTGTAACACACATGGGCCAATGGATTTCCTTACAGTTCGCCACCTATCTGCCCGTGATTTGTGATCGACAATTGCCAGCGTCTTGCCAGCGGGATTATAGATGTGCAGCTTGGTGAAGGTGAGCTTCTAGTTCCTGAGTAATTATCCCACGGGACAAACCTGGTCTACTTCCACGGCTCCAAACTTGGCAGCATCTATTCCCAGACCTAGCAGCGCGGAGTTCGCATTGGGTGTGAGATGAATAGCAGCTCCGATCTCATTTGCGAAACGAGAGCGCTCGAAAAGCTGCATGGAAGCGGTTAGCTTGAGTCGAATATGAGGGTAAGTTTACACACCTGAACGCGATGGCCCTGCTTGCGTAGTGCAATAGCAGCAGCCAAGCCACCGATACCAGCACCAGCAATAAGGATGTTCAAGCCTCCTTGTGAGGCGGTTTTGGGATCGATGCTGCCCATGATGCCCGTTTTGCGTCAAACGTGCTGCGTTAATGAAAGAGGTTGTCGAGAAGCGGGGGATATAGACCGTCCGCCCGACAACCCTGCTCTCTGTTTTATAAGCCCGAAAAGTGACATGCTGAAAACAACGCTGTTCACTCCCTTACGTGGAGAGCAGCATGCACACCTTGCTTGGACAATCGCCCACCTTTCGGGTTGGTTTACTTAACTCCCCCGCGCAGGTTCGGCTCACCATTTCGGCCCCACGTTCGGAGAGTGCAACTGTGTATGAGCAAGTGCTCGGAGAGCAGACCGCAACTTACGATTGGCAAGCTGTGGATTCGAGTCTCCGAGTATTTATCTCACGTACCACCGAAATCGGTCTGGATTACCTTCTCTTCTTTTCAATAAACAATTGCTGCATCCGAGGCCTTTGCAAAGTGAAGACAACATGCCGAACCCTATCCGTGAAGACCTCGCCACGGTAGACGATACCTCTTTCCCCTACGTCTTCGAGCAAAATGTCACAATTCCCCTGAAAGATCAATCTGGTCTTGTGCGCTGCAATGTTTACCGCCCCAAAGAATTGGAGAAGGCTCCTGTACTGGTGACCTACGGCCCCTACGGGAAGGATATTCCCTACGCGGACTTCCACCCTCAGTCGTTTAGTGAGGTCAATCCTGAACATCGCTCAGAGCACTCGGCATGGGAGACACCTGATCCCCTTTTCTGGACCCGCAATGGATACGCCGTGGTTCGAGCGGACGAGCGGGGAACTGGCCAGTCGCGCGGCAAGCTGGACACCATGTCTCGCGAGACCAGCGAGGCATTCTTTGATGTGGTGGAGTGGGCGGCCGAGCAACCATGGTCTACAGGAAAAGTCGGCTTGCTTGGTATTAGCTACTATGCTGGAAGTCAATGGCGAGTCAGCGCCCGCCAGCCCAAGGGCTTGAGTTGCATTATTCCCTGGGAAGGTATGTCCGACTACTACCGCGACCGTTGTCGCCACGGCGGTATTCTTTCCAACAAGTTTATCAAGTTCTGGTGGGATCGTCAGGTCGTATCGAATCAATACGGACGCCCCGGTCGAGCAGCACGCAATTGGGGTCCCGATACCATCGAGGGTGATCTTCCCGAGGAGGAACTGGAGCTCAACCGTCAAGACCAGACGATCGACAATGTCAACAACCATTTCCGGGATGATGTATACTATGCTAGCAAGGAGTACACCATGACCGATATTCAAGTTCCTCTTCTCTCGGTCGCCAATTGGGGTGGTATCCTCCTGCATCTTCGCGGCAACGTCGAGGGGTACACTCAAGCCGGCAGCGAACTCAAGTACCTGCGCTTCATCACGGGCCGTCACGATCTGCCTTTCTACTACAAGGAGGAAGTGGAGGTGCAGCGGAGTTTTCTGGATGCTTTCTTGAAGGGTGAAGATCGCGCTGGCTGGGCGGACGGCACTGCTCCCAAGGTTGACGTGGTCCTCCGCAAGGGCGATGTTGGTTTCAACAACGCCGAAGCCGAGAAGCAGTATCCACGCCGACAGGAGAACGAGTGGCCTATCGCACGCACCCAGTATACTCGTTACTACCTGACTTCAAAGCAGGAGCTGGTGACGGAAGCCCCCAAGGAGAGATCGACCAAGATCACGTACCGTGCTCTAGGCAACCTCGACGAGCCACAGCTAGTGCAGTTTACGACGGCACCATTCGAGCAGGAGACGGAAATCACCGGCCACATCGTGGCCCACCTCAACGTATCGATGAGCCCAGAGCCCGGGCGTCCGACGCCCAGAGATATCGACCTGTTCCTGACATTGCGTCATATCTCCCCGGAAGGCAAAGAGGTCTTCTACACCGGCACAGCAGGGGATCCGGTCCCTCTCTGCAAAGGCTGGCAGCGAGTCAGTCTGCGCAAGATAAACGCGGAGCACCCGCGCAACCGGCCTTGGCTGCCCCATCGCGACTATTATTCCACCGATGTGCTGCCGGTGGTTCCGGGCGAGGTGTACGCGGTGGATGTGGAGGTGTGGCCAACCAACGTGGTGGTGGAGAAGGGAGGGAAGATTGTTTTTGAGGTGTCTTCAGGGGATACTCAGGGGTCCGGTCTGTTCCAGCATAATTCGCCTGTCGACCGGTCGGAGGAGAAGTTCCAGGGATTCAACCACATCAACTTCGGGCATGGGGACAACTATGTGACTTTGCCGATTATCCCTCCGCGGGAGTAGATTGCCAGACTTAGAAACATAGACTTGGGGTGGGGTTGGAAGTCGACCTACCAAACAATTGAATTGATTGCTTACATACGATTGTAACTGATGCTCCCCTCACCCGATGTGGTCCCGAAACGCACCCGAGAGCGTTCCCCGCAGTATGGCCGGTAATTACATCTGATATACTCAGGAAGTAGAATGTTAGAGCGCAAGAAAGATAGACACAAACACACATATAACTCAAGTAGTGGCACCTTCGCTCAATCCCTATACAAACTCCAACTTCCTCATACTTGTCTTGAACAGTTCCAACAGTCCAACCGCGCAACTCATTACTACTACAACCAAACCCAGCCTACCAAACCACCACCACCACCAACCCTTTACTTTCCGATTCAATTTCGCAAACCTCGAAGACCAGAACACAAGCAAAAATGGCCACTACCACCCCCCCAAGCACCACGGCCCCTAAAAACATCCGCCCCCTCAACCGCTACATCACCACCCACTCCCCGACCACGGGCCAAGCGGTCTTCTCCACCGCCCTCCCCGAAAGCATGCCCATCCAGCAGATCAACGACTCCGCGGGCGCCCAGTTCTCGCTCGCGTACACCACCGACACGTTCCCCGTGGACCTGACCGCCGACCGCGATATTCCCGCCTACAACCACTACCTCACCAACCCCCCCGGCATCACGATCAGCACGGGCACCGTCTGCCGGATCGTGGACATGCCGCCGCACGCGCTGAGCCCCATGCACCGCACCGTCTCGCTGGATTATGGGGTCGTGCTGGAGGGCGAGGTGGAGTTGGTGCTGGACTCCGGGGAAACGAGGCTGTTGAAGCGCGGGGATGTGGCCGTCCAGCGCGGCACGAACCATGCGTGGCGGAATGTGACCCCGGATGCTGTGGGGGAGGATGGCGTGAGGGTGGAAGGCTGGGCACGGATGTTGTATGTGCTTGCGCCGGCGATGGGGGAGGGGTTGCATGAGGATGTGACGGGGATTGAGGTTAGGGGGAGTACTTAAGTTGATTTGCTTGGGGGTTGGGATTGGGGGTTGATGTTGTGGTCGAGGGATATAGAAGGAGGGTTTGGGAGGGGGGGGGGGGGGGGGTTTGGTGGTGCTGTATGTATGGTTGGTTTTGTGTATGTTGAGGAGTGATGTTGTGAAAATCAATATGTACCTTTGTTTTGATAAAGTAAGTCTTGTGTGTACCTAGTGCATCTTAGAATGTGGACGGGATTTAGCGCCATAGGAGGAAATTCGTTGGATGTGCTATACTACTAGAGAGCTGGGTGGTTGAACAATAGAATTGATTTGAGTCTGGGACATAGTTCTCTCTATATGGGTCGTTCTGATTACTGAAGGTTTCCAAGGGCTGTTGTTGGACGTTCCAGGTGAGTTCTGGTCTCGGAGAAACACCTATATGGCTATTCACACTAGACGAGCTCAATTGAATAATATAATTTGATTTGAATGAATTGCATTGCATTGCTCTGTGACAAAAAATAGTATAACTCCCAGACTTGACATGTTTGTATCGCAGTCCTTGCATGCCCCGCAAAACCACTCTACCACTCTCCTCCGATCTCGTAGTGAAAGATCTTGTCGTTGATCTTCCCTCCCGTTGCATGCCAGACTCGTGACACGACCTAACCTCCTTAGCTGTGTTCGATATGTTTGTCAGTCAAACCTGACTTACCGCGTTCAACCAAACACCATGTAGCATGGTCTGAATGAACACAAATTCTGCTCTATTCGCGCCCGCCTGTCGCTCACTCAGGTTCAGCTCGCGGTTGGCCGGACGGTAGGCAGGCACCCGGCGATGGTCGATGGGCCAGTTGGCGGGCTGTGCGGGTGATGTCGTGCTGGACGTTGATTCTTGTGATGGTGAAGGGGTCGCCTCGCCTGAGTGATGCAGTTCATAATCCGATAGCACAGATAGAGTGCCAACCCGTGTGGAGGAGGTGGTTATTGTGGTGGTCGCGGAGGTCGTCGACATGATGATGATGATGATGATGATGATGATGATTGTGTGGAGAAGACAATGATGGGGAAACTGATTATGGTGAGATAGTTACAGAAAAGCTGGAGTCAGGGTGATATGCTGAATGCTGCAACATCAAACCTCGGCAGGCAACCGGTCGCCCCAAAGCGCATCTCTTGCCTCCTCCACATCCCGAACCCCATGCCCATCCTTCCCCATCCCCCATCTTCCAGCACCTCGACTGCGGCCCATTGATCCGACTGGCCCATTCATGTCCACATAGTTGAAGGGAATAGACTGCTAGCTTATCTCCGAAGCTGAGGTCGGTTCGTTCCCCAGATCTTGTTTATGGCTATATTCCTACCCCGTCCTCACTAGGCCTCGTGCAAACATTGTCTCTCACATCATCGACGAAAATGGTTGCACCACAGTACTTCCCCCGGATCTTGTCCGCGGAAATTGACGGTCGCACTCAGAACATCCGATACCGTCAGAACCAATTCCACCGATTACAGTCTACCCTCGTCCAGCACGTTGACCAGATCAAGGATGCTCTGCTCACCGACTCGGGCCATGCCCCGGAGGAAGTCCGCGCCGAGATCTGTCTTGCATTGAAGGAGGTCCGCACGCACTATGCTTCGCTGGACTTGAGCAGAGACCTTGAGGAAGAGTATAGGGTTGCACATGGGAAAGATAACCGGGATGGCAAGCGTGGCGCGGGCATCGTCTACATCATTCCGTGCACGCACACGATGTTCTTCTCTGTCGTCTCGGCATTGAGTGCGGCGCTGGCGGCGGGGAACTGCATTATCCTGGAGGTAGGTTTACAGCTTTCCCTGACGGAAAGGGAGAAAGAAGACTAACCGATGATTGGGGCAGTTGACGAAAAACACTATGGCCCTGCCTGCTCTTCTGAAAAAGATCCTCCCGCCCGCGCTGGATGCAGATACCTTCGCCGTTAGTGAAGATAGACCCAATGCGAGCTTTCTGAGCCGGGTGGTTGTGCTCAACCAGAACGGTGATGCAGGCCAAACCTCCGGCCAAAGTATCTCTTCTCCAAGCACAGCTCGGACGATCGCCGTAGTCGACCGCACTGCCGACGTGCCGGCGGCCGCGGAGGCGCTGGTCGCGGCGCGGTTGACCTTCGGAGGTCGCTCGACATACTCGCCCGATGTGGTGCTTGTCCAGGAATTTGTCATGAAGGAGTTTGTGGAAGCGGTGCTTCAGCGGTCGTCGAAATACCTGGGCGGCCAGAATGGCGAGGCGCGACAGACCGTCGCGAACCCTCGTCGCGCGAGTCCGGGGGCCTCGTTGCTCGACGCGGCGCATAAGGACGCTGGCTCGCGCGTTCTAGTTTCTGGATCCGAGTGGGGAGTTGTCGAAGTGCTGGATCGGTAGGTCTCTGAGAGGCGGTGGAGATTCAGGCTGCTTGCTAAACATTGTTCAGGAAATCTCCCCTGCTACAGAGGAAGGTCGCTGAGAAAGTGCTGATCCTACACCCGATTACCAGTCTGGATGATGCCATTGACTTTAGTACTTCGTATGTTGCATCGGTTCGTTCTGAAGCAGGAAGCAAACGAAGCTAACAGTCGCAGACGCGGAACTCTTGCTGCGACATACGCCTTTGCGGCCCCCGCGTCCGCCAAATACCTCACCCAATTCATTGACTCTTACATTTCCTGGGTCAACCATGTTCCCACTGATATGCTGAGTATGTTTGTCCTGGACATTTGTGCAGCTTAGTGCTGATGAGTTATAGTTGGACCCGCCTATCCCACCAACCTGGCCCCCAGCTCTGACACTCGCTACTCGACACTATCACTTCAGGTGCCGCGGCCACAGTTTATTACTCCGACAGATAGCGCCGCACTCACCCGGACAGTCCTGGATACCAAGAACAGCAACTGGAACCAGGTGTGGACGGAAAATTTAGCGCCGTTGCCTGCGATCGGCCAACGGGCCGGCAAGAAGATCGGGTTCTTCGAACAAGGCATCATCACGGGCGGAGTGATTCTTCTCTTCTCCCTGGCGGCTACGGTGTCGACGATGGGGTTCTATGGCTTCTCTGCTATCAAGCGACTGCGTGCGTGAATCGTGTTTCTTCAGTTCTGTCTCTAGTCTAAATATACCATATCACCTTGCAGTGTCTTTACCTTTTACACTTGTTCTTTCCGTCATCCCTTCCTCTAAACACAGATTCACGGTGCTCTCCCCAAGTTGATTGCTATGGGATTGGTGTCGGGGATGGAATTGGTCCAGCGAATGCTTTAGCATGGAGATTTAATCGAGCTAAATCAGATGCTTAAGGTTCTTTCAATCCGTGGGAGCTAGACTGAATGTGGTGGTGTCCATTGGGCCGTGCCGTATAGTAGTGAGTCCCGCTTATAGTGCCATGATGATAATCCCTTTCCTGTCATGTGCTAGTGCTTCATCGTCACAGCGTCGCCAGTAGTCCAATGGCTTGGTGGTCTAGGTGAGCATCTTTGACGGCCTATGTGAGAAGAAGTGTACCGGGCCTGGCTTCGTGTTTGTTGCTGTAATGAACCATCAGGGAGCAGATTAGCAACAACGATTCGGAACCAGACGGGGTTGGTTTGTGGAGTGTCTCTTGCCCATTCTTGGAGGATTGAATTCTACGATCAAAGCGCTTTGGGGCCCCCCTGTTTGTTTGATCCAGGAGATTTTGTGGAGATGTGCTGGTGGAGAGCCTGGTGTCGCCGCCACCGCCAGGGCAGGCTGTCGCCGGGATGTGCCTCCACATCCCGAAGCGAGGTTTTCAGCGTCAGCATATCTCCCCAAGAGCACTAATCAACCAGCACCGGTCAATGCTTTGCGTTTAAGAGCTGAGATCGTCGTCGCTTACCTCTTGGTCTGTTTCTCGTGCATTCGGAACTTTTCAGGTCGATTGTTTCGGCTGATTTCGGTTCGGCTGGTTTAGTTCAGATCTACTGTGCAGTACAGAGACAGGTAGAATGAGAGATTAATTCTCGCTGAGTCATGTGTCGAAGATGGGTCCATGGGTCAATCGACCGTGCAAGTGACCACCTGTGGTCGACAAGTTCTAAACAGGCTAGAATCCATAGCAAGTAGTTCGAGTAAGTGTACGAGCACGAATTAGTAAGGAAGCCGAGTTCTACGGGAGTAGAGTGGGTCATTTTCCCCGCAATGCACTTGACCCGGTCTGTTCCTTCCCCAGATCCTGAACCACCCAAACATTTTCTCTTCCCCCTCCCACTGTAGGCCCATCATCTCCTTCACTCTCCCCTCCACCACACCATCATGTCCAATTCTCAACAATGTTAGAGGAACCACCTGCTGAAATTGCCCCATCTACCTCCGTGCAATCTCCCTCAAGGTCAACCCAAAAAGCCCGCGATGGCTATTTTCAATGTGGTTTCTGCAAGAAACACTATAACCGTGCCGACCATTTAATCCGCCATGTTCGGTCGCGTAAGTCCTTTTTTCATTCGAGCTTGCATAAAGGAAACTAACTGCTCTGCAGATACCCGAGAGAAGCCCTACGTGTGTCACATTTGCAACAAAGGCTTCGCTAGACCGTACGTCGCCCTCTTCCTGCTACCGCGAATGCATGGTCTTCGTGAGCTCCCAGTGATCGACAAGCTCGCCGGCCCAAAGCGGACTCAATTGTTCTTTGTTGAGTCGTTTATTTACTGACTTCAACCAGGGATCTCATGAAACGTCACGCCGCAGGTCATGATCACCCCCGCGATGGCAAAAGAAAACGGCCGCCAGTCTTCGCCAAGAGTGGCCGTGTCTCCCAAGCCTGTCGAGCATGCGCAACGTCAAAGCTCAAGTGTGACGAGGAGAAGCCTTGCCGACGGTGCCGAGACAAGAAGCTGGAGTGCGACTGGCAGGAGGCAAATCCCGGCGAGATGTCTCCCGGTTCATCATCGCAAGGTCTGTCGTTGCTCTGCTATGCACTGGATCTGCAGCAGCCAGGCGCCCCGGCTGAACTTCCACCAGCATACGATGAGCCTGACGAGACGGAAATGCGCCTCGAAACCCCTCAGACACAAGGCGTTTTTCCCTCGCCAGCACCCATCATGAATGAGTTGCCGCCACCCATCGACCCTACCGCGCAGTTCGCCACGCCAGATTTCCCAGTCAGTAATTTCCTGCCTCAGGCACCCGATTCGGCTCCGCTGGAAGATCCACTGACCACCAGCTACGATGGTACCGTGACCCGTCTCGCTTAACTGGATGTCAGCTGACGGACTGCCTGCTAGCAATCTCTCCCAGCCTGGACCACGAAAGTGGTATCTTTAGTATCGATGGAACCTTTTTCCCGGAATTCATCCCAGATTCTCTGATCACCTCTCTATCACGTCCGGATCTGGATCCGTTGTTGAACCACACCCAAGAGTATGCTTATGGGGTTTTCGACCAAAATATACCATTCAACTTCGATCTCACCGAAATAGACTTTGGACTTCTCGAATACTTCAACTCCCAAGGGATCACACATCATGCACCCCCCGCTCCTGAGGCACCCAATGACCGGGTGGATGTGGAGAGTGGAATCGCGCTGGGCGCTGAAGCTTATAAGCGTTCCTCACTGTCGGCGTGGAAGCCTGCGCAGAGCGACAATGCATTTGCACACCAAGGCGATCTTGCTGTTCCCGGGACTATCGACAGCCCCGATACAAGTCTTCGATCCGAACGGAGAGTTCTTTCCGAACGACTGTCGGCAGGGAGCCGCGATCTGATTTTCGGAATGGTGCTGCAGGCCAGCCAGAAAGCCAATCCGCTTCGGATCATGAAGTCGTTTCCGAGCACAGAGCTTTTAGACGGGCTGATACAGGATTACTTTGCATATCAGAGCCGGCAGGTCGATTCCTACATACACGGCCCAACATTCCGGATCAATGAACAAAGCTCCGACACCCTTACTGCCATCGCCGCCGCGGAAGCAACAAGGTCCACTATTTCAACTATCCGCAAATTGGGCTACGCACTACTGGAGATCGTGCGACTGCAGATCTCAGATAAGGTATGCTTGAGGTAACGAAAATGTCCCTGGAGGTAGACGCTGACCTAGGTAGTACGAAACTGATAACCGGACGACTCGTGATCTGCGAGCTTCTCAAACATTCGCCTTGGTCCTAGATATTGGACTCTGGAGCGGAAACGGTCGAAGGACGGAGATTGCGGAAAGTTTCCAACAGCCTCTACTTACGGTTCGTTCGCAATATGCTGAGGAGGCGCTGTTCGAAGTTAACACTTCCCAGATGCTCAGAAGAGCCCTAAGACTTCGACGATCTGTGTATACAGTAATCGTCCCTAGTCTCGCAGATACTCCGGAGGAACTTGAACAAAAGTGGCGGGATTGGGCGGAGCTGGAGTCATTCAAGCGGTAGGTCTTGTGATATGCTTTTCAAAGACTCTGCTGACGGCTTAGACTGGTACATCATCTCTTTCTACATGATGCTCAAGCCGCGCTGATGCTGAATGTCAACCCTCTCGTCTCGTACGCGGAGCTGGAACTTCCACTTCCTTCTATCCGGTCCTTGTGGGAAGCGAAGTCGTCAACGGAGTGGAGGGATGCTTACCTGGCCTCCGGATTGACTGGCCGGGAGCGACTGCCATCACTGGTCGATGCTATGAGAGACATGTCCCGCTTGCAGACACGTGTTGATTCACAATTGGCTGGGTTCGTCGTCTTGCACGGCTTAGCAGCGATGGTCACTGAATATCACCGCTTCAGTTTCATCTCCAAGGGAAGCTCCAAGCACTGGAACGGGCTAGTAATCAGCTCTCGGCACCAGGAGCTATCACAGGCCCTGCAGCACTTCCGTATGGTCTGCTACGAATGGTCTGAGTTTCCTGGACCTGAGGTGTTCCTAGTCCACGAAGTGATCTCCATGTTCTTGTATATGTCTCTCGAAGAACTTCAGCTCTTTGCTGGCAAGGAGGACAAAAGAGAGGCTCGTCGGGTGTACCACAGCGCCCTCGAATGGATCGAGAGCAGCGACTCGCGGCGCGCCGTGTGGCACGCGGGTCAAGTTATTCGTGCCGCTAAAGCCATGGCACCCGGATCCCTCACTGGGTTTCTGGCCGTTGGGGTGTACTACGCGAGTCTGGCCTTCTGGTCCTACAGTGTAGTTTCCAAAGCCAAGAGCGTGAAGTCGACCGGGCAGGCCGGTGGCAGCCGATCGCTGGGCCTGAACCCCCGAAACAACCAATTTCCCACCACCTATCTCGACGGGGAAGAGACGACGGAGGTGCAGAAATTCATTTCGCTGGGATGTGGATCGCCGGCTTTACAGGGACCACAGGGACCTGCATTTGTATCCGATCCGAGACAGACAATGGATGTGGCGCAGGGGCTTCTGCGGGCGGATGCCTCAAACGAAGCACTTCCTCCACTGGTCCAGGGGCTCTGTCAGTTGATGGGTGATTTGGGTAAAGCGGCCAAGTCTACGCAATAAGTGAGAATTGTATCATGTCGCCTGTGTGTGGATCACTGTAAGATATGGAGAGTATGATACCAGGACATAACTAAGTTAATCGCAACGAGCCTCAATGATGACCCTGTACAGCACATTTCCCGCCTGTTGTAACATCGCACACATCAGGGGTAATGGCCCCGAATACGTGATAAGCTTGCAAACCCGAAAGCTTCACGCGAAAAGTCTACCAGAGAATGAATTAGCAATGTAGACAGTTAGGCTTGAACCATCGATTGGATAATACCCGACGAGACTGGGACTTTTCATACATAGTAGAGAGAGGGTCGGAGTTGTAATGAAATATAACACTAGTTTTGGCAACTAGTTAGCGCTGAGATCCTTGGGAGATCCAATGAGTTGCAAATCAATATTAAAATCTCTCTGGCAAGGTTATAGATAAACCTTATCTCATCTTAACTTACATCATATCATGACTTATTGTTCAAATATTCAAAAACAGGCATTCATAGTTTTCGAGGCATTTTTAAACTCATTTCTTTAAGAAAATCTAAGTTAATTCTCCGGGGAAATGTTATAAACTATTTGCAACCAGTCTGCAACCGGTTCGCAACCTTCACCTCCAAGGCCCTTTTCTTCACTATAGAGTGGTGGTATGGAGCTACAGTACAGTTCCGTACACTTACATACGATATATGCCGCGATGGCTGTTGATGGCGTGAGGATGGACAACTGGGACTACGAGTTTCACAACTATGCTCTTGTATTTGTGAATTTTGTGAGGGGCCTAGGAAGACAAGGCCGCCTTGGTTCCTCTACCCAAGGTCAAATACTGCTACATATCGCTCTGGTCAACTCGGAAATTCGAATGAAAGGGGACACTTCGGGTACACAAGGCCCTGCTGATACCAACGACTATCGGCCACTAGCAAAGCAACTGATAAATGCCGACTACGCATTCCAAAACATTATGTTAGTGGTGATAAAAATGTGTCCAAGATATCCGACCCCGTTGCAAACAGGCCAGTTCAATCCATGACATCGATAAGGTACAACCCTACGAAGCCGATCCGTACATACACATCCACATGTCTGTCATAACAGAAGAAAATCGCTCGAAGGAATAAGACTTGGGTATAACGCTTGCACTGAAAGGGCTATAAGTTGAACGAAGGGTCTGGGACGATGCAATGCAGGAGACAGAGAAGCAAAAAGAAAGATTCCTACAAAGAGGGGTTGGTTGTTGAAACGGGTTTGCGAGCGTACACGACTGACACCGGGAGGTAGGCATGTGTTTCGAAGTCGCGGAGGGACTGGCGCATTTGCGCGAGGAAGACTTGCGCGCGCGCGTAAGACCATTCCAGGGTCGTTGTGAGGAGACGGAGCATGAATCCTTCAACCCCAGCGTGGAGGCGCAGTTGGTTCCAGCGGCCCTGACAAGAGGTGAGCAAGTTTCAGAAGATGTAAAGCTTGTATTACTCACTAATTCGTGTAACTTGGCATCGGAACTCCACCTGGTGTACTCATCAGCAAGGGGCTTTACTTTTTTGAAGGGTTGTCAAACATACGCATTCATGGGCCATTGGAAGCGTCTCTCCACCACATCGACAAATCCAGCCTGCCGTAGTCGCGTCGCGCTTTCGGCCCAGATGTTGAACGTCTTGCCTGACATGTTCCCCGAGTTGAGTACGGTCTGTCCCCATACGCGGTAGAAATGGTCCTCCGGTACGGTATCGTCGTCCGCGATCGGCTCGACCGAGTGCTCGACGACTTCTATAAACCCGCCGGGTTTGAGGCAACGCCAGCATTGCTGGAAAAATTCGTCCCAGTCAGGAATGCATCCGAACAGCTCGCGCACGTGAATGAAATCGAAATGATTAGGGTCGTAGGTCCACGGAAGGGTCACGTCGTCAATCTCGAAGACGCAATTCGGTGGGACGAACAGCGGCTGGATAGGAGAAAGGTCCACGCCCGTCACTTTGGCGCTGGGGTATTCATCCGCCATGTCTCTGTTTAGGATGAGATTGTCGTCAGTCACTGCCTCCCACAGAGCTTTTGGGTCGCATAACACACATTGCCCAAATACCGGTTCCCGTCCCCACGTCGAGAATTTCCTGTGCAGGTGATCAGTCAGATGGTGTTCTGCTGTTGTAAACACAAGAAGAAAACGACTCAGGTAACGACAGACAGTACCTGCGGATTGCATATGGGAGCCATGTGAAGCTTCCCATCGAGGGTCAGGAAGTACATATGATGGGCCAAGTCTTGTTGTTCGTTCGCGATGTCATCGTTCGGGCCCTATGACTCGCACCCGCAATCGGTCAGTCAGTCCGCAACGGGGCGCAATCGGATCACTCTGAAGTCGGACCAGCCTACCCAGTATGCGCCATCGCGAAAGGAATGGTACCGACGCCCGTATTCGAATCGGTAGTCGGTAATATAGGTGGACAGGGTGACGGTGTCGTCTCCGATCAGGGAATCCTCGCCATAAGCCGAGTCATCGTCCTCCATTTCTTCGTCAGTCGCATGGCCCGACAGGTCGGAGGAAGGGTTATGGCGTTGAGTATCATCGGGCAGAAAAGGGTGTGTTGGTGCACGCCCATCCTCTTCCTCACATGGGGGGGTCATGGCGGCGATCGGGAAGGAGTCTAGCAGATCGGATTGCGGAGATCGACTCCGTCCGGGGGAAGGGGCGGTCCACGGATAGTTGAATTTTATAGATATTTGAAACCGGTAATCATACGAAGAGTATTCCAATCGGCAAGAAAGGAATGACTACTTTGACAACGCAGAGGGATAGTTCAAGTCCACGAGGAAGGGGATACCTTGCGCAAATGACAAGGGGAGGGAGGAGGTGACGGGCAAGTTGAGTCTTTGGGGGGTGGATTCTGGGTTAGAAGGGATCAAGGAAAGGAAAGAGAAGAAAGAGGCGTGAGATTAGAAACGGATCATCTGGTGCTGCCACCATTGCTTCCCCACACTAGGAGAAGAATGTGTAAAGGTAAGAATTCAATTAGATTTGGAGGATGGAATTGGAGTTGGTGGAAGAAGAAGATCGGAAGGGAGAGAGAAGCCGCAGTTGGTGCATGACTAGTTGCTATCCGGACTTAGTAAGGATAGGATGGATGGATCCATGATCTGGAAGGAGTGATTTGCAGTGATTTGCAGTGATTTGCAGTGATTGCAGTGCTTTGCAGTGCCCATGGAGGCCAGATGCTTCAGGCTTTGCTGCAAATCACATGATGCAAAGGAGGGGCGGTGAGTCCACTTTCGAGTGTGTGATTGGGTGGTGGGAGCATGATTGAGTTTCCTGGGCGGTTTCCAGGGATGAGAGAGTCTAAGTCAATTGGGAAGGTGCTATTGACTATAACTAGTAATGTAGTTATTGTATGTGTTGGATGGACGAAGACAGTCCAGTGTTGAGTACAGCGCAGCTCACTGAAAGGAGTTGGATGAGAGGGTAGTAGCCTGAACTTGCAGGCTGATTTGGCAACTTCTCCTTCCACTGCACCGTGGACCTCCCTCCCCATCTGTCCTACCTACACCCTTCTCCTCCCTCCCAAGAAAGGACAACTCAGTCCCCTTTATGCTCCTTCAACCACTCGGTGACAAGGATGACCCCGTTTAACAATATTCAGCCCGACTTTATATCCCACTAAAGTAATCAACTACCCCCAAACCAGGTTAGTGGTCCCCCCAATGTCCCTTTAGTGGAAATTAGTGCTGACTAGCCTGAAGAATTGAATTCCCAACTTGCCCAGATTTGACCTTCTCCGACCGGGATTCCTGATTTTCGCACCGCGCCATTGACTCGGGTCAGACTCGGGTCAGGGTGATGGATGAACGAACGATCATTCAATAATGATAAATGATTTATGATAGTGGTGATGTGCATATTTCCACATCCCCTAGTCCCCTAGTAGTCTCCCGCACTTCTGACCCGGCACATGTCTTGGATTTGCCGTGGAACCTAAAACGGCTCCATTCTGAACCCACTTTTCGTTCCAACCGGTTGGTCAACGGCCTTCTTTTCAAGTTCTTTTGAAGTTCTGGTTCAATTTCACCCGGTTCCCACGTTTCACTGCAAGCTTCGAACCATTTCGACACAAGTGTTTCCCCCCTCAATCCATTTCGTTCCAAATTTATGGCCTGCATCTGCAGCCATCCCGTGTCATCCCGATTCCTTGTGCATTGTCCGATGGTGCAATGAGAGATGCGGGGGTGAGTCCGAGGGTCAGACACTCGAGCATCGGCGAAAAGCATGGCAGCCCACCGCGATGACGTTCCCGCTGATCAGTGGTCCAGACGGAGAACGGGAGAATCGATGCCAAAATTCCCTGAACCATGAATCAGCTGGACGCTCTGACGCTCGTATAGGGGAAGGCGTTCCCTCCTTCATGACGGAGAGTCCGTCAGAGCCGCTCCGCGCCCATGGCGCTCCTAGCTGCATTCAGTAATCTGATTGAAGGTATTCCTTCACTGGATAATATGTCTTCCCTTTATCAGGCAAGAGTCCTTTCCTGTTCTCCACCTGAGACGGGAACCCGGGCCCTCCATGGCTGACGAATGGCTGCTGCACCGGGAGATTGATTGCTGCAATAACAGCTGGACAATGCCCTTCTCCTTGGGTCGTTTCTCAAACTTTGCATCTGCCTATCGAGAATTAAAAGTTGACTCGCTGCTCTTCTTATTTCCGCTAGCCTACGTGTGCACATTGTCTAAGACTACTTCCCTTTGAGCATGGGTATAGTGCAATGGCTCCGGACGCTCTTCGGGGCTAAGGCCGGGGAGGCGACTACGTCCGAGCCAAAGCTCACTACTACGGTCTTGATTGTCGGTGCAGGTAAGGCTACCTCAACAGCTTAACCTCAGGCCAACATACCGCAATTGAGTCGGCCAATCTAGCAATGGGAGCTAATCCTCTCACTCTCAGGGTCGACTGGACTTGCCCTGGCACAAGGTTTGAAAAAGGTAACAACCCTGCTATACAACATACTTGCAAACTCACCAAGCCGGGCTGAAGCTAAACATGTCTTCAGGCTCATATATCTTGCGTCGTGTTGGAGAGACAGTCTAGCATCGGCTCTCGCCCTAGAGATTGGAATATGGGTTTGCATTGGGGCGCTGAGTCCTTGAAAAATCTCATCCCGGACGAGCTGTGGAAGCAGATACAGTCCGTGCAGGTAGACCCAAGCATCTCTCCAAGTAAGAGTGATGCACTCAATTTTATCAATGGATCGACAGGGGAGGATATGGCCTCTATTCCTGCTCCTTTCTTCAACCGACTGCGTCGCCGTAAACTACGGGAATTATTGGCAGCCGGCCTGGACGTTCGATACGATAAGCGGGTCCAGGGAATCAACTTCTCCAAGGATGGTCAATATGCCACCGTGCGACTAACCGATGAAACATCCCTCACAGCGAAGATTGTCATAGGAGCCGATGGAGCTCGGTCGACTATCCGTCAATCGATGCTCCCACAGACAGGGCAAATTCGTCCGCTTCCCTACTGTGCGACCTTCGTACAAGCACGCTTTAGCGCGGAGCGGGCTCGCTTCTTGCGGCAATTTCATCCTCTGTACCTAGCAGGAATCAATCCAGCCGGACAGTTTGCCTTCTTCGGAATGCATGAGGTGGAAGATCCCGATCGGCCTGAATCATGGACATTCTTCTTCTATATATCATGGCAGTCAACCCATCAGGAGCAGGAGAGGACAGCCGACTGGTCCAACGCTCAAAGATTAACGCAAGTTAAGGCGTTCGCCAGGCAATTTGCGGACCCTTGGAAGAGCGCTTTCCAATGGTTGGATGATGACCACGAAGTATGGTACATGGGCTTAACGGATTTTGATCCGGGCGCTCAGGACCATCGCTGGGATAATCACGGTGGACGAGTCACACTTGCTGGTGACGCCGCACATGCGATGACGTATCAGCGCGGCCAAGGCTTGAACCACTCCATCACAGATGCAGCCTACCTGGTTGAAGCCATTCAACGATTTGTATCAGGAGTAGAGCCCCAATCTACTGCAGTCACGGAATATGAAGACGAGATGATTGCTCGAGCTGGCGGTGAAGTCAGGCTGAGTACCCTGAATACAGAGTTGGTTCATGACTGGGAGAACGTCCTGCAATCGCCAGTGTTAACTTCGGGAATGATGAAACATTCGTCCCAGGGCCTGTTATAGGCACCTAAAACATGCCACCCTTTGCGGAACTTCGCAGTGGTCAATACAAGTTCTTCAAGAAGTCCTTCTCATACACACTTCATTGATTTGGAAGCCTGCCACTTTAATTGTCAAGCCGTGGCTCTCGACAGCTCGCATGCTAGACAGATCTGCTCAGGTTCTTCGAAGTGATTTTCAGCAGACAAAATCTTGTTTCATGGTGCCAGGAATCGCTGTAATTTTGACTTGAGTATTGAAGAGTTTCTGTAAGACGGCTCCGCCAAACCTCAATTTCTTGCAGCGGTGAGGACCTGGAAAAGTGCAGCACAAACTAATGCAAGCTCAGGCCACAGTACTTTTGTGTGTCCAATCTGCGCCTCCCACACCAGTACCACCTCACTACATCTGTGCATTAGTGCCTGTAGCGTGGCTGTCATTGTCTGAACCGCCGTGCATAAATCTAAGCAAAGGAGGGGTGGTAAGGGAGGGGCTGGTGCCAAAAACAACATTGATCCGAATTCGAATTCCAAGCTCATAATGCAAAATAGCATTTGAAGATCTAAGACAACTCATCAACAATTTTTACGAACCTGTGCACCAGCTAAACTACCGCCAATGGCCCCCAGACTCGATCATCCTCGCGATTCATGAGTCTCCATCAAAGAGAGATCAGAATTCGAGTATGTCAGGAATGAGACCTATTACCTAACGCTCTTGAATCGACGCTTGTGAGGATCTACTTAGTTAGCACAAGACCTTTGCCGTCTGTTACTCATGAAGTGTCCAACTGTGATATCATCATGCGTCACTCGACTTGTTCTGTCTAAGCATATTCTAACACCACCGTCTTGCTGGTACCACTTCTATGCCCCAGCACTTTTGACAATCCCAAGTGATCGCAAACAAGACCATTGACTGGCAGATTGTATGAACGGTAGAGCATCGAAGAGAGCGGGACTCTTTTCGAGGCTTAGCCACTGTTCGTGCTCAGCACCAAACATCTTGTACCCTATACGTACAAAGGTCTGTCCATCTGTGGCGGGGACGAACATCAAGCCGGCAGGCAATGCACGGGACGTCGCGATCATCTCTCGTCTCAATTTCCTCAAGGCGATCTTGAGACCTTCCTCGAGTATGTCAGCGACTAAAGCAGTGTTTGCGAATCCCTCTACATGCTGCCATACCCTCATCAGAGCTATTGCCTTTACCCGAACGGAATAGTTTGGGGTTTTTGCTGCTGCATTGTACAACGCTGGAACGATGGGGCTGTCCAAAGTGATGATTGGATGCTCCCGAAGCTTCTGGATCGCAGACTCGGTCAGAGAAACCAGATCCTCGCTTTCCTGGGCAAGTTCAGGGGACAAGGGTGTGTTTCTGCTCAGAAGAGAAGACTTGAGTGCGAAGTTCAAGGCGAAGCAGTTTACTGTGGTCATGTCTGTCTCGCGCTGTTCTTTCTCGCTCAACTGGCTATATGACTGACGCGTCAGCCAGTCTAATCGGCTCAGGAATCGGCTCATGGAAGAGAGGAGAAAGAGCTGTTCTTGATGCAACATGGCATAGTCAGCCATGATCTCGGCTTCTGACAGTTTCCAGCTGCGTGCCGCGAAAGGCCATCCAGTGTTCAAGAGTGGGTCACAAACTCGTCTTGCATCCTGCAAACGCTGAAATGTGCCCAGGTAGTCCTCGTACGGGTGTTCGGATACCAGGTCATTGTCAACATGGAAGTGCACGCCAGTCCCGTAGAAGACGGATTGCGCCTGGAGCTGCAGGAAGGTCTCTACTATGCATGAATCCACGGGTGAAATAAATTCACCCGAGATCTTTCTTCGTATGTTCAGCTTCTGCAAAACCTGCAGACCGCCCTGGACATGTGCACATGCGTTGTCATAGTTACCGCAGAGCATCTCGCAGGCGATGAATAACAAACAGCAGACTAGCACCACCTCCTGAAATTGAGGATCCTGCGAAAAGTGTCGTTTGTTCAAGAGGGAGATCGAGCGTCCCGCCTGCTCCAGTCCGAACCAGTACCAGATGCTCTGCAACTTCTGGCCTGGTCGCAAAACCTTGTTCTTGTCTTGGGCATTATTGATGGCCCCCAAGGCGATGGCAGCATGATATACAGCCGGTTCTGTGTAACTCAAACGGAGGATAAGACGGTGCCAAAGCGACGAATCATAGAACCCAACCATGTTCTGCACGGATTGATGCTGGAAGAAAGACAGACATCGACCCTCGTCCGAGGTCACGGCCCACTGCAGCCCGAATGCTACCTGAGTGAGTGCTGGGTGTGCTACAGCTACCGTCCGTTTCAATTGTTTGGATTGAGGACCACACGCTCGGGGAAGCCGGTGGGCTTCGTATCCATCGCAGGTACGACCTGTGGACACGCAGTTGGTGCAGGCATCGGGCGCTTCATCACATTTGATGCGACGCAACCTGCCGAGAAGCGTTGGGTGAGTATGATTTTTTTTGATTTTTGGTTTTATATATCTGTCTTTCGTGGTGGTGGTGGTGGTGGTGGTGGTTTTACTCAAGGCCGGGCATGGATACGTACCGGCAGGTGCGACATCCGGTGGAGGATCGTTTTCTGTGTGGCTTGCGTTTGGAAAGTAACATGGTGAGGCAGTGGGACTGAACAGGATTTTTTTCGATCGGAGGGGGGTTACGCTTGGATTTAAAATCCACGGAGTCAGGAATTGGGGTGAATCTTTGCGCCAAGTGTCCGAAATGAGCGGCCAATAACTAGACTAGGGTCGCTTTTTTGGGGACAAAAACCCCTCCCTCCGGTCGTTGTCTCGCCTCGCCTGTCTCGCGTACTTTAAGGCTGTGAAGCTTTACCTGAACGGGTCTGACCCTATCTGATCGCTCGCTGGCCCACCGTCATCTCCACTGCTGAGATGTCATAATCTTAACTTTGGCCATGTGGAATATTCTGCCACGCTTCCAGAATACGAAGTATATCTTTCGCCCCGTAAGCTTGCTTACAGTTCATTCATATTTGTCGAATTCGTCAAGTTCGTCAAGCCATGCGCGTTCAGGGATGACGGTGGTGCCCCGAGGGTGGTGTCAGGCAGCCGCAAGGGTCTGGCTAAGTTAAGTTAGGTTAGTGGCCCACTAGGTAGTGATAAGTTATTATTAACCCACCCCCCAATCAAACAGACTCACTGCTAAGTGCTAATTAAATCTTGCAAACCCCGCCTGCGTTATCTGAGCAGTGAGCAGCGAGCACTGAGCACCAATTCGTTATTCATGCTAAGAGCCGCTAAAAGCCCGCTAAGCGTATGCCGATCCGATGAGGCAAATCCTTCTCACCAACCGAGTATCTACTCCCTTCTTTCTAAGTGCCGTCCTCTACCCTCGCAAGCGAGTATCATCCTGGAATGTCTTGGGTTTGCCCTAATATGACACGTTCAACTTTCGCATGCTTTGAGGGCATCTTCTAAGACTTGGATCCGAATGATCATTTTTCGAGTTAAGCAGAGTTCAGCCCTGGATTGGTTTCTTCATTACGGGAGCCACATGGTCTTCCTTCAAAGTTAATCTTCTTGGCCTGCTGGGCTTGGCTGTGGGGGCTGTGAAAGTGATTGTGAAGGTGAACGTGACTCGGGAGTCAAGCCACGGAGTGGAATTGCCAAATAGGGAAGGTCGGGAGTGTTCGCCGTCGAATTCGACTCGACTCGACTGACTACCTGCAGCCCAATTCCCTGGGCTCCGAGGGCCTCCTTCCCTCCTTCCTTCCTTCCTTCCCTCCCTCCAGGCTCTCCCCATCCATTCCTCCCTTTCCTCACACAACTTGCAACTCCCGCAAGTTCATTGTCTCCTCCTCGGCCCGCTGAAGATAGTCCTTTTTCAACAGCATGCCCAACACAGGGGTGTGATCAAAGATCAGGTCCCGCACCTTGGCCAAAGGCCAGGGCAAGCGGTGGAACATGGATCCCGAGAAGCGGGCGAATTCCATGTGATGGTTCGCGTAATGCACGCGCTGCTGCTCATATAGTTCAAATCCAGCGGCGACGGCTCGGGGATCGCACAGGTCGACCCCATCGAGGGCGCGGGCGAGGTAGTAGCCATCCTCGATCGCCATCCCCATCCCATATGCGGCATATGGTGAGACCGGGTGCACCGCATCGCCCACGCCGACCACTCTCCCAGCCGACCATTTCTGCAAGGATGGCCGATTATAGACCTCCCACCGGTAGACCTGGGAGTTGAATTCGGTCGCTTCGAGGAGTCGCGGCATCGGCTGTGCCCAGTTCTGGAGAATCGCGGTCAGATGCGCCCGGGGGTCTGCCGGCGCCGGCTTGCCCTCGTAGGAGGGCTCGACCACCCACCACTCGAAGCCGGGTCGTCTGCCCTCACGCATCATGGGAAAGAAGCTGGCCTGGTACTGCCAGTCATGGGAGATCACCCCGTGGTGAGCTGGGATCCCGGGGATCTGGTCGCACCACGCAAGCCAGACCCGGATGCCCGTGTGGAAGAGCCCGGGCTCGCCAAAGGCCTGCCGCGACACCGTCGACCGAATGCCGTCCGCCGCGACCAGAATGTCGGCCATCATGGTGCTACCATTCTTGAAGCGGATCTGTACCCCGGAGTCTTCTTCCCCACTCGCTCGCTTCTCCTCATATCCGGTTACCTCATGACCCGTGTAGATCACGCCTTCCGGGACAAGTTCCAGCATCTTTGCGAAGATGGTCGAACGCAACACTCCGTACTGCCAGCCCTGGATGCCCATGCGTCGCTCGACCTCGGCGTTGAATGGCAGCTGGACCCGTTCCTTGCCCCATTTGTTGGCGAAGGTCGTCCGCGTGTACGACCCGAAATTGTCTGAGGTCAGCCCGTAGGCGCGGAGGATGGCGAGCACGGGGATGGAGAGCAGCACCGCGCCGCCGGTGGCCTGGCACGTGCGCTGTTTCTCGAAGATGCGCACATCGTACCCCCGTTGGAGAAAGGCTAGCCCCGTGGAGATGGCTCCGGGGCCTCCGCCGGCGATGGCCACTCGTTTTCCGGGGCGCCAAGGCGGGGACATATTTGAGGAAGCTGGGACTGAGAGGGAATAAACAAGGAGCGACTGGATATGGGAGCGATAAATAAGAGTTTTTGATGGAGCTTGCTTATTTATATAGTACATCTGTTGTTCTATGGTTGGTACTTGAGTAGGGAGGGTGACCGGTTACTCAGCGGAGGTTCTGGTGAGGGGATCGGCAGGGATTCTCGGGCTTTGGGATCGCCTCCAGCCTCCGTGCAGTCACAACCACCTATTACGGATATGACCCTTGTTTCGATTCACTTCTAGCCTGTAAGTTGTCCAGGTAGCAGCCTTACAGTGTGGGATGCCCTGCAGGGGTACTGACTCGTGGCTCTAGTCGTCTTTACCTCGTTCTGAGGTTACTTACTTGTTGCCCCGCACGGTAGACTGCCAATGCCATGACCCGTTTCATGCTCCGAGAGCCCTAAGCGAGGTCCATCTTCACGAGGTCTTCGGAAGGATTTACCCCCACTTACCGCTTGATTTGACCAACGGTCAGGGTCAGTAAACTAAGTTAGTTATACTTTGTACGGACTGACTCCGGCTCTCTGCTGTGGGGGCTTTTTCGTCTGCATCTGCCCTGGGGATCTCTGGACCCTGCCAAGGAAGGCAATAAGCACCTTCTCTATGATACGGCTTCCTCCCGATTCCGCAAAGACTAGTGGGTGTGCGTGTCAGTCGTTGATGATGGGTTCCTCGACACGAGCAGACAAGCGAACCAAGTCCCGGAGATTGAGTCTGATCCTGTCGCAGGGCTGTCGATGGTCGTTAAACGGGCGTACCATAGAGGCTACTCACGGATCAGTCATGAGCGAGAGTGCTGTCTCGAGGTGCTCCAATAAGTCGTGACGGCTGCATTATACCCTCGAGATGAAGTGAACAACATGCCTCCTGTCCCGTTTCCCAGTCTATGTGTTTGTGGCAGCATGGCTAAGTGTTCGATACTCCCAGACCGAGACACCCACGCCATTGAACGCAGACTCACCGCTCAGAGGGCGAGGCTATTGCTTTGACATGCACATATGGATCACCGGGCCTGGGGGCTGTAAAGGTCTGGGTGGAATGGGCATGTATTCAGACCAAGCATTCCGCTGGGCTGCACAACGATTATCTTATCGCTATTTCTGGGACATAATACCCACAAATAGGTCTTCATTATATTAACAGGGGCTGTGGTTTAGTGGTATAATATTCCCTTAGCATGGGAGAGGTCCGGGGTTCGATTCCCCGCAGCTCCATTTTTTGTGAGATGTTTGATCTCATTTTCGCATGAGTTGCGGGTGGTGAGGAAGAATGCTTGACAGGTTATAGTAGTCTGCGACAGTCGGTGTCAGTAGCACGGCTGCTTTTTTTTTGTCCAGGAAGAGTTAGTTGAACAAGGCGACGCTACATGGTGGCACTGTTATGCTCAATTGAACTCGCACCCTTTCTGTCAGCGTCGGCATGGACCAACTCGGAAGACGGCATGGCATGTGAGATATACTTTGAACCGACAAATGGAATCTACACGAATCAACCAATCAGCAAGCTCACGCCTATTGGTGATACCAAGCCAGCCTTGAGCTTACGGCGATCTCTGGTCTCAGGCCAGCCGTACCGAGCACAAAGAAACCCGGTGATACGATAATATAAGAACGACCCGAATTGCCTCCCTTGAAATAAATCTCATTCCCCCACCTCAACTTCATCAGTCCTCATGGCTACTACCCACATCTACATCATCACTGGCGGCGGCTTAGCCGGCTCGACCCTCGCCGGCCGCCTGTTCGAACTCCAACCCTCCTAAACCATCCTCCTCCTGGAACTCGGGCCCAACGTCGTGGCCTACCCCACCCCCTGACGAGCGCGCCGCTGCGCTGCTGCGGCGCGCACTTCAAGCCCGCTGGACTGGGCCTACACCACGGTGCCACAGACGCACCTGGACGGCCGGGCCTGCTATAAGAGCGCCGGCAAGGCCCTGAGCGGCGGCACCGTCGCCAAATACGACCTGCTGGCGCGGATGGTCAACGACGAAGGCTGGAGCTACTGCTGCCCGCTGCCGTACTTCCGGCGGGCCGAGACGTCTTGTGATTGGGGGTTGAGGTTAATGGGGAGCTGAAAGGAAGGGGGATCTGGGGGATCTCTCCCGGAAAGTTATATATTCTAGTGCTTAGGATTGCAGTCTACGGTAAGTGGGAAGTAAAAGAAGGGGAGGGGTCTCCCTCGAAATGCTTTATTCTTGTTTCTAGTAGATACTCAGGCTTAGCGATACTCGGAAGATGAAAAGATCGGGGACCCGGAGGTTCTGGGGATCCGGAGGTTCTCTCCAGGAATATTTTCTTCTAGTACTTAGAGCTAGGGTTATCAGGAAGTTGAGAAAAAGAGGGGTCCGGGAGTTGTGGGGTAGTTTGCTTTCGATGGGACTGGCAAGTAAGGAACGACTTTATAGATCTGATCTGGTTGCGTTGACTGAAGACTGTGTGAGCTGGTCACTCATTCTGTATTGCCTGTTGGAATGGAGAGAAGCGCTTGGGTGGGATTGAAAGCTTTCTACGCACTTGTTTAAGGACCTATTTTCAGGCTCAATCTGCACGGTTATTCGAGAGTCTGTTTATTTGTTGGCTGTCTGAGGGCTGATTCGTATTTCTAAGCAGCCTTCCAAGTATCTGGGGCCCCTATACTGTCTGAGGTTATATACATTCGCCGAGTAGGGAGGATGGGATTGTGACTGGGCGTGCTTACTTACCTCCATCGCATTCCTCCGGCAATTGTCGCCTACACCTCAGGCATTGCCGAAGATCAGATGCGAGAGGTTAATGACAACTTTGGCGAGGTGACTTCAACTTGGAGCCAGCTATACACACCAGCGATGCAAATGCAAAAATAGGCTGTTGCTAAGGAATAGTGTTCAGAGGTTAGATGAGCGAAAGCAGCCAGCAAGTGAATTCCCCAAGCATGATCCTATCATTGGCTCCTCCATGGGGTATCTTTCGTGCTCAGGTCATGAGCGAGACTGCACCGTCTCGCAGCTCAGGGCGATGTACTGAAGATGTTGGTCCCTCGGCAGGCCGCTGCTAGTCGGGTATCAGTATCTGTTACAAGCCTTCGGAACACGATAGAGGTATCGTGGTCGAGAAGCGCGACAGTGTCGTCCATATTTCGGGGAAAAGAGACGATACCACAGAGATTAGCTCTGCCTCCGAGTTCTGCGAGCTCCTTGGCAAAGATATCGGCTCAGTGACCATGGTTGTTCGCATCGTCAACGAGATGTTTGTCGACCTCAACTGCGCCGAGGATATTGAAGTCGACATCGCAGATGAGAGAAGTATACCACTTGCTGAAGTCCTGCAATCCAATTCCTTAGGCCCCCAGAGCAAGCTGCTTCTCGCCTAAATCCTGGCTAAATCAAAATTTGGCTGGAAGATATCAAGAACAGCCCTCTTACGCTAAGCATACTTGGTTAACTCCAAGAAGACAGAGATCTTGCGGAGAACAGAATTTGCATTGCTGTTCTAGACACAGGTTACAACGCATCTGCCATATTCTTCAACAGAGACCGGAAGCGGCCCCTCAAAGGCTGGAAGGACTATGCTGAGCAGAGCCAGCCCTTTGCAAAGGATGAGGACGGGTATGGAACGCACATATTGTCAGTGCTAATGCAAGTGGCGCCCGCTGCTGATATCTACATTGCCCGGTTGGCAGATATACTCTTCTGATTTACAAAACGCGGTTCAAAGTGTTGCCGAAGTGAGTTATCATTCCCAGCTGTGGTCTGCCATTTTGTCCGTCGTCTTCATACCAGAGGTCGGGCGATATCATATGTCCACAAAAATATTTCGCAAAAGTCTGTCAGCTAAACAAGTTTCAGGCAATAGAGTGGGCCTGGAAGGACTGCAAGGCCAATATTGTTTCCATGTCATTCGGATTTGAAGAGATATACGTTGACGGCAAGCCAGTTATTAGTAACTCCATCTACAGGGCGCTCCAGAGACCCATTAACGCATGCTATTCTTTGCGGTAGCCGCCAGCGATGGTGGAAACAGGGCTGAAAATGTTCCCCGCTAGTAATGTGCAAGTCCTTTCCATCCGCGGGACCGACGATCTCGGCTGGACGCAGCGCTTCAATCCCCCATTGGACTATAATGCAGCGACGTGCTTCATGACACTGGGAGTCGATGCCCCAGGGGGTTCTCTGAGCACCATTGAAGACAAGGGTGCGGATGTGTACAAGTCTGGAACCTCGGCTGCGACGCCGATCGCCGCGGGGATCGCGCAATGTTGCTGGACTATGCACCAATACACGAGAAAGAACTCCAGGGATTGCTTGAACTATGGAACCAAGTGAGGCTATCGAGGTTGTGGAAAATAACCGGTATGAGCGTGCTGTTCAAGAAGCCGGCGACGGAGATGATAGACAAGTGGTCGTACTGGAGCATCCACAAGTTCGTCGCCAATTCCCACCAAATGAGATTGGCTATGATAGCATGCGCAGTAGAAGAAGCTACTGGCTAGGGCTCAATGCAATATGGCACGAATAGCAAGCCGATCATATTTATATATCAAATGGCATTTTTGGTAGTCTTTATTTAGCAAGAGCTTGCATACTTTTGATAGCATGATAGGTCTTTTGTCACGGCCCGGGGACACAGTTACATTGTCCCTGACTACACATGATAGTAGGGAGGATGATGTGTAGATATCGGTCTGCTCTAAGTAGGGATCTTCTTGTGGTAGGTCGTTTGGTGCAGCAACATACCGTGGAAGCGTGAGAGTACTGTACATGCTTCTAATCAGCTAGGGAACTGGTACTGGCAGCTTATTGAAACCTTTGTCAGAGTCGAGAGGTCTCAATGGGCTTCTACAGTGCGTCGTTCCGAGAGTATACAGCCTAATTTCTTGTGGGATGGGTTTCCGTGGACTTCAAGCACACGGGACGTTCAAGGTTCGGCGCCTTTCAGTGGGATATCACGGATGCGATCGGGCTTTCTTAAAGGAGCATGGACGCAAGCTTTACACGCTTTCGTCATGGGCCCTTGATACATGAATTCGATGAGTTGTGATAGGTAATCATAGCTCTAATGATGAATATGGCCTGGAACAACCATGCACCGTGAACAGGGTCATCATCTCTGTTGGTAATATCTTTAATTCCCTGGTGAGGACGAGTAGATTCAGGTTTTGCGTGAACCTGGCATTCTTTGCACATGCGGAGGAGAGTCAACAACGTACAAGAGCTTAATGGGATTGGCTGTTGGGGATCATTTTATATAAGTCAAGAATGTTGATCTGTAGCTGCTGATGCGTGAACCCAATCTGGCTGGTGAGCAATGAAAGTCTAGTTAGTCTCTGTCCCATCTCCTGGGCTGGTTCCTTCGGGCATTGTGAACGATTGAAGCTTTCGCCGAGTATAGCGATAGTAATTCTTTTCTAGAAAGGCAGAATGAAGGATATCGACCATCGACTCATTCCCAAGGCGTACTCGAAGCTCTGTCTTGGATATCACACGCGGGAGGACCTTTGATATACGATGTACTACTCAGTAGGCAGGCGGAGGTCTGGGAGTCGCGCTAAGCCTAATTTGATTTCACCCGTGGACGCGCCAGTTTCCTCAGCCCGGGCTGGTCGCATTGCACCTTCGTTCTGATTACAGAGGTGACGAGCAGGTCACGATTTGATTCATCTTCGACTATAAAGACTGTGAAGAGATTGGATATATGTGCAGGTGACTGACTGTAGGTGAAGGCTCACTGGCTGATGTTGCTCGTCTGGTCGGGAATAGTTATTGGCTGAAGGCTGAAAGACAGCAGCTTCGGGCGCACGAGGGCCAGACCAGACAACAGTACCGTCCCCACCACGTCGGAGTCAAGTACTGTACCTTTGCAGTACATATGATCTGTCAATTGCAGATTCCAAACCTCTATCATCCATTCAGAGTACGTACCCGAATCGCATCGGCGTTGCCAATGTGCCATGCCCACGACACACGCAGGGTGACGAATGCCAAAAGACTCCACTGCGATCGCCGGGCACCGTGGTACAGTACATGTTATGGAGTTTACCCGTGTCAGCTCCCCGAACCGGCACCGACCACAACCAGAAAGCTAGCAACCAAGGAAATCCTACACCAAACGGGAAGAAAGTGGATCTGTCCAGACTCGAGAGTCGAGATATCGAAACTAGCTTTCCACCCGAAACAACCAGCTGTGAGCTGACTGACCATTGCTACTCATAACTCTCCGCTGTTGAAGAGAGTTAATAATAGTCAGCGCCAATGCACCAATGTGACAGGCTGGAAGCGAAATGTTACCGAAGTGAGGCTGGAAATTGGCTGGCTGGATTGATGGATCATGGATCATGAATGGCTGGGCCGTTGAATGGCCCCTTCCACTCCCCCCCCCCCTCCCCGGTCGGGTCCACATCCCAGTGAGATCAGCAGCAAGCTGGCGCTCCCCCCAGAGGCCACGGGGACCGAGGTGCTTGCTCATCGACCAGCTCTCCAATGGCCGGAGACCACGAATAGGCACCTGAAATGGATCATGGTCCGGCCAACTGTGGGCAGGGCCACTGCTTTTGAAGAAAACATCATGCTGCAGGCAGGTTGCTGCTTGTAAGCCCGATCATACACATTGACACAACTACTGAGCGTGACAACTGATCCAGTGAGCTGAGCTCTTGCTAACAGAGAACATTTGACGATGGGATGGTCGGAGCGAGAACATGCCAGACCCAGCCTCCAGCTTATTTTATTGCTAAGATGTTTTCTTTTTCTCGGGTTGTTTCCTCGGCTGTTGCTGACAGTGATTGTCTAAGAACGAGCGCGGGATGGACGGACGAAAGAGAGGGGCTGGCAGCAGGCAAGCGCATTGAGCGTTGATCGGCTTAAGCTCCAGCTCCAGGGAGCTCGGATTTCCGATGCGACCCGGGGAAACCGGCCCAGTTGCCATGGGGACCCGGAGGTGGCTGGCCAGCCTCGTGGTGTGTGCGTTGGGGGAGGATACAGCAGGGTCGGCCTGCATGTGAACGATGAAGGAAGATTTGATCAATCAATTGCGCGGTGGATCAAGGTTGTTAGCGCTGCTTGGGCTTGATTTAGGAGGATAAATTCCCTATATAGATCAGCGTGGTCGAGATAAGTTGTGGTATGTGGACTAGAGTAAGTTTGAGTTGCAGATTCAGGAACCGTGGTTTGTAGGCGGATTTCTGAACCTCGGGTCGTTTCCCTTTCCCACCCACCCACCCACTCACCTACCTGCCTCTTCGATTGTAGATTTGATAGTATGGAATCCGGATGAACTGGGCAAAGTAGAAGGAAGGGACTAGAAAGTCAATTGAAGTGGGTAGAAGCTGATTAGATAGGGATAATGGGGGATGTCTGGGAATAACATCGCCCCCCAGAAACGGCAAGGTGTGGTAAACAAAACGCGTGACGAGGGAAACCATCCGCAATTGTATTTCAGCGGGTTTGTTCCCCTCCTCCTCCACTTCTGTCCTTCTCCTCTCTCTTCTCTTCTTCCTTTTCCTCTCTTCCTTCTCCATCCTCTTTCATCTCTTCTTCCCTTACCCTCACATTCCAATCCCCTCAAGCTTTTTAAGCTTATCTTTTATCTCACATTCCTCATCAGGAACTTTCTCCGCATTCTTCGGGTAGTCTGATCTATCAACTTCCCCTCCACACCCCCTCCTCCCATCTCTCTACGAGAAAGACTTCTCTCTTCCTTAAGAGTCTTTTCTTGTCTCGCCTTTCGAGTTGTTGTTTAACAGTTCGAAAGGGATTCGAGAAAGGACGCCGACAGGACAGCCAATCTGGACTTTGACGCCCGCGTCCCCATCCCCTTCAGTGTCTTCCCGTCGTCGTACCGGAGTGACGCTGTTCCTGAAGCTACTCTCGCGGCCACAGCCAGAGTAGAGGAAGAAGTCAATCTCGATCGCACTTCGCACGTCGAACGGGAAGATACTCGAACCTCTGCTCCTCTTCCCGACCCGCGTGTCTACGGAAAGGAAGAAATCGACCTTCACTTCGTTGAGCGCGATCAGTTTACTTCTGCTGCGCCCGAGCCTCATCGGCACGAACATCACCACCACAGGCACTCTTCGCGCCCCAACGACGTCAGTGTCCACTTTGACGAGCGAGTCACTACTACCACTAGTACTGCTCCTCCGCCCCGGTATCCTGAGGTTGATCTAACACGCGAACGGTATGTTGAAATCAATTGAAACGTTTTCTATTTGTATGGTTATGAAGATTTGTCCGGTGTCTGCCTAGACTACAGTCTAGCACCGACAGCAAACCAAGTGGAGAAAGAGAGAGAGGCCAAAAGAAGCGGTGTCACCATCATCGAATCTCTCTTGGCCTAATGCGCTCTAGTTCGCCTCCTCCACTTCTTGGTGGTCGGTCTTTTTGATTTATTTTTATTTTTATTATTTTTTATTTCTTTTGTTTTCATTTCTGTTTTCTCGTTTCTTACGTGGCACCAAAACAAACAAATCACCCAATGGTCCCTTGGCCCTGAAGGGAAGCCGACTGGGTCTTCCCGTGCTTTCCCACTCTTTCCCATTCCCCATCCTCTCCTCTCTTTCTCCTCTTTTCTCCTCCACCACCCGCCTTCTTATACTTTCCCACCCACACACACACACACACATACTATTACCTCTTCCCCCTTCCCCCCCCCTCATACATACATACCTTTCTTTTCTCTTGTCCCACCCAATCATCTCTTATCCGCTTCCCCTCCCTTGTCAATCCCTATCTGACATCTCATCCTTTCTTCCCTCTACAGCTATCGTGAACCGTCGGTCCGTTTCCAAGACCGTCAACCCACGTACGATCAAGCTCTTCAGACTCAGCTCGATATCACTGAGCGTGAGTACCGTCGTCGGGTCAACAACCCTACCTACGACGTCAACCCCGCCTACAACCGGTCTACCCAGGCTCCTGTTGTAGACTCCTACGCTCCAGGCCCCCGCCAGCCGACCAGGGACGTATCGTACGACCGCACTGTCCAATCAGAGATCGACGTCTCTTACGACCGTGCGTACCAGTCCAAGCCCGTCGACAGCTACCAACGGGACCCCAACAGCCGCCGTCAACAAAGCGTTGAGCCGGTTCCCCAAGCTCCTGCTTCAGCCAACGTTAAGGTCTACAAGCCCAAGACTGTTGTGGATTCCCCTCCTTCTCGCAAGATGGGCTACTACGACGACGACGGTAACTATCACTCCTTCCGTCGTGGTGTGGAGCGCGTTGCCGACCGCATCATGCACCCCACCTCCTCCCACCACCACCATGGTCACAAAGACCACGAGGAACTAGTCGTCGCTGACGAACGCGGGCCAGTTCGATTCCGTGAAGGCGTCCGTGAGGATGTCCGCATTGTGGAGCCCCGCGCCGGCAACTCTTCCGCCACCGCCGAGACCGTGCCGATTCCCGTCCACTTCATCCGCATCGGCGACATCCTGATCCTCCAGGGTCGTCCCTGCCAGGTGATCCGCATCTCCGTCTCCCCCCAGACCGGCCAGCACCGCTACCTGGGTGTCGACCTCTTCACCCGGGAGCTCCAGGAGGAGTCCAGCTTCGTCTCCAACCCCTCGCCCTCGGTGGTCGTCCAGACCATGCTTGGTCCCGTCTACAAGACCTACCGCATCCTGGACCTCCGTGATGACGGCCGCCTGGTCGCCATGACTGAGACCGGTGATGTCAAGCAGGGCCTGCCCGTCGTTCCCCAGGGTCACTTGTTCCGCCGCATCCGTGAGGCGTTCGAGGATGGCCGTGGCAGCGTTCGTGCCCTTGTCATCAACGACGGTGGCCGCGAGTTGGTCGTTGACTACAAGGTGGTCCACGCTTCCCGCTTGTAAGCCTTTACTCGGTTGGGTATGGTGCCCGTGGGCGGGAACCGTGGTCACCCCCGCAAAGCATCAACCACGGACCGCTCATGGGTCTTTGACTTTTCTTTTGTCTTTTTCTTTTTCACTCGCAGCGCACGATCATTGATGACCTAAGAAATCAAATCTTGTATCTGATGGATTCACGTATGACGGAATGGCCTTTTGACAAAAATTGTTTACTCGAATGTATCATGGCCTTCTTGTATCTAGCAATAATGGATGTAGATCATGATCTAGAACTGGCTTTGAGTAGACTGATTTATTTTATCGACAACGGGGCTGGCAATGCACCGTTTCGTCCGGTGGCTAGAGTACACCTTGTGCTTGTAGTACAGTAGGACATGCTAAGGCCTTTAATCCCGTGGCCCTAACCATTCGCTTCCCCATGGCAAATGCATTGGCACATTCAGACAATTGAGCACGCAAAGATGAAGTTAGCTTCAGAGGTAGTAGTTGGGGGATCGACCACACCTTGGACAGTAGAAGAAGCCCAATCCGAGTCCAACGAGAAATGTCTATCTTCGCCGGTGAATATTGGCGATAGTGGTACCACAATGTGATGAGTGGCAGGCGAATGGCTGTTCCATGACTGCTGTGCCTAGTAAAGGGAAAAAGACACCATACCATGACTGTCCTTCCCCTCCCCCTTCCGTGGCCAGCTAACTTATACTATAATACCAATGATAGATCTCAGCGGGATACACCCGAAACCTGCCCCCCTCCCAAAGAAGAAGGAAAGAGACCCCCCCACCCCCCACCCCCCTCCCCGCCCGCCCAGACTCCTGCGCGAGGAGTCAATCAACTAGTAATTACGTAGGTTACATACCTTCAATTCAGGGATGGTGATATCTTGCATATCCTATTCACTCAGAGGCTCAGAGGGGGATAGTATCATGTCATGTCCTGTTGTAGTAGGTATGTACACCGGCCTGTGCAGTGCAGTACTGTACGGTGCGCTGTTGGCTCGGGGGGCGGAGGCAGATACGTTATTGAATCGGAGACTGTGTGGTGTGTGGTGTCAGACTGCTTGTTTAGTTATTTGGTTGAACGCGGGGTGGCAGGAAGGACCTGAGATTCGATGGTTTTGTCCAGTCTTACCCGAGAGGGAAGGAATGAAGAATCCAGATCGTCTAACCCGGGGGGAGAGGCGTTTCTACTATGTAAGTCTGCGGAGGATCCAAGGCATATCCCTGCTCGGTACAATACAGTACTTCTTTCCTCCGCTCGTGCGCTCGTTGGGCGTGCCCCTGTACTGTACTAGAGACACTGCGTAGGATCTATCTCTTCGAAGATGGAGATCAACATACACGCGGGGACCCGGCCCGGAGAAGAGATGATTGAAGAATTGATGACCGAAAAGGGAAGGTGGGTGGAAGCTCAGCTCCGGCAGCTCTAGGCTATAGGTACCCCTGCAGGCAACGAGATATACCCCAGCTCCAGTACTGTCAGTACGGAGTACTCCTTCCCTTTTAGCTCAAGAACAATGAACTACGAAGTTTATATTGAACGGTCATCAACAAACCCCATTAATCAGATTCAGCTTACACACAAAATCACTGTATTATTCAGTCCCCCGACCGGGCATCTTCATCACGGCCTTAAATCGAAGGGTATCAACCAATTGTCAAACCCTAGTTGAAAAGAAAACATAATCCCATATGTCCATCCATCCAACCATCCAACCATCCAACCGCCACCGATCCCAAGCGCCAGGTGCCTCCGTACCCATAGCCATAACCACAGGTGGAAGACAACAACAACAAAAATAACAACAGAAAGAATCCCGTATATCTTATCTCATTAAAGTACCCTGGTGGTGAAAACTCCTCCATCACACACACACACACACATAAATACCACTGAATCAGGTGGCCTCCACCCACTTTATCCTTGTTGTTGTGAAAAGCAAAGCTGCCTAGACTCTCCGACAAAAGTTCTTTGGGTAAGTATCATTGGCCTGCATTATGATTATAGATAGTGGTTTGCGGATGCAGAGTAGGCTCCGCGGATATTATAACAAAGTACATCGAAATGGATCAAATGAAGGAAAAGAGTGCAAAGGAGGGAAGAAGAATGGCAAAAGATGGTGCAATATATATATTGGAAGTGAAAGTGAATAAAAAAGTGTGGAGTCGGTCAGTCACGCAAGCCAAAAGCTTTGCGGAGTCGGGGAAAGCGCTTTTTGCGTCCAGAAGATCCAATGACAACGTCTGCGGCAGGACGAGAATTGTTCTTCGTTGTTGATGCTGGGATGGAAGGATCCTGGTTTTCTTTGGAGGCGAGTCCACCGGCAGGAGCGGTGATCGGATTATTGCGGGCATCCTCATCAACTGTCGCGAGGCGCTCGTCAACACCGTTGGTGGTAGCTGCAGGTGCAGTTCCCGACTCCTTGCGCTCGGTGCGCAACGGCCAACCGTCACTGCGCGAGGACCGTTGTGACGCACGTCGCACAAGCTTGGACGGGGTTGGCGGCGGCGGGTTGGTCGCCGTGATAGTAGTGACGACGTTAGTTTGAGCTCCAGGCAGCGGGAGATCTGGTTCGCCTTCGACTAGCGAACGCTCTGGAAGACCGCCATGTCGAGCAGTACCATTTGTGAGGGACCTGCGATTGACAGGGGATTTGGACTTGCGCATGCTGAACCGATGGAACAGTCCCGCCTTGCGCCCTCGATTGGGCTGGAGAAACTCGTCCATCTCCTCATCCGTCATTCCACGACTCCGAGCCACTGCTGCCAAGGCAGGGTCCCGTGTTGAGCCTGACTTGCAGGGAGATGGCACAGCAGCTCGCGGTCGAGACGCAGCCGCCTGCCGCTCCTCGTCGGAGCTGTCTTCTAGCTCCGTTGAATCGCCATCGTGAGCGCCCTGTCGCCGAGGTATCCCTCGAACAGGGGGCAGCGGAGCTGGGGCTCGTTCATCCTCATCGTCACTAGAATCGTCATACCGATATCGTGATCGCCAGTTGTCAAAGCCCTCGTCGTCGTCCGAATCAGGGAAGCGGGAAGTAAATCGACTACCAGGTACCTTGGATACCTTATTCTTCGGCGACTTATTGGAAAAGAATGAGCCCTTCTCGCGTTTGGTTCCGTTCATTCGAAGCGTCGTCCGCATATTACCACCCGATTGCGGTGAACGCGGACGTGAGTCGGCTGGTGGTGACATTGCCCGGGTTGGGGCCTGTCGGACTGGAGGGCCGCCCCGCATCGTCAGACGCATGGTGTGGTTCGACTCTGCCCGAGATGGACGACTGGCTCGCTTGAAACTGCTGGAAGAATCGCTGCCACTGGACAATGTTCTTCGCGGAGTTGGTGCCTTGCCGTTTACTGCTGACGCACGATTCTTACCACCGACTCCATTCTGCATGGCAGCAGGTCTCCATGACATCGGCCTGGCCCGGTCTTGAGTAGCAGTTGGCTGCGTTGCAGTCGCCTGCGGGACGTCAGAAGTCTTCGTTGCCGTGTTGTCTGCACGATTGCCTAGGTTAGATTGTCCAACAGATTTGACGTGGTGAGAAGTCAATCGTGCGGTCTTGGCTGGGGATGAACCACTTTGACTTTTCCCCTGTGACTGAGCGGCGAAAGGAGGATAGGGAGACGAGAAAGGCATAGTTTGGTCCACCGATTCAGGGGATTCTGGGACGGGACTAAGGGCTGTATCTTGCACAGGAGAGCTCGCGCGGGCAATCTGGCAGGTCTGTGGATACTCCGAATCCGACCAGTCATCCGTATGATGCTGATTCTTTTCGGAAAGACCAAGTCCTGCTGCTGCGCCTTGGAACGATGGGACCGACGGCCGGCCATCGACGACAGCATCAATAGAGCCAAAGCCATGGCTGTTGACGCCCTCCTCCGCATCACTGTAGATGCTCTCACCGGACTCGTCATCAGTCTCTCGCTCTGCGGCTGAATCGCCCATGACATCGGTGTCGTCCCATGTGATTGACTTTCTCTTGGGCTTTGCCTGTGTGGGGCCCGAGTCTAAAGAGGAACGTGGAAAGCCCCCTGGGACTTCGTACCATTCCAAGCTTGGGCGCTCTTTTTCAAGTTCGGGCGAAGCTGGCTGAACGGTAATATCAGGAACTGCCAAAGTCTGTCTAGGAGTTTGTGGTTGTGTTGCCTCAGTTGGGGCGTTGACCTCCGCCGGGTGGCTGATTGCCGTGCCTGGCTGTTCTACCCAATCATCCCGGTGACTCGATTCTGACGGACTTTCTAGCTCCAACACTGTTGGGAGAGGGCTAGCTGGACGAATATGCGTCGTGCTCTCTTGCGGCACCTCACTCACAGAATTGGCTAGGACACTTCCCACAGCATGGTCATTAGAGAATGAAAACCTCGATGTATCCATCGGAGAGTCGGACGAGGACGTGGATTCATTGTCGCTAATCTCGCGAGGCTGCGGCTCCGGCTGACCTCCCGACCTGTTACCGCGAATACTGCCAAATGAGGGCAGAGCAAGTCGAGGTTTCAACATATGCTCGAATTCATCAGGCGTCCCGCTTCGTAAATTATGCTTACGCTTAGCAAACCACCCACCCTTACTCTTGGGCTTGGACTGCGGCGACTCAGGCAGAACTTCGTCGGGAGATGTCGGCGGGCTCGCTGCCGTGCCCACAATTTCTGCCTCATCATCGAAGCCGACTTTGGCATACCTCTTTCGAGCCCCTTGCTTTGAACCATCATCAGATGCGACGGAAGTGCCATCGGATAGTTCACTGAGCGCAGGGCCTGGTCGCAGCACTGTCTCCGGGTGGGGATCGGAAGCAAAGCCATCTTTTCGGGGATGTTTTAGTGCAGATTTGGCCGGCGACACGGACCTTGGTGGGGGTTGGTGAAGGTGATCGCTCGGAAGGTTCGCCACCAAAAGATGTCGCGAGAAGCGAGCGGAGCGCCCGGGACTGCTGGATTGACGCATATGTGACGGCTGCGGTTCGACACTGGCGTCGACGGAAGGCTGCGAGCTCGGTGGGCTTATGGGTGGACTGAGTAATTGATCCTTGGTCTGGTCCGGTGTAGATTGCGGTTTGATGGTCTGTGGACTCTCCGGCGTTACGGTACCCCCACGAGGGAGCTCTGCTCGCTGCGCGGGGCCAGAAATTTCTGCCTGTTCCTCGCCTTGAGCATCTTCCGGCACTGTCGACGGGCGTTTCACCAAGGCAGGACGTGTAGGATGTCGGGCTTCGGGTGCCAGGAGCTGTTGGGTCGGTGCTGGATCCGGGATACTTCGATCTTGAGAAGGGGGTCTCCGCGGAGACGCAGCAACGGCACTCGCTTCTTGGCTCCGGGGTACAATGGCAGCCTGTGCAGCAGCCACCGCAGTCCCTGCAGACGATGGACGCTGTCCCGGGCTACCCGGGGAGATACCCCTTGTTGTGGCACCGCGCGTTGCTCGGGGGCTATTGCTTGTAACCTTAGGAGACTCTGGAGCGGAAAGCTGACCGGCCAGAGAGGTAGTCGTCGATGCATCCATTTCCATCAAACCCGTCGGCGATGTCGGACGTGAGCCCATCGGATATGAGAAATTGATCGAGTTTCGACTCGCGGGTCGTCGCAGCTCAGGGGACGGCGTCGACGCGGCCGCTTGTGCGGGCGCTCGTGTCGGCGGCTTGGGGGCAGCAGTGCGATCCCCGGTTGCTCCCTGGTCGGCCATGGATTTCCCGCGCGGACTTTGTCGGAGCGATGGGCCCATGCTCACCGATCGACGTGCTTGGTCCTTTCGCCCGGTATATTCGCGGGGGATGGACGGGAGCGGCGGTGCGGGGTCGACATGTCCAGCGCTCGATGCGGGTCGCCGCGGGGATTGATCTCGAAATGTGCGATGCGTCATGGAGGCGGAACTGCTGGAGCGACGGACCCCATTTCCGCTGATGGGTCGCAGGCTCGGCGTGCCGCTGAGTTGCGAGGAAACGGAAGTCCGCCGCTGCATCATCCGCTTGGTCTGCACATTTTCGACGGGGGTTGGGGTGGGTGTGAGGCTGCGCAGGGCGGCGGCCGCGGCAGCGGAGGAGAGACTGCTGGAGGAGGGTTGGGATTTGAGAAAAGCATGGCTGGCAGCGGATTGCGCGGATTGGGAGGAGGAGGCCGAGAGAGGATGCTAGATGAATGAGCGGCGTTTAGCTCGTCGAAGATCCGAATGCCATTCCCACGGAACGAGGGGTTTACCTGATGTTGAGAGGAGCTCCTCTTTCTGCGGAACATGGCTCAGGCGGTCGTTGCCCAAAACGAGCGCAATTGAGTTCCCAAGCGACTGAGCCCTCAAAATCAACTTAAAGCATATATGAATGGGTTGAATAGGCGATTTGATGTAGTGTAGGAACGTTTTGATCAAGGGGGTAGCGACGGAGGTCGACGGAAGGTAGGAAAACAAACGGAAAGAGAGTCGCAGCAGCAACAGGAAAAGTGAGTGAGTGCAGATGCAGGATATCGGAAAGGGAGGGGAAAGGCAAAAGGAAGCAAGGAGAATGCAGGACCTGCACGACGGGGACAAAGCGAAGATGAGGAGGGATGGCACACAGTGCACAGCACAGGATAGCAATAGACAAGACGAAAGAGAAGGACGGGGCGGGACTGAGAAGGGGAGGTAGCAAAGGAAAAAAGGACGTATGGTCTGGATTATCGGCAGGAGAGAAAGAAGGGCCAGAACCTTAGTTGGGCTGCAGAAATTGGTTGCGTCATTGAAATCGGGTCGAGGTGCGAATGGATTGAGCCCGAGTCAGTTTGGAATAGGAATAAGGAATAAGGAATAAGCCTGCGTGGAGAGGAACAAGAATGGTTCGTTCCATTGCGCTTCCAATGGGGAGATTCATCATTGGTGCGTCTCGATCAGGAAAAGATCCGGTCCGCCGCAAGAACGTGATCTTCTACACTAAGCCCCATCAGGCAGGCACTTTTGGAATCCACACAGTTGGGTTCAAAGTTTCATCATTGCAGACCCATCGTCATCATCATCATCAATCAACCTCATCCTCATCCCAATCCCCATCATCATCGTCATAGCGCAAGACTTAAATTTGTATCCTATCAACTCCATCTCCCGATCGCCAGATCGTGCCACTTACCCGATCTCTGCATAATTACTCATAAAACGCATTCACTCACATCCCAACCCCCCCACACTCCCGTAACCAATCTTCCCCGTATACTTTTGCAACTCCACAAATCCCTCCTAATCATGACAACATCGGTATCACCACCATCCCTCTCTCCCCTTCCAGTCCCTTCCGGCATAACCTCCCGCTTCATAACCACCCCCTCCCTAACAACCCACATCCTCGAAGCCGGCCACCCACAAAACAACAACAACAAACATGACCGTCCCCTAATAATCCTTCTCCACGGGTTCCCGGAAATCGCCTTCTCCTGGCGGAAAGTCCTCCCCCGTCTCGCCGCCGCCGGCTACCATGTCGTGGCCCCCGACCAGCGGGGCTTCGGCCGCACGTGCGGTTGGGACACCCGCCCCTACGCCAAGGCGGACCTGCACACGTTCACCGTCTCCGCCCTCGTCCGCGATGTCGTCCTCCTCGTGTATGCACTGGGGTACACCTCCGTCCACTGCGTGGTCGGGCACGATTGCGGCGCCGTGACCGCCGCCATGTGCGCCGTGGCCCGGCCGGATCTCTTCCGTAGCGTTGTGCTGCTCAGCCATCCCTTCAATGGCATGCCGGCGCCAGCGAGTGCTGTTGCTACGTCTGTGGATGGTCAGCAGCAGCAGCAGCAGCAGCCAGCCGGCTCTGCTGTCCCCCGAAACTCGACAAGCGACGGTCCCAAATCCAACGCAGGAGACGACGTGCACTCTGCCCTACTGGATCTGGGCCGCAAGCACTATAAATGGTACTACTCGACTCCGCCTGCCAGCGCCGAGATGCTCTACCCTCCCGGAGCGGAAGGGCTTCATGGCTTCCTGCGGGGCTACTTCCACCTCAAGAGTGGTCGCTGGAAAGGGAATGAGCCACGCACCTTGACCGGCTGGACCGCCGACGAGCTCGCCAAGATGCCGTACTACTATGTCATGCCAGCGGACGCGACGATGCCTGAGGCGGTAGAGCTACACATGCGCGAGGAGTCTGAGGAAGGGTTGCGGGCCTCTCGGGAGTGGCTGTCCGATGAGGATCTCGCGGTGTACGTGAGGGAATACCAGCGGACAGGGTTCCAGGGGGCTTTGAACTGGTACCGGGTGCAAACATCTAAAGGGAGGCAGTACACCTGGGACGCGGAGGTGTTCATGGGGCGAAAGATCGACATTCCCTGCACGTTTGTGTCAGGCAAGCTCGATTGGGGAATCTACCAGCAGCCTGGCGCCTTGGAAAAGATGGCAAATGGAGAAGTGTGCAGTGACTTTCGCGAGATGCGATTGATTGACGGGGTGGGACATTGGGCGCCTCAGGAGAGTCCAGAGGAGGTAGTCCAGGCGATTTGGAGCCTAGTCGGTAGTCTATAAGTCCTCGGTAGGGTACCGTAGAGTAGAACTATCTGACATGATGCGGCCCGTTCTCCTTCGAAAGCCGGCCTAAGGCGAACCACGTTCATCCTGGTTGCCTTGGCAATTGCACACTCGGCTAGTCGGACAAGCTCGGTGGTGAAAGTATTCAGAAAGTGCCCGTGGAAGATAACACCAACGGTAGGTGTTCGAACCGGGACTTTACGCATCAGTTTAGGAACGGCCCGTAGAGTTTTCATAGGACTGGAACCTAGGGGGTTCTTGAGGATAGCGCGAAACAGCGCTAGGACTGCAGTGACTGCGTAGGATATAACCACCCTATCGATTACGATCAACGACTATTCCCGTCTTGTGCAGAGACGCAGACACAAGCACTCACCAGAAACATTCTCCTGCCAGGACAGGCATCGCGACCTCGAGGAATGAAAGCGTCGACTGATTGACATTCGTGACCAGCATGGCACTAGAGACTAAATCCCTTATCTGGCAGCCACGGCACCTATCAATGGCTTGATGGATGAGTGCGACGCAGTGATAGTATGCTAGCCGCAACATGATTGCCTGTGTGTTCAAGCCGCGACTGACCGGCGTTTCGTCGTGGAAAGACAGCGTGGGCCGGATATCCGGATGTAAGCTCAGTCTCCATTGTTCCAGCTCTTGATCCAGACTCCGGATGCTCGATAATATCTCAGAAGCCGGCTTGTTCGCAGCATTTGCGGAATAGAGAGCCTGGTAGACATTCGACTTGATCATCGAAAGTCGAAGGTCAAAAGGGAAAAGAGGGAGCGTGTCATCGGTATTCGACCTGGACTCTCGTTGCATATCGGACTCTTGCAGCTGCGCATAGTCCACAGGCAGAGTGAGGTCACAGTGAGTGTCATTGATACATGGAGGCTGCCCAATTCTCAAGCAAATGTCTTTATCAAATGAATAGCATAGCCAGAAAAGATCGCGCAGGTGGTGCTCAGCTACACTTTTATGATAAGCACTGTCAGATGGTGACATTGTGTGAGCACGGAGGCTGAATAGAAGGCGGCTGGCTATCGACACGGAAACTGCAGCAGCCTGCAAATCACCCAGGAAGTATTGATGCTGGATCTAAGTGGCAGGTCAGCTGATACTCACACAAGATGCAAAATTCCCAGACGGGAAGTTCTCGACTTACAAGCATGATAATGGACTGCAGACCGCTGAGACTCATCTCACAAACAAGACTAGCCATAAAGCCCTGCGCAGCCCGGGAATAAGTCACGCAATCATGGGCTTCAACCAGATTGCCATTCAGCCCGAAGAGGTATATCACGGAGAGAAACGCATGCACGCATGATCTGGCACTATCGGAGCCAAAAGCATTGGTTGGTCCGTAGGCAAGATCCAAACTTTCTGTAAAGAGTGCCTTGCTGATTACAGGAAAGACGCGACTCTGGTAGGATGAGCAGTACACTTCAACATATTTCTCGACGACAAGCCGGGAAGGAAGTTCCGGCGACGAAGAATGGGACTTGGCGCCAGAAAAGGGGTTTGACCATGGAAGCTCAATTGCGTAAAGTTTCGCGTGGTCAACCGCCTCACCAGTGCAGGATCCAATCCATTTTTGCTCTTCCTCTGGTGTCATGAATACTCCGTCATTAAAAGCCATGGTCAAAGTGGCCCTTGCTGCAGTACCTGAATAATCACTTAGTCTGTGACTCGTGCTCAATATTGCTCGGATGCAACTGACTGTTACGAGCAGACATGAGATTCGATTTTGCAGCGTCCTCCAATACAGTATCGCGACCAGTACTTCTAGTTGGAGCTAATGAGGAAGATTCAGGCGCAACCTCGACTTACTTTTTAAGCCTCGTATATGTGCAGGGAAGGTTATGGTGGAGGCACCAATTGCACTGCGGGGATTCTGCATCGCATTGTATCTAAGAGGTCATTAGATCAAAGTACAATATTTCTTGCCATGGTATCGGTGGGAGCTGGGGAAACAGAATCAATAAAGACCTTTTTCTTGAAGCATGAGTCGCATGCTGCGCGTCGGGGCGCCTTGGGCACCCTGGGTGTCTTTGAGACTTTGGTCACCTTGGATTGCGATGCCGTCGATTTAGATCGCGCACTGGCCCGAGTTACTCTAGCCATTTCGAAGGCAATGACACAAAATACTGGCTTGACACCGAAAGTATACTGAGTTGATTTACGCGATGTTGATCCGGGCTCCCTGCCGAAGCCGAAATTTCGGGTCGCGCTTTCCTGTCATTCTTCATAGCCGTCCTTGCATCCGAGGCATCTACCCGGCTCGGACGGCAGTCCTACATCGCATTCTTGCTCCAAGGAAAAGTTGAGAATAACTTCCTAGTCGTCTTGTAGCGGCTTGCAGAGCCATTGTCTTAATGATCTATACGCTACATGGCCCATTAATGCTGAGCACGCTGACTAATCAAACAACATCGACCCGGTATATTCAGTCTGATGTGTCTGATGCACTGTCGAGTGAGTCGGAGCATAATACCATGGCAGAACTTTTCACCGCTCGATAAAGACGAATATCACACATCGGTCTAGCCGATGGTTCGCTCAGAAGGATCCCCAATCCTGTCGGGTCAGTGAGCCATCTGTATTATGGTGCGATTAATCGCAAGCCCAAGTAGAACAGCCCAGCACATAACATACAGCATCTCATTCTCAATAAAAGTACACAGGGCGTCCACAGACACCCTCATCATCTCAGCAATCAAGCCTTTGGTAGTCATCTCATACAATACAGCGAATCAAACACCGAACCTGAATTCCCGGACCTTCTTCTGGTAGTAGAACGACGCCAGCAGACCCGTGGCACCGAGGACCAGAGGCATGGGGGCCCGGGCCTTGGTCTTGATGATTCTCGGAATGGCCGAGCCGAGTAGGAGGATGCTGTTGCCCAGCGCAAGCTCCGTGCCGTAGTCCTTGTTTTCCTTGATCAGGTAGCCTGGGGACCAGTCAGTAACAAGCTTCGGACAGATTACTCAAGTCTCGTAGCAGAAGAGCAGCGCAAGCTTCCTGCGGAGATCATACCAGCAAATCCATAAGAAAGACCCAATCCCACGCCTGCGATCAAGGAAGGCTTAGAGCCAGTTCGCATGAACCCGGCGATACCGCCGGCGGGCACTAGGTGGCTGTTAGTGGTCATTGACTTTCACACCCCGCATATTGTGAGCAACGTACAGAGAGCCGCGAGAGTGAAAGAAGGGTGCTCGGCCATGATGAAAGACGGTTCGACGAGAAAAGAAAAGGTCACGAACTCGGTTTGTTGTCAATGGCAGGTCATGCAATGCCGAGTGGTATTTTAAGCTGTCCGAGGGGGCCGTGGGCTAGTCTGGATGCAGTTAGTTTCGGGAGGAGACCAAGAGCGAACCCCGATTATTCAGCGGAGGCTTGCAGTGTTGAATCGCCAGTTGAATGAATTGAGAAAGAGAAATATCCATAGCCAGGAATTCTGCTCAGAACCGAGCTGGTATATGCGGAGGCTGATAGATAGACAGAGATACAGCGGACTCGAGGAGTCTTATTAAATAGATTGTGTTGCAGTGAGTCAGCGGGGTATGCGCCAGCTGTCAAAGCACCAAAGATCTTGTTAGTTAGATTCGACAATGCCTTGGAATTAGTTCTCGACAGTCACTGCACCGGTGGTGCATTATGCTGCCGAAATTCCAGACAATCGCATAGAATCGTCATGCGCAGAACACAAAATAACTGTACAACAGGAGCGCAGAAACAACACCCAACCACTTTACCCACGCAGTGTAACGGGTAGATACCAATTGCAAAGATGAGACATGCACTGCTCTCCAGATCGCTACTCGCGCTCATCTAAGACAAGTAATTGAGACAAATCAAGCCATTGTTGCATAGATCCCGATACACTCAAGCTCAAGCTTAAGCCCAAGCAAGTTCCAGGTTAAGTTCCAGGCTGTACAGTACACTGAGTATAGCGTACCCCACCCACCCAATCCCCCCTCCCCCCTCCCTCCCCCACTTCCACGGCCTCCAAGCTCAACCACCGACGCCCCGCATCTCCAATTTTTTTTTGTGCTTGACACCGCAGCACCGCAGCATCAGCAACCTCAAAACACCACCCCCTTTCCCCTTTCCCCTTTCCACACTATCGGAGATACAATCAAAATGCCACACACCTCCCGCAAAAAGAAACCCACCACCAGCACCGGCCCCACCAAACGAACCACAATCACCGACGCGACCGGCTGGACGCACGTCACGACGACAGGCAACGCCCACCGCGCGCATCGCCAACACCGTCCACAATCCCAACCACACCCACAGCCAGAACAACAACAAGAACTACTCACTCCCGCCGAAGCCCCCAAATCCCTAACCCTCCCCTCCCTCCTCACGCAATACCACGCCCACCGCACGAAATGGACCGCCTCCACCACCGCCGCGACGCTGACCGCGACGGTGCGGCGGGAGTTTGCCCTCGAGCATGAACAACACCAAGAACAAGAACCAGCCCGACCAGACGCAACCCGAGAAGAGCCGCAGACGCAAACAGAACCACACCTGGAACCAGAACAAACACAGAGAACAGAACAAGGAGCGCAATCCACAACCATCACCACCACCACCACCACCACCACCACTCCAGGAATAACCAACATAATCTGCATCGGCCTCGGCAGTCCGAGTGGCTTCCTGCGCGGGGGATGGGTTGATCGCCGCAGCGTCTCGCTCTACCAACTCAATGCGTTGATGAGTGTGGTGGAGTGTTTGACTGGTATGCCTACAGCCTACACCATATCCACATCAGCCCTTGCCCCTAAGCGGGCCCCCCTCATCACAGCATAATCATCTACAACCAACACACAAATAAAAACTAACACATGAAAATAACCAGCAAATCCAACAACATCCACAGTTCAAATCTACGCCCAAGATCCCGTCTTCAACGCGCTCGATCGCCAACTCCTTGCCGCCCTGGGGATCACCGTCGTGGAGCATCCGGACGGGTTCGGGAAGGTCAACTCAAATTCGCTGCTGTTCTGTCCCGGGGCGGAGAAGGCGCATCTCGAGGTGCTGCTGGCGCGGAATCCGGCGGGGATGGTTGGCGGGCCCTTGGAGGATACGGGCTCCGACGGGATCGAGCGGTTCGTGGCGCGGACCGGGTCGGTGCGGTTGCCGCGGTTTGAGGAGCTGAAGGAGGCGTTTTGGGAGATGCGAGTCTATTATACCCAGCCGGTCGAGGAAGAAATCCGCGAAGACTGATGGGTGAGAAAGGAGTAGTGTGGGATACCAAACAAGGATTACATCTGAAAGGCACGGCTCAACCAGGGCACGAGGACAGGCAAGTCTCCAGCAAACGCAAGTATGGATGATATCTGCAAGTAATTGTCGGTGGCTTAAGACCATCACTATCAACAAACTATATACAGACACCTTCAACAATCATCCTAGCATGGCACAGGAGGTAGGTAACATGAACAGCCCCCCCAACAGTCGAGGACAACACCGCCACCGTCACACCTGTGCAAAGAGATAAACAGGAAGCGCAGAACATCGCGAAGAAATTCGAAACAAGCCATTAATCCGTGCATCGTTAAAACATGGTGTATGTCGGAGATTCGTGTGTACATCGAAAGACCCATGACACTAATAGTCGGGACTTGAATAGAGTGTAGTCGGTGGAAAGCGCGACACCTCATGTAGCGGTCTTGCCGCCGCAGTCGGGGATTTTCAGGCCTGGTTTCAGCTTGCGCGCTGCATCCATTAATCCCCATTTGTCCTCCCATTCTTCGCCTTCGGTGTTGTACTGAACCTTCCAAGGCTCATCGAAGGCCTCGAACCTGTGATCGATTAGAATTAGGGTCACACGATGAGGAAAAGATTGACGTACCAGAAATACTCGGTCCCATTCTCCAAAGCCTGGCACACCCAGTCGGCCATGAATTGATTCATTTCGTCAACACCTGCTACAGCTCCCTGAGTATCATTTTCGCAGTTGTCGCCATCGCCACAGTCATTCCCTCCACCGCTAGGCCAACCAACTTCCGAGATGATCTGCTGCTTGTTGGTGCCTGCAGTCAGCGGAGCATCGTGGTTTTGCCAGAAAGTCCAGGTCCAACTGGCTGCCTCGGTGGCTTTAACACCGCCAAAGAACGGATGGATGTTGGACATGACGAAGTCGGCTGCCTCAACCAGCTCCTGATTCCAGTTGTCACCCAGGTCTGATGTCCCCACGGGGAGGTCGATGCTATTTTGCTTGAAGTGGTTTTTGACATCAGTCATATAGCTGATCAGGGTTGCCTGGGCAGTTGCAATGTCTGGGCCTGCGCGATATAGAGCTTCGTTCCCGATGATAGCTCCCTTGAAGATCGAGGTGTTGTTTGCGTCATCGATGATGTTGTAAAGCTGTTTGACTTGGCGCTCGCTCGTTGTTTGGTTGCTGTCAATCCACACACCCAGCCAAAGCTTCATGTCGGTCAACTCGAGGCGGTCGATAGCAGTAAGGACCATCTCTGTTTGGTTGCAATCTGTACCATATAGTCGGATCGTATTGGTCAATTGCGAGAGGACCGCGAGGTCGCGCGTGACATTGTTCTGGGAAGGAGGATACTTCAAGCAAAGCGGATACTGCACTCCCCATGGCGTATAATCCACTCCCGGGAAGACCTTGTGCAAATTAGCATTATTCATCAAATCCTTGATCTCCGAAGAATCCTTATCAAGCAGTCCATCAGACGAGTCCGAAGATCCGTCCGAGGAACCGCCCGAGGAACTGCCCGATCCGTCTGCTGCAGCCGAGCCATCGTGACTTCGGTTACCCAAAATGCCCCCGACAGCTCCCCCGACAATGGCAGCCACGATAATGAACGCGAGAGTGAGTCCCACAATCCACGCGCGCTTCCGCCGACTTGCTCCGGCTATCGAGCCAGCTTTCTGTCCTTTCTCGGCTGCTTCCAGCCCTGGGCCAGGAACCGGTCCATACGACGGACTGGAGTCTTTCTTCCCCCCCAACAAGCCCCTCAAACCACCTAGAAGCCCACCCGTAGCAGCTCCCCCAACGGCGGCAGCACCTGCTGTTCCGTTAAAGCTCTGATGACTCAACGGCGACACACCCTTCGGCGCCACGTTGACAAACCCATCGTCCCCGTCATCTGCAATTTCATCCGGATTGAACGTGAGCGGGTAGGTTTGCGTAGAATAAACCGACTGCCGTTGGTAGGGCCCTTCACTGAACGCCCCCACCCCCTGATAAGGACTATCTTGAACACTGTGCTGAGAAGGCGCCGTAGTCGGCGTCAACTGTCCCGGGGCTGCACCCGCCGCGCCCAGCGCAACATTCGACCCGTAGGAATCGCGCGGTCGCAGGGTTTCTGAGCTGTTGTAGAAGGTGCCTTCTGAATGTGGCGGCGGTGCGGGGACATACGGATTCTCGGCGCCAGTGGTGTGATAGTCTCGTTCTGCGGGGATATTGTACAATGGACCGGCTGTTTCCCTGAAAGCGTCAACACCACTCTGACGGTCATGGGTATTAGCAACGCCAAGGGCGATACCACTGATGCCTCCGCCCACGGCCGAGGGCCCCAAATTGTCAATCCCCGGCGTTGCGGTGAACTGCGTGCGTGTGTGCTCCAGGCTCCGACCTTCCGGCACCGGCTCTAAATTCCCGTCGTTGTACATTTGACTGTGTCGTGATGCGATAGTACGATTCATGTCCATGTCGCTGTAGTGCCTGCTGTCCATAAGACGCCCCTCTTCTGGTAATGAACGCTGGCGGGAACCTGCGACCACCGCCCCGTCATCGCCCTCGCTGTAACTAGCAACCCGGTTCAGACCGGACATGGCTGTGAAAGAAACGACTGGTCACGCCAAGGTGGCGCCGGGAAGGCTTTGTAGGAAGTAGAGCCGAGTAAAGAAGAAAAAAAAAGCCTAGATAAGATAAAAATAGATGGAGGAGATGCCAGAGAGTTATATGAAAACAGGAAAAGAAACGCAGCTTTGCACAAAGCAAGGCGGGAGGCAACGGCTCGGCGGGCTGTCCTGAGAATAGCAGCACAATCAGGCAGGGACGAAGGAAAAGCAACCGACAAGGTTTGGGGGTGAGAGCGATGGGAGGTCAATAATACTGGAGCGAGGAAGCGACTGAAACGAGAACAGCTGCTATGGGGCAAGCGGGAACCACGGTTACTCTTCTCAGATGACCATGGGAAAGTCCCAGGAACGATGGCGAACGATAATGGAAGGTGACAGCGATACGATTTCATGAAACCTAGATGGTCAGCTCGAGAAGAACCGTCTTGACGCATTCATACGTAGCGAACAATGCGGGAGATAGTTAGATGTCTTAGATGGGGTGACGTGAGGGGGAGGGGAGAAGAGAGAGGGAGGCAGCGGATGGGATTCCTCACATACCAATTCTAGATTGAATAAAATCGATTGGATGAATTAAGTAGGAAGAATCCTGAGAGGCAGAGAAAACAAGCGAGCTCGTATTATTGAAGGCATTACCGCATGCATCGCTGGACTTGTGATGGTGGCGGCTGGTGGACCAGGCAACGAAGAGTTAGTAGGTTAGTACTAGGTAGTTTAGTTCAATGTTTTGGTAGGAAAAGGGAAGAGCGAAGAGCGAAAGCGGCCAGTCAGTAAGTCGGAACTAGGAAGTATTGGATCATTCCATGCGGAGAAGAGAAGAACCTCAGGCCGCTCAGGGTCCAGTGACACCACGGGTTAGTTCAGGGTCTGCCACTAATCCCCTTCCGGGCTGATCCGACCTCCGGACGCGGATTTCCTCACCACTGCCAGGGCAGTAATCCATGAACACAATCGGTCATGAAATCTAGAGTATGTACGACTTCACCCGCTGAAATTGACATTTTTCAATCATGATATCTTGCTCGTCAATTCACACCCACTCCTCTCCCTCATGCAGTACGAAACGTGTCCTACCCACCCTCGGAGATCACGTTGTGGCGTCATAAGCCCCCAGCGAACATATACTTGTCTCAGACTTACGTCGAGAATTCGCAGTTTCTTTGCTCGAGATGGGCGCAACGAGGCCCAAATCCATGCATTGGCACCAAAATATAAAAGCAAACGAAGAAGAGCGAGCCTCATCCCTCCTTCCGCCACTATACGCAGTGGAACGAATCGTACATACAGCATACTTATATGCGAAACATATTTCACTAGGAGACAGCCACGCCCGCGAACCCTTCTTCCAAACCCAACCAAAGCAGGTCATAACGTCATCTTGTCATTCATGTCCAGCGCAGCGTCTGTAGTTTCATCATAAATCGTCACGAAAAGAATACAAATGTAAGCCAAATAGAATATACGACAGACCGAAGAAGTCTCACTAGATCCACCACCGGATCTCGCGAGACCATCATAAGTTTCCCCTTACCGTCATGGTCTCATTTCAGCGCGATATCTACAACTCATTTGCCATCCGTGATGTTCCGCAAAAGATATCTCATCACATGTTTCGGAGAGACTAAAAGGAGTGTGTGCAGCGAAAGTGTAAAAGTGTCACATAAGAGAAGGGCGTGGCGAGATAGAAAGGAGAATCGTAACAGAGCAGTCGCGGAGCAGCGAACCGGACTTTTGCTCAAAGGTGGATGAGTTCATGATGGGAATTCAAGCTTCAACTTCTTCAGCACTGCGTCGGGAGGCCGACAAAATATGTGCCGTGGCGTCTCGGGCTGGTGTGACTCGTCGCTTGCGCTCGAGGAAGCGTCGCTTTCCCGCTCGCGTCTCAAAATGTTGCGGAATCGCCGAAGCTTCTTGGCCCTCCGCTAGCATTGCGGCGCGCATCTTGTTACGGTATGCGTCCACTAATACTCCCCAGATTCATCGGAGTTAGTAATTGTCATCGATACGCGAACTTACTGCAACATTGAACTTCCTAAGAGCAATGTCACTACTACCAAGAAACAAGAGGGGCACGTACGGGATCGCTGCAGAAACATCATCCGTCCTGCAAAGACTCGGCTTTGGCTCCAGCTTATCCGGTAGGCCAAGTCGTTGAGGAGAACCTCCTTCCGCCGTCGACCTCGAGACAATCGTGGAACTGCAATCTCACTTTCACCATCGATCTGAGGAACGGGAACCATGACTCTTCCAGCTGTTGGTAGTTCTTCGTCTTCGTCGTCCAGCTCGGAGTGATCCTTGATGAACCGGTTGCCAGGTACAACAGAAGTGCGAGGGCTTCGCATTTGGACGGGGAAATAGGTCCGGGGAAATACCGAGTTCATCCTACGGTAGGAGTCCGGAATCTCATCCATGTCAACTAGGTCCAAAGAAACCTTAACCCGGACGCGGGCACCCCGTTGGGTGTCGTCCACGAGTATAAATTTGCGAGGCTTTCCCCCGGGAGGAGTGCCGAAGAGAGCTTCAGTGCTTGGGTTTTGCTCGTCCTCGTCCTCGTCCACTTCTTCAATGCGGCTAGCAGTCGCAACAGTTGGGGGCCGCCCTAAACCCCCTATACCACTCTCGCGGAGAAGTGGCGGTATCGAAGGGCCTCGCGGTCCTCCGCCAATACTCCCCGGTGTGGGATAGGAGTGAAACCCATGGAACACTTGAGCATTGCGGATATCTGTAGGGGATGGTCCAGGCGGCGGATGATCAGAGGTAGGTGGACGGTGGATACCGTTCGAGAAGTCAGGAGGACCTAGTAAGGACATTATGACAATTATGAGATTAGCCTACGCAAGACGTAAAGTGTCGTGGCTGAAGCAAACAAAAACGGATTCGGGAGATCTGAAACACACACAAGGCAAGTCGGGTATGAAGAACGAGAAGTAAACAAGATAGAAATACATAGGGTACAAGATCCATCATTTAGTGAGAGCGGGCCAGTTGTGGTTATCCTTCCCAATGGACTTGACGCAAGTTTGCATGATACAACATGATAGACTGTTTTCGGTTTGTGCAACAGAGTCGGGACAAGAAGCACTTCATACGTGATGTTGGTACATACCGCTGACTTCCTCATGGTTTGCACCTCCATCGGGTTGGGCATGGTGATGGTGTAACTGCGGGGGACCCATGGTCAAGGGTCCCAGGCCTGGCCGGGAAGCGGCCGCAGCCATGCTGGCAGCTGGGATACCTGGAGGAACCGGCGTCGACGGTGCCATGTGGGGTGGCGGCTGTGCTGGAAGCCCCTGTCGTCTGTTCAATTTAGCCATCCTTCGCACACGGCGACTTCGAAGACGTGGATCTTGGTTGCTATTCCTCCAGCTATCCACAGCTCTTTGAATCAGACCACGCTTCCCTCTTAACGCAGGGTTCAGCTCGGCCAACGCCCACCCAACGGTATTGCATTCTGTTTCGTACACCAGACGGTTACCTCGATAATTATCTTTGCCGCCGCATGCACGAGGGTATACACAGTTCTCGGACCTGAAATCCGAGCTAAGATTATCCACACTAACAGACTCAACGTCGCATCGGATGGTATACTCCATTTTCACCCGGTCTCGAGAGTATTCAAACGCAATCCACTGGACTCCGTTGCTGTCTTGTCTAACAACAAGAGGTGTCGTGGCAGGGATTGGCCCGGGTGCTGCACTAGAACTTGCCCCGACATTTGAGCTCTGGTGGTGAACAGTACTAGCTGATATGGGTGTAGCCGTCGCCGCAGGGAGCGGTGGGTTTAGCATCGCCCTCTGAGGGGGAGTCGGTTGCTGCACTGTAGACGTGGGGCTGCTAGTAATAGCACCAGTCGGGGCTTGAGTGGGATGGTGAGGCAACTGTGCGGTACTGGTCTGGTGTGGGATCATCAACGACTGGGTCGTAAGTGGATGCTGCTGAGGTGATGCATTTGGGCCATATTGTGAAGGCTGAACAGGGTTCATTGGAGAGTACGGTGGGTAACCGTACATCTGAGACGTCATCTGCGGTGATTGTGTGTAGATGTTTCTACCGTGCGGCTCGTGGGTTTGTGACGCTACTGACGCGGGCGAACTAGACTGAGGCGTGTGATAGATCGGAGGATATGGCCTCTGCATTTGCGCGGCGGTTGCCATGATCTCAGGGGGGCCTGAATAGTCAATAAGCCGTCGCATTCAGGATAGAGATTAGAACTGTCGATGTCCACTTACCACTCGATGGGTACTGACTCGGCGCACTCGCTGTCGTATAGGAGGATTGGGGCGCGTAGTAAGATTGTTCCTGCGATTGAGCGTAGGGATGATGATGCAAAATTCCGCTCGCTAAAGGGTGAGGGGTAAAATTTCCCGAAGACAAGGTAGTCGGAGGCTGGTGGGGGGAACCCAGTCGCTTTGGTGGTTGTATGAGGGTCGTAGGTCGGGGATGCTGAAGATGAGGGGGCTGCGCGCCTTGATACCGAAGCTTGAGTTGAGCGAGGTGTTAGCCTGAGCACTTATCATTGAGTACGGTGCTTTTCTTTCCAAATCATGTGTCCAGTGTGAGGAGATAAGAAGCATGTAGAAGCAGATGAAACGTCATTGTCAGAGATCAAGTTCTTGCCCCGGATCTGGAGCCAGAGAATGACGGAATGGAGTAAATTCATCACGCAAAAATCAGATTATTCAGGATGAAAGATGAAGAAAAGCCCATAAAGGGAAGCCTTGAGCTCGGCATCTCAGAACGAAGAGCAGAGAACTGTCATCAGCCGCTGTGGACTCTACTATTCTCATAGCACCAGGCAGGCGTAGGTCATCGGCTGCGCTTCCTCAGGCCTCGTAAGCACGCTGATATCTCAGTCTGTGACAACCCCTACAGCTGTCCCTCGGGCATGCTGCGGAAGGTGTATATCTTGATTCAGCCAGCATGACTCCGGGAATAAGCTCAAAGTCGCTGGAGAGTAGGAGAGTTGAGCCTCTGGCTCTGGCGCTGTTGTGGTTGCACCAAGGAATCTCTCAGGATCATTTTTAAGATCCCAAATTGAATGCCCTGAAAAGCTCATTTGAAGTATTTCACAACCATTGGCATTTGGAGTAAAACACAGCGGCTTGGAGAGGGCTTGTAGCGTTTGCCACATCGAGGTGTCAGTCGTAATCAACGTACAGCAGAAGTCATCAGGCCGGCGGCTTGGCCAAAAGCAATGTTTGCTTCTTGTTGTCGCGAAAGGATTTGTAAGAGTCGATAATAGTTCCCCTTGTCGGGATATGGTCGGGGTCGATATCGCCAATTGTTGCCAGGTGCCTCCTGGGAGAGGTCATGCACGGGAGACTGGGTTGTCCTTGGATGGAGGCCAAGCCACGAACCCGATACGATACAATTGAAAGAAAAGAAGGCGCAGAAGAAGCAAAACAGGGAATCGCGGCAGAGAAAGGAATAATATCAATTTATAGTCTTAAGGCAGCGAATGAAGGAAGAGACATAAGGAAAGTAACAGAGAGAGAGAAAGAGAGAGAGAGAGAGAGAGAGAGAGAGAGAAAGAAGAGAGAAAGCACTCACGGGATCTTCTGCAGGCTCGTCTTTGAATCTAGTTGCGGGTGGATGAGCTAGGTCAGTCTGAACCATACCGGTCATGACTGACCTCAAATGGCCTCGAAAGATGTATTCCTTGTTTTGATTCTGTTGCTCCTCGTAGGTGGATGAATGTTTTGTCTCTTTTCCTGGTGTTCTTTCCTTTCCTCTTTTGTTATCTTTGGTGATTTGCGTTCGTTTTTATTGGCAATAATAGAAAATGATGTAGCAAGAGAGTCAGGAAGACATAGAAGGGTGTGTGTTTCTTTTTGTCATGGAAGGGAAGGATTCGAAGTCGCGGGAAGATGGAGGAAGTAGATGGGAAAGATCGAGAGAGAGAGAGAGAGAGAGAGAGAGGAGGGGGCGGCACCACAACGGTTGCGGGAAGGATATCTTGACTAGGGACAGACGAACAGGTAAGGACCAAAGTTAAAGAGAGGCTGAAGGGCAACGGTAGTGGCTCGCTGGTCTATGTGGCTCTGGACTGGACTGGGGGAAGGGAAGGGATGTCTGTCTCTCGGGGCGCGTATGTGTGTGCGAAGGGAAGAAAGCAAAGGCCTGGCTGGCTCAATGGGTTGGTTAAACGGTGCGATGCGAGTGCGACTGTAATGTGGAGGGTCCAGGGTCGTTATTTAGCTGCGCAAGAGACCCATCCTTCATCACTACAGATTATTCCCAATCAACAACTATCCCGGATCAGGAATGGGATACAAGACTAAGATCTTTGGGAAAGGGGAAATTGTAATAAAAAAAGTAAAGATGAAGGGAGAGGGGAAAGAGAGAAGAGGGGACGTTGGAAGAGAAAGAAAAAGAAAAATATTAGAAAATAAAATAAGAGTTACAGTGAAAATAAATTAAATTAAATCTGAAAAAAAATATTTCTGGGGGAAAATGAAAAATAAAAAAACAGAAAATGGGCAATCAAAAACAGCAGCGATGGAGGGCAGGACAGCGTCAGATGGATTTGGTGGTTAGTGGTTAGTGGAGATATCAGAGTGAGCTTGTTACTAGCGGGAAGGTGGTGTAATATTGACCAGGATGGATGCAGGACAGAAGAAGGGCCAGAGACCCGCGACAATCTTGAGTCTGAGATTGAAAATCGACGAGACAAGCATTGACCGGCAAAAAAAGTATCAGTTATGAATATCAACAGTCCCTAAACACCTTGAAGGGATTGAACACAGCCTGCAGCGACATGGTGGTGAAAATAATCAGCAATTACAGGAGCACGGAAGGAAAATCAACGGGGAACAGAGATGCAGTGTAGAAGCTCCTCCTGCTATACTGAAAAGAAAAAGAAAAGAAAAGAAAAATAGGTTAGAAAAGACGCAACATGTTTGCAGCAGAAATGGCTGTCTGCTCACGTCTGGTCCTCGAACACCATTTCTTGGGTTGATAGTTGTTTGTTTGACAGGCAAAGTGACCTCGGTGAAGTGGGTAGGTGGGCGGATGGGGTGACTGGGGTTGAAAGGAGGAAAGCCTCGCCAATGCACTTGAAACTGGGTAAACAGCGCAGACACCAGGCATTTCACTCCTCCGAAGGAATAATCAATTCGCATTTGGAAAAAGGTCCAACAAAGACGGAACAAAGAACCGCAGAAGCCCAGTAACGAAGAGACTGGCTTGCAATGCAAAACATTGAGCTTATCGCGGATCGAATGCATTCAGAGTTTCCAGAGCCCCTGGGCAGATAGGTTCATGGGCGACTTAGCAGAAGAATGAAAGTAGAACCTCCGAAAGAACGGCATCACTTTGACAGTATTCACCACTGTTCATCCGTAGGAATAGCAAAGCACGGCGTATGCATGTATGCATGTACCGTACATATCATGTCCACGGGCTGCCAATCAATTCTCCGCTGACAGATCTACCACCTGGAACTAGAACCTCAAGTTCAGATGCTTACTACAACCGAGTCAAGACTGGGATTCTGGTGATTCAGATCTCTTAAAATGAGGTCTGTCTGAGAACCTGCAGCCAGGTAACTAGGCAACTTAAGAACTGTCTATTATTATTCCCACGCTGCCGACACACATGGGGCAGGGACCAGTGGGTCTGTCTTGAGGGTCAGTGTCTACCGTACCATTAACTTAGGTATACCCATAAGGATAGATCGCGTTGGACTACCGTAAACAACCATCAGACTCAATAGAGATAACAGTACGGAGCAGACTTGCTTAAGGCAATGTTGCATTCTCCGTCCAGATCTTGGACTGCGAATATGCGATTACTCTTCCGACCAGTGACGAGGATGAATCGTTCCAGAAGATAAAGTAAGCGTTGAATGAACGCAAAATATCCCATTGGCATGTTTGGGCTGCAATATCCACTCAGGTGGTCATTTTAGGTTTGCGATGGAGGCGAGAATTGGCTGGTCTGGAATGAATGATGGTGGAAGATTGGCGGCGGGAGGATTAGGCACGATACAGTAGCCGTTAGTTTAGTCCGATGGATGGTAACTTATCAGTAAAATTCATTACCACTGTGTCCGTACAGCATGATACCATCTCAGTGACCTCATCCTTTCAAGACTTTCAATCCATCCTTCTTTTCTGTTGTTGAGATAGGCTTGAAACTCTATAGCACGGCATCGACGAGGCCGCAGGCAATAGCAGTCTTCGAAATTACTTACCCGAGCAGTCCAGGAGGATGCCGATGATCGATAAGGGCAGTGGCCCTTGAGAACAGACCAGGCCGGTGCCGTGCCCTGACAGCAGGCCAACCTCCACTTGGTGTGCATGGAGCCATGGATGATGGTGATGTTGCCTCGATGAGATCGTCTTAGGACAGACAGTATGTGTAGGTACGGAGTAGTTTGGCGATAGAGAGAACGACACCTGCATCAGCAGTTCAATTTTAGCAGACCCAAAACTGGTGGTTCTAGCCTCAGTTTTCGTTTCTCTATTTTGGATTTTCTTTTCTTTTCTTTTTGCATCATTTCATTTCTTCTCCTGCTCGTTTAGTCCACGGGACGGTCAGGAGAGAAAAATACCGCCATACGCGACCCGACTCGATCTGGTTACACTCCGGTAAGAGAACAGCCGATCTGACTTGCTGCTGTCAGCCTTGTGCCCACTTTCCCGCAAGCGCCACACCACCATTACCACCACCACCACCACCACGATTCATTCCTCCATCTCCTCCCTCCGGGGCCTCCCACTAATCAAGATCACTCTGCTCACCACATATGTATTAAATCCCGTCAATTCCAGACCTGGGCATAAATTGCTTTATGGAGGGTCGCAATTGTTGCAACTGAATGCCGTCATCGCTCGTAGCACACATACTCTCTCCTGATCTCCCACTAGCGAGCTTGACTTGAATGAACAATGAGACTACCTACCAGTGCATTCGACGAATAATCCCTTCTCCTCTTCTCGCTCATGAACAGGCGACGCATTAATCAATCATCTATGTTCCCCGAGGTCACTGCTGCTACAGATTGTGTGACCCTAGCCCATAGCCTGCAAAGCGGCTGATCAATCATTGCCATTTTGGTGGGCTTCTGATCCTGCCGCTTCCCGGCAGCTAGCTTCCTGCATCCTGCCTTAATGAACAGCTACGTCCCCTAGTCAATAATTCGAGGGAAGGAAGGCAAGCCCTCACTCACGGCAGTGATAGAGTCACTCCCGAAACCAGAAGTTGTTCGCAGCTTGATAAAGATAGGAGAGACGGACTCATAGGATCGCATGGGTCCTTCATCTACTTACCGATCTTCTGACCGTTGCCCCAGACGCCTTCCTGAGGGCCTGTCAAATACTATCAGTGGCTTGGCTCCACCAGGCCTTTCGGGCAAGCAGACGGTGGCTTCAGCGGTAGTGGGGCTTGGCACGGGCATTGAGAAGGGAGTCATGATTCTCTGGAGTATGCCAGCAGAGATCAACAAAAGCTCATAAACGATACCACAGTCCCTCCGTATCTATGGGCAAGCATTGCCACCATGCGTGAATATGGTACTCGGTTGAGGGGAAAGACATTTGATTTCCTCACCCAAGCTATTGATGCGCTTTGTTGCCATTTTGAGCTAAACCAAACGCCGTAGGAACATTCCTCGTGCATCGATTCCATGGGAGCTTGTCGGGACATATGTATGCCAGGGCTCGTCATAACCTTCTGTCTCGGATGATAAGACAACCGCTGTTCAACCTATGTTGTGTTCGTCCACCGACCAGTCACAACATATGCGGCACGCGTCCAGCAGGTAAGCATCGTTTGTACTATGCTGCGCATATGGGCCGTCCTTTTGTCCGATATCCCAGCATCGATGTTGCGAACTCCACCTAAAGGGTATGTTTGCAGGATTGAGTGCTCTTCTTTTTCTTTGGTGCAGACCAGTTCCGCGCAGGTGTCAACAAAACCTCACGTTCTCCTTCGGAGGGCGATTCCTGACGAAGGGAAAGATGGAACTGGAGAATTTCCCAAGGAGGCTAGTCAAGTCGTCGTAATCGAGGGATTCTGCTACCGGCATGACTGGATCCCGCACTCGAGAGGTCGAGTCTCTGTGAGTAACTAGGTACTGTACCATATTCTCAGGTAGGCCATGTGTATGGAATGCTCACGGGCGGGTGGGGTTCTTAGGCTGAACTAGGCTGAACGCAAGCAACGGTCTCAGACTTAGGAGCTTGCCATTGGCATGCAACTCTCTGATCGGTGCAGGGTGTTTGAGATGGTTTTCATTGTTCCGTGCCTCCCTCCGGTCGCTTGCCGCTCATCAGCCAATTTCTTGATTCCTCAATAGCTTGGAGGGAGTACTGTACGTACTATCTCTTTCTGCAAAACTGCCCCTCCTACTCTTCTTTCTCCTACCTACTTTTTTGGTATTGCATAGTACTGTATTTCTTTTGGTGGATGCATGACAATAAGCATGGTTGGTTCCAAATAGTCTTCTATCCTCTGTCGTTCCCACCTGAATGACCTTGTAATCTACATCGCGAAGGCTAGAAGCCCGAGCCAATGCGACAAGTGCAGTAGAGTAAGCTGATCATGAAGTTAGCAACTGGCTGCACAAACAGTCATCCGTCAGGGCACGGAACCGAGGTCAATACAGAATACGGTACTGCGCA